GCCCAAGAAAGGGTCCAGCAAACCCCACACCCCCAAGTCCCCGCAAGAAGACAAGACGCCTAATCCCTTGGAAACTGCCGTTATCACTGACGAAGCTCGTATTGCTGCAATGATCAAACTCAAAACAAACTTTGAGCAGCGCTTCGAGAAAATTCTGATCCCATGTTTCACGGGTATAGGAGATTGTTCCCACGATAAAACACTAGACTACCGGCTCTATGATACAGTCTACTTACAAGTCCATCTCCCTGCAGTTAAACCAGAGCTAGTCCTTCTTTCCCAAAATGGCAGCTCCATAGTAGACTTCAGCAACGTGTGTATCGGCCAAACAAAGAAACTGGAGCTCACTCTAAAGAGTATCAGTGAGGACGAGGTCAGCTTATCAACCAGCGCATTCCCTCACGACGGAACATTCCAGAAAGTTAACGCTACAAGAGATCTGGCCCCACTGGGATTACACCAGATGATATTAGAGTTTACCCCGCGGGCCAAGGCTAAGTACTACGAGGTGGTGGAGGTCAGAACGCAGAAGTCTACCTTGCACTTACATTTACACGGGTGTGGGGTGGAACCTAACCTGGTGGTGTCCCCGGATTCAGGTCAGTACACGTCACAGTTACACTGTTTTAATCATTACCCACATTGTCGTAACTACATAATAAAAGTGGATCTGTGTTTCGTATAAAACATTACCTTGTGTTCAGGAACGCTGGACCTGTGTTTCGTATAGAACATTACCTTGTGTTCAGGAACGCTGGACCTGTGTTTCGTATAGAACATTACCTTGTGTTCAGGAACGCTGGACCTGTGTTTCGTATAAAACATTACCTTGTGTTCAGGCACGCTGGACCTGTGTTTCGTATAAAACATTACCTTGTGTTCAGGAACGCTGGACCTGTGTTTCGTATAAAACATTACCTTGTGTTCAGGAACGCTGGACCTGTGTTTCGTATAGAACATTACCTTGTGTTCAGGAACGCTGGACCTGTGTTTCGTATAGAACATTACCTTGTGTTCAGGAACGCTGGACCTGTGTTTCGTATAAAACATTACCTTGTGTTCAGGCACGCTGGACCTGTGTTTCGTATAGAACATTACCTTGTGTTCAGGAACGCTGGACCTGTGTTTCGTATAGAACATTACCTTGTGTTCAGGAACGCTGGACCTGTGTTTCGTATAAAACATTACCTTGTGTTCAGGCACGCTGGACCTGTGTTTCGTATAAAACATTACCTTGTGTTCAGGAACGCTGGACCTGTGTTTCGTATAGAACATTACCTTGTGTTCAGGAACGCTGGACCTGTGTTTCGTATAAAACATTACCTTGTGTTCAGGAACGCTGGACCTGTGTTTCGTATAGAACATTACCTTGTGTTCAGGAACGCTGGACCTGTGTTTCGTATAGAACATTACCTTGTGTTCAGGAACGCTGGACCTGTGTTTCGTATAGAACATTACCTTGTGTTCAGGAACGCTGGACCTGTGTTTCGTATAAAACATTACCTTGTGTTCAGGCACGCTGGACCTGTGTTTCGTATAAAACATTACCTTGTGTTCAGGAACGCTGGACCTGTGTTTCGTATAGAACATTACCTTGTGTTCAGGAACGCTGGACCTGTGTTTCGTATAGAACATTACCTTGTGTTCAGGAACGCTGGACCTGTGTTTCGTATAGAACATTACCTTGTGTTCAGGAACGCTGGACCTGTGTTTCGTATAAAACATTACCTTGTGTTCAGGAACGCTGGACCTGTGTTTCGTATAAAACATTACCTTGTGTTCAGGCACGCTGGACCTGGGTCACGTGATGGTGGGCGAGATACTGCACGGAACATTTACTCTCAAGAACAACTCCGAAATAGATCTGCAGTACGGTATCTCCATGCTCAGCGAGAAGTCGGAAGTGGTCCAAGCTTTTAGTGGCCCCAGCCAAATTGGTACTTTAAATCTTGAACCTCTGTCATTTTACCTTTATAATCCAGATTTACCTTGCTGGCATAATTGTGAATTGTAAACGTATATCTTTCTACCCAATGACATTTCCGAGTGTCTGAATATAGTACTCTAGTTATAGTAGGATATATAGTATAGTACTCTAGTTATAGTAGGATATATAGTATAGTACTCTAGTTATAGTAGGATATATAGTATAGTACTCTAGTTATAGTAGGATATATAGTATAGTACTCTAGTTATAGTAGGATATATAGTATAGTACTCTAGTTATAGTAGGATATATAGTATAGTACTCTAGTTATAGTAGGATATATAGTATAGTACTCTAGTTATAGTAGGATATATAGTATAGTACTCTAGTTATAGTAGGATATATAGTATAGTACTCTAGTTATAGTAGGATATATAGTATAGTACTCTAGTTATAGTAGGATATATAGTATAGTACTCTAGTTATAGTAGGATATATAGTATAGTACTCTAGTTATAGTAGGATATATAGTATAGTACTCTAGTTATAGTAGGATATATAGTATAGTACTCTAGTTATAGTAGGATATATAGTATAGTACTCTAGTTATAGTAGGATATATAGTATAGTACTCTAGTTATAGTAGGATATATAGTATAGTACTCTAGTTATAGTAGGATATATAGTATAGTACTCTAGTTATAGTAGGATATATAGTATAGTACTCTAGTTATAGTAGGATATATAGTATAGTACTCTAGTTATAGTAGGATATATAGTATAGTACTCTAGTTATAGTAGGATATATAGTACTCTAGTTATAGTAGGATATATAGTATAGTACTCTAGTTATAGTAGTATAATAAATATAGTACTCTAGTTATAGTAGTTATAGTAGGATATATAGTATAGTACTCTAGTTATAGTAGTTATAGTAGGATATATAGTATAGTACTCTAGTTATAGTAGTTATAGTAGGATATATAGTATAGTACTCTAGTTATAGTAGTTATAGTAGGATATATAGTATAGTAGGGTTCCTGCTAATTTATCACAACATACCTACATGTTGAGATGATAACTGTAGTATATATAGTACTCACAACAGGGAACAGTAACAAGTCGGGCATATTACCGTTCCAGTGCACCCCACACAGCGGTAATATACCACTATATCACAACAGGGAACAGTAACAAGTCGGGCATATTGCCGTTCCAGTGCACCCCACACAGCGGTAATATACCACTATATCACAACAGGGAACAGTAACAAGTCGGGCATATTACCGTTCCAGTGCACCCCACACAGCGGTAATATACCACTATATCACAACAGGGAACAGTAACAAGTCGGGCATATTGCCGTTCCAGTGCACCCCACACAGCGGTAATATACCACTATATCACAACAGGGAACAGTAACAAGTCGGGCATATTGCCGTTCCAGTGCACCCCACACAGCGGTAATATACCACTATATCACAACAGGGAACAGTAACAAGTCGGGCATATTACCGTTCCAGTGCACCCCACACAGCGGTAATATACCACTATATCACAACAGGGAACAGTAACAAGTCGGGTATATTACCGTTCCAGTGCACCCCACACAGCGGTAATATACCACTATATCACAACAGGGAACAGTAACAAGTCGGGAATATTGCCGTTCCAGTGCACCCCACACAGCGGTAATATACCACTATATCACAACAGGGAACAGTAACAAGTCGGGCATATTACCGTTCCAGTGCACCCCACACAGCGGTAATATACCACTATATCACAACAGGGAACAGCAACAAGTCGGGCATATTACCGTTCCAGTGCACCCCACACAGCGGTAATATACCACTATATCACAACAGGGAACAGTAACAAGTCGGGCATATTACCGTTCCAGTGCACCCCACACAGCGGTAATATACCACTATATCACAACAGGGAACAGCAACAAGTCGGGCATATTACCGTTCCAGTGCACCCCACACAGCGGTAATATACCACTATATCACAACAGGGAACAGTAACAAGTCGGGCATATTACCGTTCCAGTGCACCCCACACAGCGGTAATATACCACTATATCACAACAGGGAACAGCAACAAGTCGGGCATATTGCCGTTCCAGTGCACCCCACACAGCGGTAATATACCACTATATCACAACAGGGAACAGTAACAAGTCGGGCATATTGCCGTTCCAGTGCACCCCACACAGCGGTAATATACCACTATATCACAACAGGGAACAGTAACAAGTCGGGCATATTACCGTTCCAGTGCACCCCACACAGCGGTAATATACCACTATATCACAACAGGGAACAGTAACAAGTCGGGCATATTACCGTTCCAGTGCACCCCACACAGCGGTAATATACCACTATATCACAACAGGGAACAGTAACAAGTCGGGCATATTGCCGTTCCAGTGCACCCCACACAGCGGTAATATACCACTATATCACAACAGGGAACAGTAACAAGTCGGGCATATTACCGTTCCAGTGCACCCCACACAGCGGTAATATACCACTATATCACAACAGGGAACAGTAACAAGTCGGGCATATTACCGTTCCAGTGCACCCCACACAGCGGTAATATACCACTATATCACAACAGGGAACAGTAACAAGTCGGGCATATTACCGTTCCAGTGCACCCCACACAGCGGTAATATACCACTATATCACAACAGGGAACAGTAACAAGTCGGGCATATTACCGTTCCAGTGCACCCCACACAGCGGTAATATACCACTATATCACAACAGGGAACAGTAACAAGTCGGGCATATTACCGTTCCAGTGCACCCCACACAGCGGTAATATACCACTATATCACAACAGGGAACAGTAACAAGTCGGGCATATTACCGTTCCAGTGCACCCCACACAGCGGTAATATACCACTATATCACAACAGGGAACAGTAACAAGTCGGGCATATTACCGTTCCAGTGCACCCCACACAGCGGTAATATACCACTATATCACAACAGGGAACAGTAACAAGTCGGGCATATTACCGTTCCAGTGCACCCCACACAGCGGTAATATACCACTATATCACAACAGGGAACAGTAACAAGTCGGGCATATTACCGTTCCAGTGCACCCCACACAGCGGTAATATACCACTATATCACAACAGGGAACAGTAACAAGTCGGGTATATTACCGTTCCAGTGCACCCCACACAGCGGTAATATACCACTATATCACAACAGGGAACAGTAACAAGTCGGGTATATTACCGTTCCAGTGCACCCCACACAGCGGTAATATACCACTATATCACAACAGGGAACAGTAACAAGTCGGGCATATTACCGTTCCAGTGCACCCCACACAGCGGTAATATACCACTATATCACAACAGGGAACAGTAACAAGTCGGGAATATTACCGTTCCAGTGCACCCCACACAGCGGTAATATACCACTATATCACAACAGGGAACAGTAACAAGTCGGGCATATTACCGTTCCAGTGCACCCCACACAGCGGTAATATACCACTATATCACAACAGGGAACAGTAACAAGTCGGGCATATTACCGTTCCAGTGCACCCCACACAGCGGTAATATACCACTATATCACAACAGGGAACAGTAACAAGTCGGGCATATTACCGTTCCAGTGCACCCCACACAGCGGTAATATACCACTATATCACAACAGGGAACAGTAACAAGTCGGGCATATTACCGTTCCAGTGCACCCCACACAGCGGTAATATACCACTATATCACAACAGGGAACAGCAACAAGTCGGGCATATTACCGTTCCAGTGCACCCCACACAGCGGTAATATACCACTATATCACAACAGGGAACAGTAACAAGTCGGGCATATTACCGTTCCAGTGCACCCCACACAGCGGTAATATACCACTATATCACAACAGGGAACAGTAACAAGTCGGGCATATTACCGTTCCAGTGCACCCCACACAGCGGTAATATACCACTATATCACAACAGGGAACAGTAACAAGTCGGGCATATTACCGTTCCAGTGCACCCCACACAGCGGTAATATACCACTATATCACAACAGGGAACAGTAACAAGTCGGGTATATTACCGTTCCAGTGCACCCCACACAGCGGTAATATACCACTATATCACAACAGGGAACAGTAACAAGTCGGGTATATTACCGTTCCAGTGCACCCCACACAGCGGTAATATACCACTATATCACAACAGGGAACAGTAACAAGTCGGGTATATTACCGTTCCAGTGCACCCCACACAGCGGTAATATACCACTATATCACAACAGGGAACAGTAACAAGTCGGGCATATTACCGTTCCAGTGCACCCCACACAGCGGTAATATACCACTATATCACAACAGGGAACAGTAACAAGTCGGGCATATTACCGTTCCAGTGCACCCCACACAGCGGTAATATACCACTATATCACAACAGGGAACAGTAACAAGTCGGGCATATTACCGTTCCAGTGCACCCCACACAGCGGTAATATACCACTATATCACAACAGGGAACAGTAACAAGTCGGGCATATTACCGTTCCAGTGCACCCCACACAGCGGTAATATACCACTATATCACAACAGGGAACAGTAACAAGTCGGGCATATTACCGTTCCAGTGCACCCCACACAGCGGTAATATACCACTATATCACAACAGGGAACAGTAACAAGTCGGGTATATTACCGTTCCAGTGCACCCCACACAGCGGTAATATACCACTATATCACAACAGGGAACAGTAACAAGTCGGGCATATTACCGTTCCAGTGCACCCCACACAGCGGTAATATACCACTATATCACAACAGGGAACAGTAACAAGTCGGGTATATTACCGTTCCAGTGCACCCCACACAGCGGTAATATACCACTATATCACAACAGGGAACAGTAACAAGTCGGGCATATTACCGTTCCAGTGCACCCCACACAGCGGTAATATACCACTATATCACAACAGGGAACAGTAACAAGTCGGGTATATTACCGTTCCAGTGCACCCCACACAGCGGTAATATACCACTATATCACAACAGGGAACAGTAACAAGTCGGGCATATTACCGTTCCAGTGCACCCCACACAGCGGTAATATACCACTATATCACAACAGGGAACAGTAACAAGTCGGGCATATTACCGTTCCAGTGCACCCCACACAGCGGTAATATACCACTATATCACAACAGGGAACAGTAACAAGTCGGGCATATTACCGTTCCAGTGCACCCCACACAGCGGTAATATACCACTATATCACAACAGGGAACAGTAACAAGTCGGGTATATTACCGTTCCAGTGCACCCCACACAGCGGTAATATACCACTATATCACAACAGGGAACAGTAACAAGTCGGGCATATTACCGTTCCAGTGCACCCCACACAGCGGTAATATACCACTATATCACAACAGGGAACAGTAACAAGTCGGGTATATTACCGTTCCAGTGCACCCCACACAGCGGTAATATACCACTATATCACAACAGGGAACAGTAACAAGTCGGGTATATTACCGTTCCAGTGCACCCCACACAGCGGTAATATACCACTATATCACAACAGGGAACAGTAACAAGTCGGGTATATTACCGTTCCAGTGCACCCCACACAGCGGTAATATACCACTATATCACAACAGGGAACAGTAACAAGTCGGGTATATTACCGTTCCAGTGCACCCCACACAGCGGTAATATACCACTATATCACAACAGGGAACAGTAACAAGTCGGGTATATTACCGTTCCAGTGCACCCCACACAGCGGTAATATACCACTATATCACAACAGGGAACAGTAACAAGTCGGGTATATTACCGTTCCAGTGCACCCCACACAGCGGTAATATACCACTATATCACAACAGGGAACAGTAACAAGTCGGGCATATTACCGTTCCAGTGCACCCCACACAGCGGTAATATACCACTATATCACAACAGGGAACAGTAACAAGTCGGGTATATTACCGTTCCAGTGCACCCCACACAGCGGTAATATACCACTATATCACAACAGGGAACAGTAACAAGTCGGGCATATTGCCGTTCCAGTGCACCCCACACAGTGGTAATATACCACTATATCACAACAGGGAACAGTAACAAGTCGGGCATATTACCGTTCCAGTGCACCCCACACAGCGGTAATATACCACTATATCACAACAGGGAACAGTAACAAGTCGGGCATATTACCGTTCCAGTGCACCCCACACAGCGGTAATATACCACTATATCACAACAGGGAACAGTAACAAGTCGGGTATATTACCGTTCCAGTGCACCCCACACAGCGGTAATATACCACTATATCACAACAGGGAACAGTAACAAGTCGGGTATATTACCGTTCCAGTGCACCCCACACAGCGGTAATATACCACTATATCACAACAGGGAACAGTAACAAGTCGGGTATATTACCGTTCCAGTGCACCCCACACAGCGGTAATATACCACTATATCACAACAGGGAACAGTAACAAGTCGGGTATATTACCGTTCCAGTGCACCCCACACAGCGGTAATATACCACTATATCACAACAGGGAACAGTAACAAGTCGGGTATATTACCGTTCCAGTGCACCCCACACAGCGGTAATATACCACTATATCACAACAGGGAACAGTAACAAGTCGGGCATATTACCGTTCCAGTGCACCCCACACAGCGGTAATATACCACTATATCACAACAGGGAACAGTAACAAGTCGGGCATATTACCGTTCCAGTGCACCCCACACAGCGGTAATATACCACTATATCACAACAGGGAACAGTAACAAGTCGGGCATATTACCGTTCCAGTGCACCCCACACAGCGGTAATATACCACTATATCACAACAGGGAACAGTAACAAGTCGGGTATATTACCGTTCCAGTGCACCCCACACAGCGGTAATATACCACTATATCACAACAGGGAACAGTAACAAGTCGGGTATATTACCGTTCCAGTGCACCCCACACAGCGGTAATATACCACTATATCACAACAGGGAACAGTAACAAGTCGGGTATATTACCGTTCCAGTGCACCCCACACAGCGGTAATATACCACTATATCACAACAGGGAACAGTAACAAGTCGGGTATATTACCGTTCCAGTGCACCCCACACAGCGGTAATATACCACTATATCACAACAGGGAACAGTAACAAGTCGGGTATATTACCGTTCCAGTGCACCCCACACAGCGGTAATATACCACTATATCACAACAGGGAACAGTAACAAGTCGGGTATATTACCGTTCCAGTGCACCCCACACAGCGGTAATATACCACTATATCACAACAGGGAACAGTAACAAGTCGGGTATATTACCGTTCCAGTGCACCCCACACAGCGGTAATATACCACTATATCACAACAGGGAACAGTAACAAGTCGGGCATATTACCGTTCCAGTGCACCCCACACAGCGGTAATATACCACTATATCACAACAGGGAACAGCAACAAGTCGGGTATATTACCGTTCCAGTGCACCCCACACAGCGGTAATATACCACTATATCACAACAGGGAACAGTAACAAGTCGGGTATATTACCGTTCCAGTGCACCCCACACAGCGGTAATATACCACTATATCACAACAGGGAACAGTAACAAGTCGGGTATATTACCGTTCCAGTGCACCCCACACAGCGGTAATATACCACTATATCACAACAGGGAACAGTAACAAGTCGGGTATATTACCGTTCCAGTGCACCCCACACAGCGGTAATATACCACTATATCACAACAGGGAACAGTAACAAGTCGGGTATATTACCGTTCCAGTGCACCCCACACAGCGGTAATATACCACTATATCACAACAGGGAACAGTAACAAGTCGGGTATATTACCGTTCCAGTGCACCCCACACAGCGGTAATATACCACTATATCACAACAGGGAACAGTAACAAGTCGGGTATATTACCGTTCCAGTGCACCCCACACAGCGGTAATATACCACTATATCACAACAGGGAACAGTAACAAGTCGGGTATATTACCGTTCCAGTGCACCCCACACAGCGGTAATATACCACTATATCACAACAGGGAACAGTAACAAGTCGGGTATATTACCGTTCCAGTGCACCCCACACAGCGGTAATATACCACTATATCACAACAGGGAACAGTAACAAGTCGGGCATATTACCGTTCCAGTGCACCCCACACAGCGGTAATATACCACTATATCACAACAGGGAACAGCAACAAGTCGGGCATATTACCGTTCCAGTGCACCCCACACAGCGGTAATATACCACTATATATCACAACAGGGAACAGTAACAAGTCGGGCATATTACCGTTCCAGTGCACCCCACACAGCGGTAATATACCACTATATCACAACAGGGAACAGTAACAAGTCGGGTATATTACCGTTCCAGTGCACCCCACACAGCGGTAATATACCACTATATCACAACAGGGAACAGTAACAAGTCGGGTATATTACCGTTCCAGTGCACCCCACACAGCGGTAATATACCACTATATCACAACAGGGAACAGTAACAAGTCGGGTATATTACCGTTCCAGTGCACCCCACACAGCGGTAATATACCACTATATCACAACAGGGAACAGTAACAAGTCGGGTATATTACCGTTCCAGTGCACCCCACACAGCGGTAATATACCACTATATCACAACAGGGAACAGTAACAAGTCGGGTATATTACCGTTCCAGTGCACCCCACACAGCGGTAATATACCACTATATCACAACAGGGAACAGTAACAAGTCGGGTATATTACCGTTCCAGTGCACCCCACACAGCGGTAATATACCACGCGGTGAGACGCAGGAGGTCACTGTAAAGTTTAATCCTGATCACAAGGACTCCTACAGGGACGTTGTTATTGTTAACCTCCTTAATCAGGTACACTCAGCTAATCTCTTTCTGAACATTCCACTATTGTACTGCATTTGTGAGGTATACCTGACTATTTATTGTAATATCTTTTCCCTATTTATAAAGTATAATCTTTACAACCATTAAATTATAATATTTTCCAGCCCCAAGAGACGAGAATAGAAGTAAAGGGACAGTCCTGGACCGGGTCAATGTTCGTGTTGGGAGCACGTGATCCAGAACCATCTGTCACATTACACACACGTTAGTTTTTAGCAGAACCCTCTGTCACATTACACACACGTTAGTTTTTAGCAGAACCCTCTGTCACATTACACACACGTTAGTTTTTAGCAGGACCCTCTGTCACATTACACACACGTTAGTTTTTAGCAGGATCCTCTGTCACATTACACACACGTTAGTTTTTAGCAGGACCCTCTGTCACATTACACACACGTTAGTTTTTAGCAGGATCCTCTGTCACATTACACACACGTTAGTTTTTAGCAGAACCCTCTGTCACATTACACACACGTTAGTTTTTAGCAGGACCCTCTGTCACATTACACACACGTTAGTTTTTAGGGCATTCATTAAGGATTTTAGAGGTTGTCTGTTCAACTTTGGTTTAAATTAGTATCCTGAGTTCAAAAGCTGTCGTAAATAAACTAAAATGTAGTTTATGAATATAGATATGAAGCGGCTTTTCACTTTATTAATTTGGAAGATAAACATAGTTAGTTATTCAGTTAAATTCATGAAATTTAAAGATTTAGAAATCACTTTATCAATTTGTAATTTGATCAGTTAACTCCATGAAATTTAAAAACATTTTTCCTTCTTCCAGTGGTACCACATATAGAAGATCTGGCAGCCGAACCTGAACCAGAAGAGTTTAGAGGGGAGTTGTGGGTAGTCTTTATCTGCTCTCTGAGTGCTCCTAAACAGGTACCTTACCTTTATCTGCTCTCTGAGTGCTCCTAAACAGGTACCTTACCTTTATCTGCTCTCTGAGTGCTCCTAAACAGGTACCTTACCTTTATCTGCTCTCTGAGTGCTCCTAAACAGGTACCTTACTTTTATCTGCTCTCTGAGTGCTCCTAAACAGGTACCTTACCTTTATCTGCTCTCTGAGTGCTCCTAAACAGGTACCTTACCTTTATCTGCTCTCTGAGTGCTCCTAAACAGGTACCTTACCTTTATCTGCTCTCTGAGTGCTCCTAAACAGGTACCTTACCTTTATCTGCTCTCTGAGTGCTCCTAAACAGGTACCTTTCTGCAATTTCTTACTGGTACAGTGCAAACGAGATGTTGATAAGATTCCTGTCCATGAAGCTAGAAAATGTGGTTTTAACAAATTGTAATAATCAATTGTTCAGTAATTGCTATTTCCATGTTTTAGTGAATCTAACCTCCCTACCAGACGTTTAGTGAAACCGTCAGTATTGGAAACTGTCGTGGGGCTGGTGTGAAGGCTGACGCTATCAACTCTAAGGACAAGGCCCCCAAGGTACCTTAAACATTTCTAGGCCTTTTTCTGGATCATCAATGTAGTGTTTTTCGAATATGGGTTATAAATTATTTTAAGTTAAGATTAACTGAATTCGAAATTAACTGCGATAACATTATCTATCTCAGCCGAGTGGAGACTTCGCGTTTGATCCTCTGAAGGCAGATTATGGGCCACTGGTTAAGGCTTTGGTTATCAACCCTCCAAAGGTAGTATAAACTTACTAAAAATCATTACCACAAGAAATATAGAAACAATTTTAAATGTTTATAAACATTAAAAATTCTTTTTATAAATAAAAAGAATTGAGCAATCATTTTTTCGCAATTTCATTTACAATGTTCAATTAACATTTTACTTCGACAGGGCTCCGTAGAATCGTGCACAAATGTTCCGGTGACGTTTCAATTCAGTCCTCCTAAGGAGTTGGCTGAAGTTGGTTCAAGACTTCAGTTCAATACCATGTTAACACTCAAAGGAGAGACAATCGAGCAGTTTAGGGTTAACTTTGTGGCAGAAATTGTCAAATGATAGTCCTTGATTTGGTTTAAGAATATAATGCTTTGGACCATGATAAAATTTTGATTGTAAATACAATGTTTAACTGTAAATAATTTTAGATTTCCGAGACAGATCAAATGATTTTCTTTCTCATCGTTTTTCTGGGACGTAAAATGTACAGTTTTGCTTGAAATTGTAACGCGCGTAATACTTATTGTATAGATTTGGGCGCCGTTTCTATGACAACAACGCGCACACATTCTTCATTTGGATCAAAAGCAAGGCCGATGTCAAACAGTTGCAAAAGCAGACTCGCCTTGGACGATCGCCAATTTGCATCTTTCTTAACTTCCTCCCAACATTAGAGGTATGGATAAACGAAATGAACAATGACAGAATCGCAGTCATTGGTAGCGCCTTATAACATCGGCTTGAACGAAAGAAATGAACTAGGTGTTGTAAGCGAAGCAGCTAGACGAATAGCAGCAGCCTCTGTACCTGTACTTTGCGGGTGAGTTGATTTAATGTGACATTTTCCAAATATCGTGTGCTATGAAACACGAAAGCTAAATTGGTCTCTTGGGAGTATCTTATTTATGGTACACATTTAATGATCATTTTTCCAGAACTACTAGCTCGGATCACTTGATTACACTTCTAGACTCAATTTCTCTACTATCTTCAGACCTTCAAGACCACTCTCAGGTACAATCAAAAGTTCTCATTGCCTTTAAAAACATTGAGTTCATTGGCGAAGTTTTGCCCATAACCAAATCTTTAACATTTACCCTTAGAATTAAATGTGTGGGTTTGATATTTCGAATTTAAAATGTCCGTTACTGCAGGTTAAACACTACGTGGAGAGGATATGTTTTTATCTGGAAAGAAACCCCAACACAAAGCTACAGAGTAAAATAAAGCAGATATTCCCTAAGGTAATGAAGACGATCAGCCGTTCGTTTTGAATCTAAACATTGATAAATCATGAGTCATAAACTTATTCCATCTTAAGTCAGGACTAAAAACTCTTACCTCAGCTCGCTGCAGCATACAAACGGCAGGTATGGCAGACGGGGACTCCACGTGCAACTCCTGCGCAGCAGCGCACGCAACATGCGGAGAAGCGCAGTCGTGCTCATCATGTGCCAGGCCCGGAGGTGTTTCTTCTTAGGGACGCTGAGGTTAGTCATAACCAAGCGGCAAGAAGTGTGTCAGTTGTTAGAAAGTTCTGCATTACCAGGACTCTTGTTATCCAAAAACTCCCAAAAGTCAATAACTAATATTAATCTAACTTTGTCCCAGGTCGAGAAAGTGGCACTGCTCACGACTAATATTAATCTAATTTTCTCCCAGGTCGAGAAAGTGGCACTGCTCACCATGGCAGACCTGCGGGACTCCCTCCCAAATGTGGCGTGCGAGATGGCGAGCTATGAGGCAGCTTGGCGGGGTGCTTTAGGGAGCACCGCCGCCGCCCTTAAACTTAGACTTGCAGACAACATTTCCAGTGATACTGTCCATTTGAGGGTTTGATTTTTAAGTATATAAACTTTGGTAAACGTTAATTGTACGAGTAAGTCGCGGTTAAATAAACGTTGGTAATTAAATTCTTAAACAACTTTATGAGTGTACTAGTGTACTAGTGTAACCTATTAAACTAGTGTATTTCAAATGTTCGCAGGCAGAGGAAGTTGTGGAGCCACAAACAGTTGTAGAAGCAACTCGCAAATCATTCGTATTCCCCAAATCTAAACCCCCCAGAACTGGTCGAGAGGTTAGTTAGAGATTTAATTGTTATCAATTAGTTTAACTTATTGTAGATTATTTGATTGCAGTAAGGCTGAATACTGATATACTATATTAGGAGAGGGGTGATCAATACTTGTCACGCGATCACCGCTTTCTTGTCACGTGATCACCGCTCTCTTGTCACGTGATATACCGCTCTCTCAGGTTGTGGACCACATCTTGTCTGGGATGCTGACCACGCAGACCTACATCGCCTACCTCAACAAACCCAACCCTACCAGGCCCTACCACCTCATCGTGGTACCCAAATCCAAACTCCAGCCAGAACACTTTATCATGTCTTCTTTCGGTGTGATGCATGTGCTGCCCAACGGGGATAATGGTATTATTATAATAAATATAATGGTATTATTATAATAAATATAATGGTATTATTATAATAAATATAATGGTATTATTATTATAAATATAATGGTATTATTATAATAAATAAATGGTATTATTATAATAAATATAATGGTATTTGGTTTCTTGGTGTGTTTTGAGGGATGTTGCTCAAATTTAATACAAGTTACGGCAACAAATATTGATATTGCAGAATCATGCAAACTCCTCTCGAGAACATTTGTTCAGTAATTAAATAGTAATATTAAATATTATTCGATCTGCAGAAGTGTACAGTTTATCAAAATGGCTGAGGAATGCACAGATCTATGATCATATCATCGATATACGTTTCTTCAAACATTTCAACCTTCTTCGTCACTTTCTACGGTATGGTTCTGAAAACTATCCTCGTGCAATTTTACTTTAACTTAGTTATATTGTTAATTTTCATAGTACTTAAGCAAGTTTAAATAACGTAAAAAGTTGATGTAAATTAATTCCCAGATGGAGAATTAACGCAGTTCTTGAGAGGTTTGAAAGACACAGGAACATTATTCAGAACGATCTGCTAATTACTGTTCCTACCTTCGGTAAAAACCTCCTACAGATACATGCTCTTATTTTCGAGGTTTGGAGATAATATTAGTTTAAATTAATGAATAATTATTTTATAGACATAGTTTATAAACACACTAAAAATACACTGTGACATCGTTTCGATTAGTTGATGGTGGAGCTGTAATTTTTTCATCAATGTTTGCAAGCAGATATTTGAATGAACTCGATTTTTACTGGTAAACGATTCGACAAATTATGGGCCGGCATAGTGCCGGAGCGGGTATGATCCGCTAACCTCCTCGTAACATGCGGTGCTCTACCAAAAAACTAATGATATACTTATGTCAGTATAGAACATACCCGGTACACTGATAATGTACTCTTCTAGTTGATGACGGTACCTAAGACCAGTATAGAACACATCATACCCGGTACACTGATAATGTACTCTTCTAGTTGATGACGGTACCTAAGACCAGTATAGAACACATCATACCCGGTACACTGATAATGTACTCTTCTAGTTGATGACGGTACCTAAGACCAGTATAGAACACATCATACCCGGTACACTGATAATGTACTCTTCTAGTTGATGACGGTACCTAAGACCAGTATAGAACACATCATACCCGGTACACTGATAATGTACTCTTCTAGTTGATGACGGTACCTAAGACCAGTATAGAACACATCATACCCGGTACACTGATAATGTACTCTTCTAGTTGATGACGGTACCTAAGACCAGTATAGAACACATCATACCCGGTACACTGATAATGTACTCTTCTAGTTGATGACGGTACCTAAGACCAGTATAGAACACATCATACCCGGTACACTGATAATGTACTCTTCTAGTTGATGACGGTACCTAAGACCAGTATAGAACACATCATACCCGGTACACTGATAATGTACTCTTCTAGTTGATGACGGTACCTAAGACCAGTATAGAACACATCATACCCGGTACACTGATAATGTACTCTTCTAGTTGATGACGGTACCTAAGACCAGTATAGAACACATCATACCCGGTACACTGATAATGTACTCTTCTAGTTGATGACGGTACCTAAGACCAGTATAGAACACATCATACCCGGTACACTGATAATGTACTCTTCTAGTTGATGACGGTACCTAAGACCAGTATAGAACACATCATACCCGGTACACTGATAATGTACTCTTCTAGTTGATGACGGTACCTAAGACCAGTATAGAACACATCATACCCGGTACACTGATAATGTACTCTTCTAGTTGATGACGGTACCTAAGACCAGTATAGAACACATCATACCCGGTACACTGATAATGTACTCTTCTAGTTGATGACGGTACCTAAGACCAGTATAGAACACATCATACCCGGTACACTGATAATGTACTCTTCTAGTTGATGACGGTACCTAAGACCAGTATAGAACACATCATACCCGGTACACTGATAATGTACTCTTCTAGTTGATGACGGTACCTAAGACCAGTATAGAACACATCATACCCGGTACACTGATAATGTACTCTTCTAGTTGATGACGGTACCTAAGACCAGTATAGAACACATCATACCCGGTACACTGATAATGTACTCTTCTAGTTGATGACGGTACCTAAGACCAGTATAGAACACATCATACCCGGTACACTGATAATGTACTCTTCTAGTTGATGACGGTACCTAAGACCAGTATAGAACACATCATACCCGGTACACTGATAATGTACTCTTCTAGTTGATGACGGTACCTAAGACCAGTATAGAACACATCATACCCGGTACACTGATAATGTACTCTTCTAGTTGATGACGGTACCTAAGACCAGTATAGAACACATCATACCCGGTACACTGATAATGTACTCTTCTAGTTGATGACGGTACCTAAGACCAGTATAGAACACATCATACCCGGTACACTGATAATGTACTCTTCTAGTTGATGACGGTACCTAAGACCAGTATAGAACACATCATACCCGGTACACTGATAATGTACTCTTCTAGTTGATGACGGTACCTAAGACCAGTATAGAACACATCATACCCGGTACACTGATAATGTACTCTTCTAGTTGATGACGGTACCTAAGACCAGTATAGAACACATCATACCCGGTACACTGATAATGTACTCTTCTAGTTGATGACGGTACCTAAGACCAGTATAGAACACATCATACCCGGTACACTGATAATGTACTCTTCTAGTTGATGACGGTACCTAAGACCAGTATAGAACACATCATACCCGGTACACTGATAATGTACTCTTCTAGTTGATGACGGTACCTAAGACCAGTATAGAACACATCATACCCGGTACACTGATAATGTACTCTTCTAGTTGATGACGGTACCTAAGACCAGTATAGAACACATCATACCCGGTACACTGATAATGTACTCTTCTAGTTGATGACGGTACCTAAGACCAGTATAGAACACATCATACCCGGTACACTGATAATGTACTCTTCTAGTTGATGACGGTACCTAAGACCAGTATAGAACACATCATACCCGGTACACTGATAATGTACTCTTCTAGTTGATGACGGTACCTAAGACCAGTATAGAACACATCATACCCGGTACACTGATAATGTACTCTTCTAGTTGATGACGGTACCTAAGACCAGTATAGAACACATCATACCCGGTACACTGATAATGTACTCTTCTAGTTGATGACGGTACCTAAGACCAGTATAGAACACATCATACCCGGTACACTGATAATGTACTCTTCTAGTTGATGACGGTACCTAAGACCAGTATAGAACACATCATACCCGGTACACTGATAATGTACTCTTCTAGTTGATGACGGTACCTAAGACCAGTATAGAACACATCATACCCGGTACACTGATAATGTACTCTTCTAGTTGATGACGGTACCTAAGACCAGTATAGAACACATCATACCCGGTACACTGATAATGTACTCTTCTAGTTGATGACGGTACCTAAGACCAGTATAGAACACATCATACCCGGTACACTGATAATGTACTCTTCTAGTTGATGACGGTACCTAAGACCAGTATAGAACACATCATACCCGGTACACTGATAATGTACTCTTCTAGTTGATGACGGTACCTAAGACCAGTATAGAACACATCATACCCGGTACACTGATAATGTACTCTTCTAGTTGATGACGGTACCTAAGACCAGTATAGAACACATCATACCCGGTACACTGATAATGTACTCTTCTAGTTGATGACGGTACCTAAGACCAGTATAGAACACATCATACCCGGTACACTGATAATGTACTCTTCTAGTTGATGACGGTACCTAAGACCAGTATAGAACACATCATACCCGGTACACTGATAATGTACTCTTCTAGTTGATGACGGTACCTAAGACCAGTATAGAACACATCATACCCGGTACACTGATAATGTACTCTTCTAGTTGATGACGGTACCTAAGACCAGTATAGAACACATCATACCGGTACACTGATAATGTAACTCTTCTAGTTGATGACGGTACCTAAGACCAGTATAGAACACATCATACCCGGTACACTGATAATGTACTCTTCTAGTTGATGACGGTACCTAAGACCAGTTATATAACACATCATACCCGGTACACTGATAATGTACTCTTTCTAGTTGATGACGGTACCTAAGACCAGTATAGAACACATCATACCCGGTACACTGATAATGTACTCTTCTAGTAGATGACGGTACCTAAGACCAGTATAGAACACATCATACCCGGTACACTGATAATGTACTCTTCTAGTTGATGATGGTACCTAAGACCCGTATAGAACACATCATACCCGGTACACTGATAATGTACTCTTCTAGTTGATGACGGTACCTAAGACCAGTATAGAACACATCATACCCGGTACACTGATAATGTACTCTTCTAGTTGATGACGGTACCTAAGACCAGTATAGAACACATCATACCCGGTACACTGATAATGTACTCTTCTAGTTGATGACGGTACCTAAGACCAGTATAGAACACATCATACCCGGTACACTGATAATGTACTCTTCTAGTTGATGACGGTACCTAAGACCAGTATAGAACACATCATACCCGGTACACTGATAATGTACTCTTCTAGCTGATGACGGTACCTAAGGCCAGTATAGAACACATCATACCCGGTACACTGATAATGTACTCTTCTAGTTGATGACGGTACCTAAGACCAGTATAGAACACATCATACCCGGTACACTGATAATGTACTCTTCTAGTTGATGACGGTACCTAAGACCAGTATAGAACACATCATACCCGGTACACTGATAATGTACTCTTCTAGTTGATGACGGTACCTAAGACCAGTATAGAACACATCATACCCGGTACACTGATAATGTACTCTTCTAGTTGATGACGGTACCTAAGACCAGTATAGAACACATCATACCCGGTACACTGATAATGTACTCTTCTAGTTGATGACGGTACCTAAGACCAGTATAGAACACATCATACCCGGTACACTGATAATGTACTCTTCTAGCTGATGACGGTACCTAAGGCCAGTATAGAACACATCATACCCGGTACACTGATAATGTACTCTTCTAGTTGATGACGGTACCTAAGACCAGTATAGAACACATCATACCCGGTACACTGATAATGTACTCTTCTAGTTGATGACGGTACCTAAGACCAGTATAGAACACATCATACCCGGTACACTGATAATGTACTCTTCTAGTTGATGACGGTACCTAAGACCAGTATAGAACACATCATACCCGGTACACTGATAATGTACTCTTCTAGTTGATGACGGTACCTAAGACCAGTATAGAACACATCATACCCGGTACACTGATAATGTAATCTTCTAGTTGATGACGGTACCTAAGACCAGTATAGAACACATCATACCCGGTACACTGATAATGTACTCTTCTAGTTGATGACGGTACCTAAGACCAGTATAGAACACATCATACCCGGTACACTGATAATGTACTCTTCTAGTTGATGACGGTACCTAAGACCAGTATAGAACACATCATACCTGGTACACTGATAATGTACTCTTCTAGTTGATGACGGTACCTAAGACCAGTATAGAACACATCATACCCGGTACACTGATAATGTACTCTTCTAGTTGATGAAGGTACCTAAGACCAGTATAGAACACATCATACCCGGTACACTGATAATGTACTCTTCTAGTTGATGACGGTACCTAAGACCAGTATAGAACACATCATACCCGGTACACTGATAATGTACTCTTCTAGTTGATGACGGTACCTAAGACCAGTATAGAACACATCATACCCGGTACACTGATAATGTACTCTTCTAGTTGATGACGGTACCTAAGACCAGTATAGAACACATCATACCCGGTACACTGATAATGTACTCTTCTAGTTGATGACGGTACCTAATACCAGTATAGAACACATCATACCCGGTACACTGATAATGTACTCTTCTAGTTGATGACGGTACCTAAGACCAGTATAGAACACATCATACCCGGTACACTGATAATGTACTCTTCTAGTTGATGACGGTACCTAAGACCAGTATAGAACACATCATACCCGGTACACTGATAATGTACTCTTCTAGTTGATGACGGTACCTAAGACCAGTATAGAACACATCATACCTGGTACACTGATAATGTACTCTTCTAGTTGATGACGGTACCTAAGACCAGTATAGAACACATCATACCCGGTACACTGATAATGTACTCTTCTAGTTGATGACGGTACCTAAGACCAGTATAGAACACATCATACCCGGTACACTGATAATGTACTCTTCTAGTTGATGACGGTACCTAAGACCAGTATAGAACACATCATACCCGGTACACTGATAATGTACTCTTCTAGTTGATGACGGTACCTAAGACCAGTATAGAACACATCATACCCGGTACACTGATAATGTACTCTTCTAGTTGATGACGGTACCTAATACCAGTATAGAACACATCATACCCGGTACACTGATAATGTACTCTTCTAGTTGATGACGGTACCTAAGACCAGTATAGAACACATCATACCCGGTACACTGATAATGTACTCTTCTAGTTGATGACGGTACCTAAGACCAGTATAGAACACATCATACCCGGTACACTGAAGAACTTCTCCGATACCGCTAAGAAGCAGCTGCAGTTTCTGATAAAGTACATCACCAGATTCCTTCATTACACCAAACAACTAGACGCCACCGCTGACCAGGTAACAAGTTGTAGGTAACCAGGTAACCAGGTAACCAGCTAACCAGGTAACCAGGTAATCAGGTAACCAGGTAACCAGGTAACCAGGTAAACAGGTAACCAGGTAACCAGGTAACCAGGTAACCAGGTAACCAGGTAACCAGGTAACCAGGTAACCAGGTAACCAGGTAACCAGGTAACCAGTTGTAGGTATTTTATAGGAACACACAAAACGTCTGATCTGTGTCATGTGTGTCCACTCGAACGTGGACGCGAAAATAGGTAGGTTTCTGAGCAAGAGTTTAATTAAATTACATACTACATACTACATACTACATACTACATACTACATACTACATACTACATACTACATACTACATACTACATGCTACATACTACATACTACATACTACATACTACATACTACATACTACATACTACATACTACATACTACATACTACATACTACATACTACATACTACATACTACATACTACATACTACATACTACATACTACATACTACATACTACATACTACATACTACATACTACATACTACATACTACATACTACATACTACATACTACATACTACATACTAAGATACTACATACTACATACTACATACTACATACTACATACTACATACTACATACTACATACTACATACTACATACTACATACTACATACTACATACTACATACTACATACTACATACTACATACTAAGATACTACATACTACATACTACATACTACATACTACATACTACATACTACATACTACATACTACATACTACATACTACATACTACATACTACATACTACATACTAAGATACTACATACTACATACTACATACTACATACTACATACTACATACTACATACTACATAATACATTACACTTGTCCATTACACCTCTCCCCCAGTATCTAACTAGTCGGCTGCAAGACGCTACAGTGAACAACAGACCTTCACCTGATTACCTGACAAACCCTATCTCGGTACAGAAAGAAAAGAAGCACATGAGACTGCAGTACCTGCAACTGTGTCGCAGTCAGCACTCCTGCCTTCCTAATTACAGGTTAATTTATTCAAGCTTCAAACCATTCTTAGCTGAACAGACAATTGAATACGAAACTCTCTGCCTTTTAAAATAAAAGTTGTTTTGTACGATCTTAATCAACGAACTATTTTATCATCCGGCAGGAGATCAGTACAGTTTATGGTTCAGAATCTGGTGGTTAACTTCGTTGCAGACTCGACTATTCACCTGGTGAGATTATAATATTCTACTTGTTTAAAGATAAGAGAACCCTAATGTGGTATGTATGTAGCGTGTGTACTATCGGGAACATTAATTTTTTTATAATAAATATCATTGCAGATCGGAAAGATAGAGAATTTCATCGGTGAAGGTTCGGGCTCGTTGGTAACAATAAACCTGGTGTACGGATTAAGCAGTGAGTCTGAGGATGTAATCATCAGTTACCCTCCTATAGACAATATAGAGTCTACTCTCTTCTCACTGCTCCCCAACATTGCATCAGCAGGTACTTACAATTACTATTTCTCTTTCTCCTTCCCTTTCTCTTTCTCTTACCCTCCTATAGACAATATAGAGTCTACTCTCTTCTCACTCCTCCCCAACATCGCATCAGCAGGTACTTACAATTAATCATTCCTTCTCAATAGTAAAAAACATATCACACGTTGTTGTTCCGTTGTAGACAAAGAAAAATAATCATTTTAATTAAACACCGAAAATACAGAATAAAAAACTCTTGAAAGCTGAAACAAATCGTATATAAAATTAAGAACAACAATAAATCAACTGGAACTCAATTATCAGTACTTGCGATTCCAATTATGTACACAAATGTCTTACTCTTAGTTTGAAACAACAAATATTTCCACATCGTACCCAGCAATATAATACCCATTATCAGTGCGGAACTCCACTGTATCCCCCATCTTGCAACTAGTGTCCGGTGCAGTGTCCGGTGCAGTGTCCGGTGCAGTGTCCAGTGCAGTGTCCGATGCAGTATCCGGTGCAGCATTTTCCGCGTACACTGAAAGTTTGAACTCCCTACAAGTGTAGCCCTTACAAACCCCACACTCCCTCTGTGTACACATGTGAGTGTGATTGTTCCTTCTCTTCAAGCTCCGGTACCTCACCACTCTGCTTACACAGTACACCCCGTCTAGTGTTATCTTTAGCCAGGCTATACCAGTGTCATCGGGCATGGTGATAGATTTGGTTAACAGGTCACAATCTACCGCGTACTCTGCAACGTACGTGCGAAATGTTCGAGAATGTTCCGCCGAAATTGGTCTTATACTAATCTCGCCCTCCTCTGTGGGCTCCTCGAATCCTGGATATTCCTCAAATCCTGATAATGTATAGTGCAGTGTAGTTTTTAGGAAATTTCCAACTTCGAATACACGGTTATCATTTATGATTTAAGTATTTAATTCAGAACTTGTTAGTTTTCCACGGTTAATGCTTGTGTAACGATCACCTAAAACACTTTAAATCAATACATTTAAGAGAAAGCCTGTCATGTAACCTCAACATGTGCCTTACTAAATACAAGGTATGTATTAGATAACGTACCATGACAGAGAAGGAGAGATAAGATTAAGATAAAGATACGGAGAGAGCTCATTGTAGATAAGAGTTGACAAGAGTCGAGTCTTCCTTCCACTGTAGCAGCACTCTGCAAGCCTACATAAAACTACACAGTTGGGAGTTATTGTGACGATACCACGTGACGTGACGTCATACCACGTGACGTGACGTCATACCACATGACGTGACGTCATACCACGTGACGTGACGTCATACCACTGTAGCAGCACTCTGCAAGCCTACATAAAACTACTTAGTTGGGAGTTATTGTGGTACGATAACAGATGATGAATTGTAGAATTACAAAATGTGCAGCAATTTTAGGACCCATACAGAAATACTAATTAAATATGTGTTCTCAAAAACAATTTTGTGGCGTGAAAATGGTGTCACTGAACTTCATGTGAAGTCATTTGGGCTGGACCGATTTGGTGAATGGGCACTTAACTTGATTAGTATCATTTCCGAAATGTTAGAGGAACTTTATCGCCTAAATCCTAATAATTTGGTTCAGACTCTAGTAATAAACTCAGACAAAAAACCTCATCTCGAATTATTAAAATAAAAAACCTCATCTCGAATTATAAATTAATTAAGGTCTTCTTATCACATTGCAATCTACTAATCTATAAGATTTCAGGATTATTTAAAATGGGGTCTTAATGAGTTGCAGCTCATAATTATTATCTCCAAAGTCAAAATGTGCCTGATGCAGACACGCTCCAAATTATTAGCAGAAGTTATCATTTCTCAAAATATCTAATAAGAATTTTAAATCAAAGGTTTACTCTTGATTACTTCCTTGGTATTTTCGAAAGATAAGTTTTATTCATGTAAAGAGATACGATTTATCTAAATTTCCTAATAGTTTTATTACATTTTTATCTATGTATTTCCAAATTGATTGTAATTACAAATTTTAAGTTGTTAGTGCCGGGTGCTGCCTCCGGGTAGTGCTCCTCAATCAATCAATCAATCAGTTCATAAGTTATTTCATTTGTCAAAAACACCATATTTTAGAATGAATAAGGCTCTAAAAATAATTCACCGTCCCACCTTTCGGTTTCAGTAGGGCTGCATAAATATTCTTAAAAGATCTTGGATATTATTGTCAAATAATATCCATATTAAAGATAATTTAATAAAGTTTCCTGTGTTATCAGTTGAAATATCTCGGATGTCTTACTCCTCTGAAAATAGTATTGGTTAGTAATAATGCAAGAGAATAAAACCCAAACAGTTTAAAATCAATTCAATCTTTGTTCTGCCTAAAATTGAACGGCTCAAGTCAGACACTACATTTGTAAAAGTGTTTTTCTCACCAACTCTAACGAAGACCTTGAGCTCGTACATAGTAAGTATGTGCGCGTGCATATTGTGGAACTTGACACTGTCTCCTCTAGTGCAGCCGTTATCAGGCGGAGGAGCCGAGGGAGAGCCTGTGTAGTCCTCTGTGTAGACGGATATCAGAAGAGGGGCCTTCTTAGCACAGTACCCTTCACAGGAGTGACACCAGATCTCATCGTTAGTGCAGGTGAACGTGCTCTTGTACCTGTGATATCAGGGATTACATTTGGGCTCATTTCTATCAAACCTTCCTCAAAAGGTTCCAACTTACCTGGCAAGGTTCCAACTTACCTGGCAAGGTTCCAACTTACCTGGCAAGGTTCCAACTTACCTGGCAAGGTTCCAACTTACCTGGCAAGGTTCCAACTTACCTGGCAAGGTTCCAACTTACCTGGCAAGGTTCCAACTTACTTGGGGAGGTCGAGGAAGTACCAGATCTCCACAGTCTCCACACAGAACTCAGCCCCCAGATGAACTGTCACCCAGGTACCAGCTTCCCAGTCACTAGCTAGGTACTCCGTGATTGTCTGCGTCTTGAAGTTGTTGTCTATCACCTTGTGGGCACCGTATTTTTTTGGCATGTTTCGGAAAGGTCTGGACTGAGCAGCAGATACGGGTTGTATCTCTACAGTCTCTGCCGTGCAACCTGAATATTTAGGTGTTGTTGGTGTTGTTGGTGTTGTTGGTGTTGTTGGTGTTGTTGGTGTTGTTGGTGTTGTTGGTGTTGTTGGTGTTGTTGGTGTTGTTGGTGTTGTTGGTGTTGTTGGTGTTGTTGGTGTTGTTGGTGTTGTTGGTGTTGTTGGTGTTGTTGGTGTTGAATCTGGTGAGAGTCGTTGACTATGAGTTATGCACTTACCGCAAAACATCTGAGAGGCTAGCGCCACGATTAAGAGATATGTGAACATGACTGTCACCAGGCTGTCTTTATCCTAAACTAAAATTGAGAACATAGTAAATTTAACAATCCTCTAAATTTCATGTTTAAAAATAGAGGACTGACTGTAGACAGGCCAAAGCAAGTTAGTTTTTTAAGAGTTCATTATTTGCTTCCATCATATCACGTTATTTTATCGCCCTCTTGTTGGAGTTCCTTGTTCACAACAAAATGACTTAATAAAACATGACATATTGCCTATGATCAATGATATGGATTATGGATGGAATGTTCTTGCTTTTTCGGTTATTTGTAATCTTCGAGGGTGGAAGATATGGACGTTTTTGACCCGCCGAACAGATTTTTGGCTAATTTAAGTGATGATACTGATATCTCCAAGAAGGAGCAGAAACAATTAAACGATGAAAATAAAGTACATTGTCACGGGGAGCCACAAAATTAATGGTTACTGAGAATGAAAAGATGGTTTTTATCGATTTAGATTTAGAAATTTGTAATTACATTTGGATGGTTCAGCATATTCATTTTAATTTGCGCATGGTTATAAAGTTATAAGGATTCGGACTCAGTTTAAAAAGTTATCTTAATTCTAGATGGACTGATTAGTCTGATTAAATTACCTGCAAAATTGTGGAAGGTTCAAATTTGAACTGCGACCTTTCTGAGCGGGAAATACTGAACTGATGATGAAGTATCCACGGCCCACGCTGTAGCCATTTGCGATCAAATTTTATAGTTTAGACTTTAGATTATCGTCAATAAAATGATTCGTAAGAAAATGAAAAGCGAGTGGTTACAGCATTAGGTAGTAATATTTTATCCACTTCAGAACCCCTTGCACGAGTGGCAGAGTCTCTGATCTTGGGTGCAAGTAAATGTGCTCCTGTACCTAGAGTGTTACTTATTAGAACCATTACTGATAAGAATAATGCAATATAGAGATAAGAGGGCAATGTTGGAAGTACCAGATCTCACCATTATTAAAATAATAAAATTGTATTATCTCAATTTTACCGATAATATTTTACTGATATATAAATTAAGTCTTAAAACAAGTCTATTCGCTATATATAGCCATTTTACATCGTAAAGTCATTCATCTTAGATGATTTTGAAGAGTGAGATAATGAAATATATACAAGAGGATATATAGGATCACATTTATCATTTAGTGTGGGTAGAGAGAATGAAACTAAAATGAACTAAAATGAACTAAAATGAACTAAAATGAACTAAAATGAACTAAAATGTGACACAAATTAAGGATATATATTTTGTAAGTTAACAATTTGTGGTTTATATTATTATATTAGTGCTATATTTTCCCAGTTAAAACAAGTCAACAGTAAATAGTGAAATTCTAATTATTATTATTTCAATTATCACAAAAAATCATTTACGTAATTATGTATGTTTCAGTGCTGAGTTGCGCCAGAGAGTGGTTACCAGATAACGCACTGTTAAAACCTGATAAAGTTAACCAAATTCTCAGCTACAAGTTAGTAAAACAGAGGTCACCGTGTAACGCACCTATCAAGCTCATAACTGATATATATAATTGCAAAGTGTTATCTCCTCTACTTCAGGAGGAGAAGTTACCACCCTGATTACCCCTGATTACCCCTAATTACCCCTGATTACCCCATTACCCTTTTCAGCAAGGAGTATTCAGAGTCCTTATCTCGATACCAAGAGGTGTTAGAAACAGCGCTGAACGAAGTCCAGGAGTATTGTCGAGAAAAGGAGTGGCTCTGTGAGATTAGAGCCTTTGTTAGGACCTGGAAAAGTGTGGACCGGTATAAGGGGTCTCAAGCTACTTACATACAGGTATAAGGGGTCTCAAACTACTTACATACAGGTATAAGGGGTCGCAAGCTACTTACATACAGGTATAAGGGGTCTCAAACTACTTACATACAGGTATAAGGGGTCTCAAACTACTTACATACAGGTATAAGGGGTCTCAAACTACTTACATACAGGTATAAGGGGTCTCAAACTACTTACATACATGTATAAGTAGCAGATATTTATAAACTGAAATCTATAAATATGAGGTACTGATTACTCACGTAACATACACCTTAACTTGCCTTTTTCTAAAACTAGATAACAATTTCCTGTAATTTACTGTTAACAACAGGAAGTGCTGGAGAAGTTGAAGTTCTGGAGTCAGCATGTGGAGAGTTTGACGACAGAGTTTGATACAACAAACAACTTGTTCCACATCAGCTGCTCTGCCCTGTACAGCGCTTTACAAGTAACCAGATTTAGTTATTATAAAAACTAGCACTGTACAGCGCTTTACAAGTAACCAGATTTAATGGTGTCAAGACTCAAGAGACTAAAATAATTATTACCTATTTAATTCGCGAATTTGGTCCAAATTTTGGGCACTAATATTCTTATTCCTTGGCCAATTTTGTATTTTTTCATGCTGATTTCAGTATTATATCTTTTACGGTTTTTGCGGAACGTCGTGTTAAACTTAAAGTTGATGCAGTGGTGTCAGTAAAATGGTACGGATATATATATACCTATATTAGTAAGATGGTTTTCTGTATATTATGTAATAATCAGTGGCGGCGTCTTTTCAGCTATCCTTGTCTGCTGTGAACAGTTCATCTTCTGATGTCTTGATAAGGTTCCTTAGTACAGTACCTATGTAGGTACCTATAAGTTACAGGTAACTAACGTAATACCTCAACACTTTCACAGCCGGCCCTGGGAGAGATATACGAGTCCCTGATAACAATGGTTCAGAGCGAATTTGACGAGCGAGGTGCTCGGCTGATTGAGGAAACTCAGAATAAACACCAGGTCCTTATTGCTAAGTGTCTGTCACGTGTCTGTCGCGTGTCTGTCACGTGTCTGTCACGTGTCTGTCGCGTGTCTGTCACGTGTCTGTCACGTGTCTGTCACGTGTCTGTCACATGTCTGTCATATATCTGTCACGTGTCTGTCACGTGTCTATCACGTGTCTGTCACAACCTCAAATACTTGATTATGAAAATTGAAGCTCTTGTACATCACATTAAATTTTTGTAAATTTGTTTTAATTATGATATTTTGCATGATGATTTCGTATAGCATTTAACTTAAACACACCCCCCCCCCCCCCGGCCCTATCCCCACTCGATGCTAATGCTCACCCGCTAGTATTTGTCACAGATGCTGAAAGCACAAAAAGCTGAGGTGTCAAGTTTTGCTGAGTACGCTAAGACGCTGAGTAACGTGAAGCTGAACACTGAGGAACTGTTAGCGGAGAAGGAGTACATCAAGTCTCTCTACGGGATCTTGCAGAAACTTAAGATAGATAACCCACTCATGGCTGAGATAGGTCCGTCAAAACGATTCGCAAATTTAAACGTTTTCAAATAAACTACGAATGTCAAGATATTTTATACATGCTTTATTAATAACTCCTCCCTGACTATATCAGACAAGAGACTGCAGCTACAATGGGAGTTGTATCTCATGGTGCTCCATGATGGAGAGACCTTCATCACCAAGGAGGCTCCGGCTATGTTACAGGGCCTCGACGAGCAAATAAAGGTTATTATGGTACCTGTATTAGTTATTAAAGTGAGATCGAGCAGGACCCTCAGCTCCAACATTTGCTCGTCCAGCTTCTATTACTGTTCTATAAATGAATGTGAAAACCTTGAATAATTTGATCCTAAGTTTCCATTTATTTTCAGACCCTAGAAATAGAAGCAGAGATGATCCTGCGTAAGATATCACAAGTGGACTCCCCGTACTGTAACCCTAACACTGATCACGCAGTAATAATGCCTCTAGTGAGTACTGTAACCCTAACACTGATCACGCAGTAATAATGCCTCTAGTGAGTACTGTAACCCTAACACTGATCACGCAGTAATAATGCCTCTAGTGAGTACTGTAACCCTAACACTGATCACGCAGTAATAATGCCTCTAGTGAGTACTGTAACCCTAACACTGATCACGCAGTAATAATGCCTCTAGTGAGTACTGTAACCCTAACACTGATCACGCAGTAATAATGCCTCTTGTGAGTACTGTAACCCTAACACTGATCACGCAGTAATAATGCCTCTAGTGAGTACTGTAACCCTAACACTGATCACGCAGTAATAATGCCTCTAGTGAGTACTGTAACCCTAACACTGATCACGCAGTAATAATGCCTCTTGTGAGTACTGTAACCCTAACACTGATCACGCAGTAATAATGCCTCTTGTGAGTACTGTAACCCTAACACTGATCACGCAGTAATAATGCCTCTAGTGAGTACTGTAACCCTAACACTGATCACGCAGTAATAATGCCTCTTGTGAGTACTGTAACCCTAACACTGATCACGCAGTAATAATGCCTCTAGTGAGTACTGTAACCCTAACACTGATCACGCAGTAATAATGCCTCTCGTGAGTACTGTAACCCTAACACTGATCACGCAGTAATAATGCCTCTAGTGAGTACTGTAACCCTAACACTGATCACGCAGTAATAATGCCTCTAGTGAGTACTGTAACCCTAACACTGATCACGCAGTAATAATGCCTCTAGTGAGTACTGTAACCCTAACACTGATCACGCAGTAATAATGCCTCTAGTGAGTACTGTAACCCTAACACTGATCACGCAGTAATAATGCCTCTAGTGAGTACTGTAACCCTAACACTGATCACGCAGTAATAATGCCTCTAGTGAGTACTGTAACCCTAACACTGATCACGCAGTAATAATGCCTCTAGTGAGTACTGTAACCCTAACACTGATCACGCAGTAATAATGCCTCTAGTGAGTACTGTAACCCTAACACTGATCACGCAGTAATAATGCCTCTAGTGAGTACTGTAACCCTAACACTGATCACGCAGTAATAATGCCTCTAGTGAGTACTGTAACCCTAACACTGATCACGCAGTAATAATGCCTCTAGTGAGTACTGTAACCCTAACACTGATCACGCAGTAATAATGCCTCTAGTGAGTACTGTAACCCTAACACTGATCACGCAGTAATAATGCCTCTTGTGAGTACTGTAACCCTAACACTGATCACGCAGTAATAATGCCTCTCGTGATTACTGTATCCCTAACACTGATCACGCAGTAATAATGCCTCTCGTGAGTACTGTAACCCTAACACTGATCACGCAGTAATAATGCCTCTAGTGAGTACTGTAACCCTAACACTGATCACGCAGTAATAATGCCTCTCGTGAGTTCGCTCATTATCACTATTAGTTCAAATTGAGCTGTTTTTTTAAATGCAATGATTTGTCCATATTATATTTATGGATCTTGCACTGATTTGCAGTTTGCTATTTGCCGAATATTCACGCCGGTGGGACGCCAGTAAGTTTAATGAGTTTTTATTAAAGTTACATATTTTAGTAGGGTTAAATGAAGTTTACAGACAGGAACTGTAAAATATCCATCATTTGATCGGGAATGAAAAAGTATATCAATTCGTGACTTAATTTTAGATTAGATAAAGAATAAAGACGAAACTACGGATAAAATGAGTAATAAATAGAATAACAGGCCGGGTTACCCTAGTAATTACATAATATCTTATTTAATTGGTCATTTAATCAGTACAAACACGTCGTATTGAAAACCAATTAACGTAGTATTGAAAACCAATTAACGTAGTATTGAAAACCAATTAATAAATTTCACTCGGTGAAATAAAAATTATGGAAAGAGGATGGTCCTGGATGGACCTAAAGAGGATAGCATAAAATTGCTTTGCTTTGGGAGTTTGGGGTTTGACAACCCTCCAGTGCTCTGGAAGTGGAAGGATATGATGACAGGGAAATCTAACGCAATAACAAGTTTTTGATGTGTATTCCAGGCTCCGACAGTCCTTGTCAACCCATCTAGATCCTTCTTTTAAAACTTCTTAGCCCGTCATGAGTCTTTACATTTTAATGAACCTGGTTAATGGCGATTTTATTGTTTAGCCCATTCCAGTTTAAATCACTTAATAATCGTAGTGTATTACTTTGCTATTCGTTCCTAGCGTTTATATCAACGCATTGTAGTTGTAGTGGCGTAACGTTACCACTGCATTGTAGTTGTAGTGGCGTAACGTTAACACTGCATTTCTGTAGTAATGGCGTAACGTTACCACTGCATTGTAGTTGTAGTGGCGTAACGTTACCACTGCATTGTAGTTGTAGTGGCGTAACGTTACCACTGCATTTCTGTAGTAATGGCGTAACGTTACCACTGCATTGTTGTTGTAGTGGCGTAACTTTACCACTGCATTGTAGTTGTAGTGGCGTAACGTTACCACTGCATTTCTGTAGTAATGGCGTAACGTTACCACTGCATTGTAGTTGTAGTGGCGTAACGTTACCACTGCATTGTAGTAGTAATGGCGTAACGTTACCACTGCATTTCTGTAGTAATGGCGTAACGTTACCACTGCATTGTTGTTGTAGTGGCGTAACGTTACCACTGCATTGTAGTTGTAGTGGCGTAACGTTACCACTGCATTGTAGTTGTAGTGGCGTAACGTTACCACTGCATTGTAGTTGTAGTGGCGTAACGTTACCACTGCATTTCTGTAGTAATGGCGTAACGTTACCACTGCATTGTAGTTGTAATGGCGTAACGTTACCACTGCATTGTAGTTGTAGTGGCGTAACGTTACCACTGCATTGTAGTTGTAGTGGCGTAACTTTACCACTGCATTGTAGTTGTAATGGCGTAACGTTACCACTGCATTGCTGGTTTAAATCGTCGGTTTTGTCTGCTGTCTTACTTAGCTTTTTAAATAAAAAAGGGAAATCTTCTGTTTCACTTTTATAAAAGTATACCGGATTTTTGGTTATTTGTTGTTCTTTATAGCTTTATAGGAAGCCTTCAATACTAATACTAATAAATTTCACAATATCGGAATTAATTAGTGCGCACTGCGCATCCACTGTTGAGCCCGGAAATAACACGTGAACTGATTTAACAGCTACTAAGTACTCACGTGTTCCAATCAAGCAACATGTCAACTCGGAAGTAAGACATATCGTGAATCCAGCAAACTAATTTTGGGCTTCGGCAAATTGTAGAAAATGGAGTATAAGTAGTGTGGTGACGTCACGTGATAATGTGATGACGTCACGTGATAATGTGGTGAGTGTTCTATTGGTCCAGGCATCCTACGAAGTGAAACCACCTTTTCCGCATATCTCGCCACTGTGTTAACGAGATTTACTGTTGCCACTCACTTTCACTATCACTTTCTCTTTGTATTTCTCATTTGTCCGATCAGAGAAAACTTGCTATGTGATAGTTGTGTGATCGCAATTTGTTTTGTTTATAAAATACTGATATCATCCATTTCTCATGTTAGAGATTCAAGATTGCTGGGGAGGGCTTAACAAAGCGGACATGAGAATATTAAAATTAAACTGACTTAGACTACATTAATTGTTGACACTATCAGTACGTATTTTACCCGATAAAACTTCTCTTTTACCCCACTCCACATTATAGGATCTGTACGCTATGTTGCGGTGTCTACTCCTAACTCTGGCTGTGGTCTCTGCCACCTCTGCAGTGAAATGTTACTCCGGATGTGTAGCCGGTACCATTGAGATGGCCGGACAGAGCCAGGGCTACCCCGGCGGAGAGTGTACTGACGACACCACCGCCATGTGTGAGGCCGGATGTGTAACTGTGTCCCTCAAGTTCGACTATGAGATGGAAGTAGGAGAAACTAAAATGGAAGGATCGGCTGATGCTACGACTGCTATGTGCAGCATGGGTAACGCTAACGATAATCTCTGTGACACAATGAAATCCTCTATGGAGTCAACCATGGGAGCTGTTTCCAATTTGAAGTGCGGTGTTTCGGCCCCATGTGAAACTGAGAAGTGCAACGACCCCGCCAAATCCGGAGGTAACAGTGAAAGTGATGGTGGTGAGGGCGAGGGCGAGGGTGAGGGTGAGGGTAAGGGTGAGGGTAAGGGTGAGGGTGAGAGTAGCAGTTTCGCTGTTCATGGTGTTTCTTTCGTCCTTTTCTCTGCTGTCCTTGGACTCCTCTACTAATGAACAAGGAGTGAAAGTAAGAAACGTTAATCGAGAACCGAAGCTCCAGCTCGTAGACTGCGATTGCTCAAAGAAGAATAAAAACACTGAGTAGATTAAATTTTCATTTTTGTATCACGGGTTTTTGTTTAATTTCCCCTCCATACTCATGTTCAATCTTGTTTTCCTTGTCACTGCTGCAGTTGCTCATGCTAATTTGTTAGAAAATATTGCCTTAAAATTGTAATTTGATTATCTTGTTTTGTTTTCAACTAATTCTCATTTCATTCTGACCAAAACATGGTTGATTATTTCTTACCCTTAGGAAAGTTGTATAAATCATGTTGAGGTGTCTACTTGTGACTTGTGCAGTACTTTCTGCCACCAATGCTGTTAAATGCTATTCTGGATGTGTGGCCGGTACCATGACAATGGCCGGACAAGAACAACAATACCCTGGCGGGGCCTGCACTAAGGCAACTGTGGCTGTCTGTGAGGTCGGATGTGCTACAGCGTATCTAGCCTTTGACTATGAGATGGAAGTAGCAGAAACTAAAATGGAAGGATCGGCTGATGCTACGACTGCCATGTGCAGCATGGGTAACGCTAACGATAATCTCTGTGACACAATGAAGTCCTCTCTAGAGTCGACAATGGGAGCTGTTTCCAACATGAAGTGCAAGATTTCAACCTGCGATACATTTAAGTGCAACGACCCCGCCAAATTCGGAGGTAACGGTGAAAGTGATGGTACTGAGAGTGAGGGTAAAAGTAATGGTGCCGAGGCCGAGGGTGACGCCGAGGGTGAGGGTGAGAGTGAGGGTGAGGATGACAGCAGTTTTACTGTTCACGGCGTCTCCTTCGTCCTTTTCCCTGCTTTACTTGGACTACTCTGTTGATTTATATTACAACAAATAAAACAAATCTATTAGAGGTTCTTGTATTTTCTTGTTGTTAAAATGCGATTTTAAATAGACCTGCGCAAAAAAATATTGCGTTAAAATGAAACAAAATGTACTTAATGGATTTGGTTTCTTCAAGTTATTGTACTATGTTAAAATTTAGCTAAATTTTAAAGACGTGCTTATCTTCTTGTTTTATCAGTTAGTAAACAATTTTACTGACGAAGTCGCAGTGAAACTGTAATATAGTTTAACTTCCCAGTCCCCACCAATATAGTATTACTATGATGTTAAAATGTATCTAAATTTAAACTTTCAAAGCAAGATTACATTTTCCAATAGAAATCACACATCCTACATTTCCGCCGAAAGTCTTATTTCTGACCGTGTGCTCTATTCCTCTAAACTCTACAAATAGTTTCATTCCTCAGTCTCGTTTCCACTGTCTCCACCCTTGTTTCTATACTGATCAGTTCTGCTATCGCTCACTGCCAGCTCCAAATATCCAGGATATCTCTGCAGGTTGGTCCAGGCCCACGTGCTTGGTATTGAGCTGTGACAATAACCATCCTTCTCTGTGAACACCTGGTTATAAATCACTCTTCCCAGCTTCTTCATGGTGATCCTATCAGACGTCTTCTCAATAATAAGGATCACATTATTGTCTCCAGGTCTGCACTCCAAATTGTTATGGAGGTTAAAGGATGTGGTCTCTCCGTTGAACCAGTTAACGTTATCTGCTCTGTCACAATAGATAATCCCTCTTTGTCCCTTTATTTCAACATGTCCGTTTAATCCACCGTATCTTCTGAGACCCAATTTAAACCACATGTTTACGTCACATGGAAGTCTAAGGAAATAGAGTTCCATAGTGTTTTGCTCGAAGTAGGGTTTGATGACAGCTTGTTTTGTTTCGGAGAACTGGACCCAGTTGAGACTGTTAGAGTCCGAGTACCAGGGTAGAGCTAGATCAGTCCACTGCATGCCAGCACTGCCTCCACCGAGGAGGATATACTTTACCTCGCTCAGAACGAAGCCAGCTCTGTAGGGAAAGTTCATTTCTAGCACTTTGCCGTTAACCGAGATTTGGAATTCCTCCCTCAAGCATTTTATCTCTACTTTGAAAGGCTCGCCGTTAGCAAATTCCGGAAGATTGGTCTTTTCTTCTGATCCCCAGCCACTGTGATCCTTAGAGTTGAGAAGTGCTCTGTTTCCGTTTAGTGGAGGATTGAAGGTGGCACTAAGCATATAGTGCTCCTCATTCTGCATTAAGAAACCGAAAGTGAATCCTACTGACCCGTCAGCGTATATTCCCCATGCGTTGATCACATTATACTGTGCTAAAGGCTCTTTAATGATATTCCTTTTGCCATATGTTGTTTCAAATGGAATTCCTGGTCCTAGATTTTGTCCATTAGGCAAATGAAGAGCTGTCCACTGGAAACCATGACTACCTCCATTCAGCACAACATGGTGTCCCCCCTTAATATCCTCACGGTGAGCAAATCTTTGATTAAGTTCTTTTCCGTTGAAGAATATTAGGTACTCCACAACCTCAACTTGAATCTTTATTTCAAACACAGTGTCTTTTTCAAAATTGTTTTTGCTGAACTCTAGCCTAATCTCCTTCTGCCATTCCATACTGTCAAAGCTGTTCAAGACGACTAAATCATCCCAAGGTCTGAAGTCAGCAACGAATACTACTGCATTGTTTCTGCTTTCAATGCTAACACTAAATCTGGATGTAGTGTCGTCTTGAAACACGCCCCATGCCCTGACCATATCACCAACCTCCAGTGGCTTTTTAAGACCATACTCCACGTTCTTGTCCGCACTGAAGATGTGTCGAAATGACTCATACTTTGGCAGCTGGGCATCTGTCCAAATCATGCCCTGGCTGCCGCCTAGAAGCCAGAGGAACTTTATTTCACGCAGGGCAAAACCTTCTCTGTACGGGAACGTCGTTCCAAGATCTTTTCCATCGACAAAGACTTGAAATGCATCCTCCAAGCATTTTACCGCTACTTTGAACGGCTTGCCATTTACGAAGATTGGAATTTCTGTCCGTATCTCTGTCTGCCAACCGTTCATGTTCTTAGAGTTCATCACCACTTTGTTCTCACTGGGCGGAGGACGGAAGTCAACGTTTATCATATGATAAAGTCCGTTCTCCATCATGAGGTTGAAACTGAATTTAGTGGACCCAGTAGCGTAGATCCCCCAAGCTGTGAGGACATCACCAGCAGCCAGAGGTCTCTCCAGAAGGCTCAGGGAGTTCATCTGGCCTGTTGTTGTAGCAAATGGAATACCTGGTCCTGGTGCCACGTTTTTATTTGACACGGTGCCCCTATCCGGGGTTGGGAGATGAAGAGCAGTCCATTGGAAGCCATTGCTGCCTCCTTCTAGTTCAACATGTTCTCCTCTATTTAACTCTAACCGATGTGGCAACATTCTCTCCAGCTCATTACCGTTCACGAACACTCTATACCCTTCATTGTGAACTTCAATCTTTACCTCAAACATTGTATCTGCATCAAAGTTGTGTCTACCCAGCCTGGGTCGGATTTCCTCTTGCCATTTCTTTCCTCGAAGCTGTTCAGGATGACTAGATCGCTCCAAGGTCGGAAGTCTGCAACGAATAAAACTGGACCTTTTGAGCTACTTTGGCCAATTCTCACACTAAATTTGGAGGTCGAGTAATCTTTGAAGACCCCCCAAGCTCTAATTACGTCACCAACTTCAAGTGGCTTCTTTAGTTCGTAGAGAATGTTTTTATCTGCACTGAAAATGTGTGCTTCTGTGTGAAGAGTAAGGAGCCCGAGGCTGATCAATAAAGGCACCAACACTCTCATAATGTCAGGACAACAAGTGTAGCCACAGAAAATGCAGAGAAATATTGTTAAAATGAGGACCTGAATTAGTGCGACACGTTGCTGAACCTACCTACCAAATACCTTTCCTCTCAAGTCAAAACAAAAATAACCTAACTAACGCTAGAGTAAACAATCGTGTGCGCAACTGCGAAATAATTACTGAGATTGTTAAATGTTTATGTACATGCCATCGACCTCTAAATTAAATGCCTTAAATCCTTATCTGTATGATAATGAAGATTTATTGGAAAATAAGATTGGGGTTATTTTCCATGATGGCAGAATTTCATGACGAAATGTTGTGTCAAAAATAAAAGGAAGGTGGATTCACGAATCATTTTGAAACTTCCTGAATGGATTTCACAATATCAACACAACACATGTGTTTAACTAGGCTATCAAATGGAAGGTGCGGTTATTAAAGTTTTAAATTGTATTATATATATATTATTGTGTATGTCTACGATGGATGTTAAGTTGAACGCGGTCGTGTAGATTATCTGTTTACTTATTTGTTGAACCTCTTTTTAACTATTATATCTTCAGGTTGAAGATGCCAAGAAAAAAATCTTGGAACTAAAGGAGACGATGACAATGTATAGCGATTGGAAATTCAGTATTTCCAACAATTATCACAATCTACAGAAAATTCAGGTTTTCTAAAAATTTTACAGTAGTTATTATTTTATTTGCAAATAGATCTTTGTTGCTTAGTTGTTCTAAGTAGTGTAGTTCTACTGTTCTAGATTTTGCATGGTTGTACCGGCTCAAAGTCTGTAGAATTTTAAAAATACTGCAATATTTCCATTCTGTGTGAAATATTCTGTGTGAAATATTCTGTGTGAAATATGAGTGTGATATCGTGATATTCTTTTACATCGTATGTGCCTATTATAGGTGGTTCAAACGAAAGTTGACGCACGCCACGACGTTTGGGCAACTCTGCAAACAGTGTGCCAGACTGTACAAACTTGGCAAGAAACCAAGTTTAGCGAGGTAATGTACAAACTTGGCAAGGTTTAAAAAAATATCACACTTTATTTTACTTCGGACATTCCAACAGCCACATTGTTACACAAGTGTTACCAGCCAATTACAGGAAGGCGAAGGATTTAATTATACATATGCCAGTGACGGTAAAGGTAGTGTGTACCATACTTTCTTCGCCCGAGACTTTGCTGCATTGGGCAGCTCCTCATTTAACCCTCACACCCGATTTCTCGGGTATTCGGCTGAGTGGACCGGCGGGCTGCATATAAGATCACTCGGAATCCTTAGCTGAACGACGCTCACCCCATGGCTGGTAGCTCAGCTGGGAATCGAGCCTGTTACCTCGCGATTAACAAGCAGGAAGATTTACCAACTGAGCCACGCAGCCATAAAATTCTGAGTTCAATAACTCCTTCATTGACAGTTTTATTAATATTTCCACTCTTTAACCGAGCTATGCTCCTACACTCTCTATACCACATGTCTGTTTCAGTTTGATACGATCTCCGCCTCAGCTCAGATCCAAACTTGGCTCCAAACAGCTGACTATCTCCGGAGTGTGCTGCCAGAACGGGACCGTATCCTCACTAACCTTGACATTAAGATTGATAACGTTTCTAAATTTGTGCCATTGTTAGTGCAGCTGAGCTCGGAAAGTGTCAAAGTTAGTCTAAACTTTCAGGTTTTATTGATTCTCGTCAACGCGTAGATAATAATATTGTCAGCGTCAAATTCTTAATTTATGGGGTATTTTCTTGAGCTGATATAATTACATCACAGACTCATCACTGGCAAGAGATACACATTTGTATGTCTGAGATGTACGATTCTAAACAAGAGCTATACGTGAGCCACCTTATGACCAGCAAACTACTTCAAAACAAAGGTATTTGTCACGTACAACCCTAACCCCTAACCCCGAAGCTAACCCTAAACCCTAACCCCGAAGCTAACCCTAAACCCTAACCCTGAAGCTAACCCTAAACCTTAACCCTGAACTTGAAGAACCGAATTTGCATTTAACTGGGATATCAAGTGACCAAAACAGTTTTTTTGAATAACTCTTCGAGGAGAGCATTTTAAATCAGAGTCCTCCGGAAACCACTATAACTGCTTTGATCTCCACTAACAAAGTTATTTTTCAGACGTTATATCTAGAATCTGTGGACAAGCCCTGACAGAGCACACGCTGGAGCAAAGTATGGTGGAGCTGGAGCAGTACTGGGAGTGCAGGGAGTTCACTCTTAGGAAGATATCTATCCCTAAACGTAAGTACTGGGAGTGCAGGGAGTTCACTCTTAGGAAGATATCTATCCCTAAACGTATTACGTAAGTACTGGGAGTGCAGGGAGTTCACTCTTAGGAAGATATCTATCCCTATACGTAAGTGCTGGGAGTGCAGGGAGTTCACTCTTAGGAAGATATCTATCCCTATACGTAAGTACTGGGAGTGCAGGGAGTTCACTCTTAGGAAGATATCTATCCCTAAACGTAAGTACTGGGAGTGCAGGGAGTTCACTCTTAGGAAGATATCTATCCCTAAACGTAAGTACTTGGAGTGCAGGGAGTTCACTCTTAGGAAGATGTCTATGCCTAAACGTAAGTACTGGGAGTGCAGGGAGTTCACTCTTATGAACTTAGGAAGATATCTATCCCTAAACGTAATTTAAGTACTGGAGTGCAGGGAGTTCACTCTTAGAAAGATATCTATTCCTAAACGTAAGTTGGACTTGTAGAAAACGTTTAAATAACTCATATTTAATATTCATTAAACTGTAGATTTCCTAATTTACCTTTTCAGAGAATCCCAACAAGAACAGAAAACCAGCCTCTGAAAGTGTCTTTATTCTGGACAGTGAAGATAACATCATTGGGCAAATAGACGTGAGTCGGATTTTCAGCTTATTTGAAGCTCTAAAAAGCGATTTGTGGCGTTATTTTCAGTACAGTTTATAGAAATGCAGTTCCTCTCTCATCTAGATTACTGAATAGACACGGTTAAAATAATCTGTGATCGGTAAAACTGGTTGTTTACACATAGATAATATGATGAGAACAGTTGCAGTGTCGAGAAATTAGCTTAATTTATGGAAGTATACAATTTTTGAAAGCAATAAGTAAACTTTTTAACTATAATAGCATGGAAATAAACATGATATTGATCATAGCTATAAGTATTGGAATTACTGAAAAATAAGATTCAAGAAGTCTCTTAAATATTTTGCAATTCATCTCATCCAAGCGTATAATAATAATCACATTATATAGCGATTAGTGAATATCTCCTTGAATCTGATCTTCAGGGAGGAGGTCCATGATGTGGGGTGTAGGAGGTCGGATGTACTCTCCGCTCTTAGATTCGTTGGTCTTGAACCATCTTCGGATAGGGCTGGGATAGTGCAAGAACTTATCCATGAAGACACTCAGTTTATCAAACTTGTCGTAGGCTCCGGGGCAGAATACGTTGATGTCGTAGAGACAAGCGTAGAGAAGGTAGTCAGCATGGACTGGTAGAGTGTCTCCCATGATGAAGGGTCCGGTGATGAGCTCTTCAAGGGCTGCAGCTTTGGGTGCAAACTTGGTCAAGAATCTGGTCCTGGCGTATTCAACATCAAAGTCGTTACACTCGGTGCTGTTGGGAGCAAAGCAGATCTTGTTGATGAGGTAGACCATGGTGTTCATGATGGAGAAAAGGATCTTCTCAATCTCCTCACACTTCTTGAACTGTTCAGGATCGTCAGGGATGAGGAACCATGCAGCTCCAATAGCTCGAACTACTGCGATGGATTCAGTCATCTTGTTGTCGAGATCCATCCAGTTCTTAGAGGTGTCGTCCTTAGCTTTGAGCCATTCTGGGCAGTGGTCCATGTAGTTAGCGAGCTTAGTATCACAGGCGATCTTCTGGTTTGCTTCTCCGATCTGCATCCTTGAGGTGAGCATCATCTTGACAACTTTGGACTTGATAGGTTCAAGAGGACCGGTTTCCACCTTTTCTGGGTTCGTGAGAGTCATGATTTCGACTTTGTTAACTATAATGTTTGGCGTGTTAGAAAATGTTTGTGTCATTAACTTATTATCATCGCTTTTAAATAAATAATTTTACTTCATAAGATTGTAATTGTAAATTTCAATTCATGTTAAAAACATTGAAGAGACATGATTCAATAAATATATTATATATATATATATAGTATTTTGGGAGGAAAGTATTGTTACACATATCATGATTCTATTACGCAGAAAGGTTAAATTGCAGAACAACGAAAACCAAAAAGTGTGCGATAAATAGACTTCCAAGAGTCCCTCTTATTTCTTTAGCTCTCATTTCATTCAAACATTTAGTGAATATCTCCTTGAATCTGATCTTCAGGGAGGAGGTCCATGATGTGGGGTGTAGGAGGTCGGATGTACTCTCCGCTCTTAGATTCGTTGGTCTTGAACCATCTTCGGATAGGGCTGGGATAGTGCAAGAACTTATCCATGAAGACACTCAGTTTATCAAACTTGTCGTAGGCTCCGGGGCAGAATACGTTGATGTCGTAGAGACAAGCGTAGAGAAGGTAGTCAGCATGGACTGGTAGAGTGTCTCCCATGATGAAGGGTCCGGTGATGAGCTCTTCAAGGGCTGCAGCTTTGGGTGCAAACTTGGTCAAGAATCTGGTCCTGGCGTATTCAACATCAAAGTCGTTACACTCGGTGCTGTTGGGAGCAAAGCAGATCTTGTTGATGAGGTAGACCATGGTGTTCATGATGGAGAAAAGGATCTTCTCAATCTCTTCACACTTAGCTTGGTTGGCAGCATCATCAGGGATAAGGAACCATTCGGCTCCAATAGCTCGAACTACTGCGATGGTTTCAGTCATCTTGTTGTCGAGATCCATCCAGTTCTTAGAGCTGTTGTCTTTAGATTTGAGCCATTCTGGGCAGTGGTCCATGTAGTTAGCAAGTTTAGTATCACAGGCGATTTTCTGGTTTGCTTCTCCGATCTGCATCCTTGAGGTGAGGATCATCTTGACAACTTTGGACTTGATAGGTTCAAGAGGACCGGTTTCCACCTTTTCTGGGTTCGTGAGAGTCATGATTTCGACTTTGTTAGCTATAATGTTTGGCGTGTTAGAAAATGTTTGTGTCATTAACTTATTATTATCGCTTTTAAATAAATCATTTTAATTCATAAGATTGTAATTGTAAATTTCAATTCCTATTAAAAACATCGAAGAGACATGATTCAATAAATATATTATATAGATATATATAGTATTTTGGGAGGAAAGTATTGTTACACATATCATGATTCTATTGAGGAGAAAAGTTAAATTGCAGAACAACGAAAACCAAAAAGTGTGCGATAAATAGAGTCCCTCTTATTTCTCTAGCTCTCATTTCATTCAAACATTTAGTGAATATCTCCTTGAATCTGATCTTCAGGGAGGAGGTCCATGATGTGGGGTGTAGGAGGTCGGATGTACTCTCCGCTCTTAGATTCGTTGGTTTTGAACCATCTTCGGATAGGGCTGGGATAATGTAAGAACTTATCCATGAAGACACTCAGCTTGGCATGTTTCTCCAAAGCTCCGGGGCAGAATACGTTGATGTCGTAGAGACTAGCGTAGAGAAGGTAGTCAGCATGGACTGGTAGAGTGTCTCCCATGATGAAGGGTCCGGTGATGAGCTCTTCAAGGGCTGCAGCTTTGGGTGCAAACTTGGTCAAGAATCTGGTCCTGGCGTATTCAACATCAAAGTCGTTACACTCGGTGCTGTTGGGAGCAAAGCAGATCTTGTTGATGAGGTAGACCATGGTGTTCATGATGGAGAAAAGGATCTTCTCAATCTCCTCACACTTCTTGAACTGTTCAGGATCGTCAGGGATGAGGAACCATGCAGCTCCAATAGCTCGAACTACTGCGATGGATTCAGTCATCTTGTTGTCGAGATCCATCCAGTTCTTAGAGGTGTCGTCCTTAGCTTTGAGCCATTCTGGGCAGTGGTCCATGTAGTTAGCGAGCTTAGTATCACAGGCGATCTTCTGGTTTGCTTCTCCAATCTGCATCCTTGAGGTGAGCATCATCTTGACAACTTTGGACTTGATGGGTTCAAGAGGACCGGTTTCCACCTTTTCTGGGTTCGTAAGAGTCATGATTTCGACTTTGCTACCTTGAAAAGTAAGATTAGTTAAAACTGTAAAACCAAATCAATTTTCGAGCAATCGTAAAACATCTTGCATAGAATAAAGTCCTTGTAAAATGCGACGCTCAAAACTATTGGATGTTGTTAGTTTAGTTATTGGAACATTGCAATCCTTGAATTTCTGTTGCCTTTAAAACATAATTTAAGTCTCAAATCTTTAATATTTATTGAAGCAATGACACATACAGTTTTTTTTTCTTCATAAACATACATATAATCTTATGGAACCTTCTGAGAGGAAATTATTCATAAACATCATAATTTTAACATAAAGCTCACTAAGTGCTTAAAGTTTTTCAGAATTTCGTGGTGTCGACTTAAAAAAAAGGTATTTGATTGAACTATGTGTAACAAAAATGAAAATAATCATATGTGCGTAAACAGTTAAGTTAGTTTATGCGATATCTCCTTGTCCCATGTCTTCAGGGAGGAGGTCCATTATGTGAGGTACAGGGGGTCGGATGTATTCTCCAGTCTTGGCGTCGTTGGTCCTGAACCACCTTCGGATAGGGCTAGGATAATGTAGGAACTTGTCCATGAATTCGACCAGTTTGGGAGACTTGTCGTAAGCTCCGAGGCAGAACACGTTAATGTCGTAGAGACAAGCGTAGAGAAGGTAGTCAGCGTAGACGGGAAGAGTGTCTCCCATGATGAAGGGTCCGTCAAGAAGATCTTCAATAGCCTTGGCTTTGGGTGCAAACTTGGTCAAGAACCTGGTCCTGGCGTATTCAACATCGAAGCTGTTACACTCGGTGCTGTTGGGAGCAAAGCAGATCTTGTTGATGAGGTAGACCATGGTGTTCATGATGGAGAAAAGGATCTTCTCAATCTCTTCACACTTGGCTTGGTTGGCAGCATCATCTGGGATGAGGAACCATTCGGCTCCAATAGCTCGAACTACTGCGATGGTTTCAGTCATCTTGTTGTCGAGATCCATCCAGTTCTTAGAGCTGTTGTCTTTAGATTTGAGCCATTCTGGGCAGTGGTCCATGTAGTTAGCAAGTTTAGTATCACAGGCGATCTTCTGGTTTGCTTCTCCGATCTGCATCCTTGAGGTGAGGATCATCTTGACAACTTTGGACTTGATAGGTTCAAGAGGACCGGTTTCCACCTTTTCTGGGTTCGCGAGAGTCATGATTTCGACCTTGTTATCTAAATGAATATAAATATTAGTTATTAATGTAACAGTAATAGTATTTTAGCTGTTATAATATAGCATACTGAGTATTAAATCGTGGAGAAAACAATTTTGTTCTTTAATTTTATTTCGCATATCAATCGAAGTAGTGAAAACAAAAATTTCTTAGTACATATAAATATTATCTTCAAGGATTAATCATAATATATACAGTAAACATATTAACTATAGACTAAATTACAAAGGAAAAGTTTGAATATAAACAATGTAACTTAATAATCATATGTGCGTAAACAGTTAAGTTAGTTTATGCGATATCTCCTTGTCCCATCTCTTCAGGGAGGAGGTCCATGATGTGGGGTGTAGGAGGTCGGATGTACTCTCCGCTCTTAGATTCGTTGGTTTTGAACCATCTTCGGATAGGGCTGGGATAATGTAAGAACTTATCCATGAAGACACTCAGCTTGGCATGTTTCTCCAAAGCTCCGGGGCAGAATACGTTGATGTCGTAGAGACTAGCGTAGAGAAGGTAGTCAGCATGGACTGGTAGAGTGTCTCCCATGATGAAGGGTCCGGTGATGAGCTCTTCAAGGGCTGCAGCTTTGGGTGCAAACTTGGTCAAGAATCTGGTCCTGGCGTATTCAACATCAAAGTCGTTACACTCGGTGCTGTTGGGAGCAAAACAGATCTTGTTGATGAGGTAGACCATGGTGTTCATGATGGAGAAAAGGATCTTCTCAATCTCCTCACACTTCTTGAACTGTTCAGGATCGTCAGGGATGAGGAACCATGCAGCTCCAATAGCTCGAACTACTGCGATGGATTCAGTCATCTTGTTGTCGAGATCCATCCAGTTCTTAGAGGTGTCGTCCTTAGCTTTGAGCCATTCTGGGCAGTGGTCCATGTAGTTAGCGAGTTTAGTATCACAGGCGATCTTCTGGTTTGCTTCTCCGATCTGCATCCTTGAGGTGAGCATCATCTTGACAACTTTGGACTTGATAGGTTCAAGAGGACCGGTTTCCACCTTTTCTGGGTTCGTGAGAGTCATGATTTCGACCTTGATATCTAAATGAATATAAATATTAGTTATTAATGTAACAGTAATAGTTATAATAGTTATAATATAGCATACTGAGTATTAAATCGTGGAGAAAACAATTTTGTTCTTTAATTTTATTTCGCATATCAATCGAAGTAGTGAAAACAAAAATTTCTTAGTACATATAAATATTATCTTCAAGGATTAATCATAATATATACAGTAAACATATTAACTATAAACTAAATTACAAAGGAAAAGTTTGGAATATAAACAATGAAACTTAATAATCATATGTGCGTAAACAATATAGTTAGTTTATGCGATATCTCCTTGTCCCATGTCTTCAGGGAGGAGGTCCATGATGTGGGGTGTAGGAGGTCGGATGTACTCTCCGCTCTTAGATTCGTTGGTTTTGAACCACCTTCGGATAGGGCTGGGATAGTGCAAGAACTTATCCATGAAGACACTCAGCTTGGCATGTTTCTCCAAAGCTCCGGGGCAGAATACGTTGATGTCGTAGAGACTAGCGTAGAGAAGGTAGTCAGCATGGACTGGTAGAGTGTCTCCCATGATGAAGGGTCCGGTGATGAGCTCTTCAAGGGCTGCAGCTTTGGGTGCAAACTTGGTCAAGAATCTGGTCCTGGCGTATTCAACATCAAAGTCGTTACACTCGGTGCTGTTGGGAGCAAAACAGATCTTGTTGATGAGGTAGACCATGGTGTTCATGATGGAGAAAAGGATCTTCTCAATCTCCTCACACTTCTTGAACTGTTCAGGATCGTCAGGGATGAGGAACCATGCAGCTCCAATAGCTCGAACTACTGCGATGGATTCAGTCATCTTGTTGTCGAGATCCATCCAGTTCTTAGAGGTGTCGTCCTTAGCTTTGAGCCATTCTGGGCAGTGGTCCATGTAGTTAGCGAGCTTAGTATCACAGGCGATCTTCTGGTTTGCTTCTCCAATCTGCATCCTTGAGGTGAGCATCATCTTGACAACTTTGGACTTGATGGGTTCAAGAGGACCGGTTTCCACCTTTTCTGGGTTCGTGAGAGTCATGATTTCGACTTTGCTACCTTGAAAAGTTAGATAAGTTAAAATTGAAAAAAATATCAATTTCGAGCAGGAAAATTAAATTATGATTCGTTTTCAAACCTGGTTATCAAGGATATGAGTCACAATCAAAAGTTATATCAAGAAACGTAAAAAACAACAATTAAAAAAAACAACTAAGTTTTACTTTAGCCAAAGAGCTATTGTATTGAAGCACTATGGAAAGGATAATATGAATAACTGAGGGCTCTTAATGGCTTTTATAGTTAAAATCTTGATTGATACAATTAATTAACGTACTTGATAACATTAGCGATATTTCACTATCGGGATTATTCTAATGAGATTATTATTGCTTAGATTGAATCGTTAATGAATTTGTCTCTCGCAATTGTTATGGTCGTTCTCAAATGTCAGCTTATCTCAAACTCTCTTTAATGGTCCAGTGTTGTAATATATAAAGGTGTATAATGGTGTTATTATATACCCTTCCTCTTCTAATGGGCTTATAAATGAGCTTATCTCATTTAACCAATAATTGATCGAGGAATCATTCAATTAAATTGAATTTCCGTCTTGTTAAATTGAGGGGTAATATTGCATGATATTCATTACTTGCCCCTAATCTAGTGGTTTGAGAGGTAATAGTCTCTCTGTCTAAAGCTGTGAAGCAAAATGAAACGAGCTAAATCTAATCTGTTATCAATTACTCAAGCAGATAAGCTTGTAATTCTATTTACTAATACTATTTACTATACGTTATTTTAGTGTCAGATATTAATGAACTAATTTAAAAAGATCTTGCTTCATTTTATCAATCCCCATTAATCCTGATTGCATAGAAATAATAAACTTGCTTACTTGACAGCTGCGGGAGGATAATATGTAATATTTGTTTTGACACGTGACATAGACTCTGGCATTTCATCGGTCACTGCTGAAAGCTGATTGGTTAATCGCTGTCACATGTCATGGGGCCAGGGGGTCACATGTTATATAAATGTGCCCCCTTACTGGTAGCTTCATGTATGGAAGTGTGTTTCATAATTAATTATCCTCAATTTATTCAGCAAATTAAGTAGGAGGGTGAAGGCACGTAGTCAGGGGGGGGGGGTGCTTTACAAATGTGCCGCTTCCCACTGTACTGGTTCTCCATTTGTTTTAATGAATAACGATCGCTGGGATAGAAATAATTAGAAATAAATACAACTTGACAATTATTGTAAAAGTCAATTTAAGGTCAATATATCAGCATATTTTATAACTGAAAATGAATAATTCGAGAACTAAAAATATAAGTTCATAAACTCCTACATTCCAAACACAAGGAAATGTTTTACCCACCCCTCCTCTCAGGATCACCAAGTGTTGCTACAGTCGATGCTGGCTTCGCCCTACATACAGGAACTCCATGTCAGAGCTGAGACCTGGCTTGTTCTGCTACAACAACTACACGTTATCATGCACCTCTGGCCTGTTTGCCATACCAACGTTAGTACAGTCACCAACGTTAGTCACTATTAGTCACATACCAACGTTAGTCACTATTAGTCACATACCAACGTTAGTCACTATTAGTCACATACCAACGTTAGTTACAATTAGTCACATACCAACGTTAGTCACTATTAGTCACATACCAACGTTAGTCACTATTAGTCACATACCAACGTTAGTCACTATTAGTCACATACCAACGTTAGTCACTATTAGTCACATACCAACGTTAGTCACTATTAGTCACATACCAACGTTAGTCACTATTAGTCACATACCAACGTTAGTCACTATTAGTCACATACCAACGTTAGTCACTATTAGTAACATACCAACGTTAGTCACTATTAGTCACATACCAACGTTAGTCACTATTAGTCACATACCAACGTTAGTCACTATTAGTCACATACCAACGTTAGTCACTATTAGTCACATACCAACGTTAGTCACTATTAGTCACATACCAACGTTAGTCACTATTAGTCACATACCAACGTTAGTCACTATTAGTCACATACCAACGTTAGTCACTATTAGTCACATACCAACGTTAGTCACTATTAGTCACATACCAACGTTAGTCACTATCAGTCACATACCAACGTTAGTCACTATTAGTCACATACTAACGTTAGTCACTATCAGTCACATACCAACGTTAGTCACTATTAATCACATACCAACGTTAGTTACTATTAGTCACATACCAACGTTAGTCACTATTAGTCACATACCAACGTTAGTCACTATTAGTCGCATACCAACGTTAGTCACTATTAGTCACATACCAACGTTAGTTACTATTAGTCGCATACCAACGTTAGTCACTATTAGTCACATACCAACGTTAGTCACTATTAGTCACATACCAACGTTAGTCACTATTAGTCACATACCAACGTTAGTTACTATTAGTCACATACGAACGTTAGTTACTATTAGTAACATACCAACGTTAGTCACTATTAGTCACATACCAACGTTAGTCACTATTAGTCACATACCAACGTTAGTCACTATTAGTCACATACCAACGTTAGTCACTATTAGTCACATACCAACGTTAGTCACTATTAGTCACATACCAACGTTAGTCACTATTAGTCACATACCAACGTTAGTTACAATTAGTCACATACCAACGTTAGTCACTATTAGTCACATACCAACGTTAGTCACTATTAGTCACATACCAACGTTAGTCACTATTAGTCACATACCAACGTTAGTCACTATTAGTCACATACCAACGTTAGTCACTATTAGTCACATACCAACGTTAGTTACTATTAGTAACATACCAACGTTAGTCACTATTAGTCACATACCAACGTTAGTCACTATTAGTCACATACCAACGTTAGTCACTATTAGTCACATACCAACGTTAGTCACTATTAGTCACATACCAACGTTAGTCACTATTAGTCACATACCAACGTTAGTCACTATTAGTCACATACCAACGTTAGTCACTATTAGTCACATACCAACGTTAGTTACTATCAGTCACATACCAACGTTAGTCACTATTAGTCACATACTAACGTTAGTCACTATTAGTCACATACCAACGTTAGTCACTATTAATCACATACCAACGTTAGTTACTATTAGTCACATACCAACGTTAGTCACTATTAGTCACATACCAACGTTAGTCACTATTAGTCACATACCAACGTTAGTCACTATTAGTCACATACCAACGTTAGTCACTATTAGTCACATACCAACGTTAGTCACTATTAGTCACATACCAACGTTAGTCACTATTAGTCACATACCAACGTTAGTCACTATTAGTCACATACCAACGTTAGTTACTATCAGTCACATACCAACGTTAGTCACTATTAGTCACATACTAACGTTAGTCACTATTAGTCACATACCAACGTTAGTCACTATTAATCACATACCAACGTTAGTTACTATTAGTCACATACCAACGTTAGTCACTATTAGTCACATACTAACGTTAGTCACTATTAGTCCCATACCAACGTTAGTCACTATTAGTCACATACCAACGTTAGTTACTATTAGTCGCATACCAACGTTAGTCACTATTAGTCACATACCAACGTTAGTCACTATTAGTCACATACCAACGTTAGTTACTATTAGTCACATACGAACGTTAGTTACTATTAGTAACATACCAACGTTAGTCACTATTAGTCACATACCAACGTTAGTCACTATTAGTCACATACCAACGTTAGTTACTATTAGTCACATACCAACGTTAGTCACTATTAGGGGTGGGCACCCCTATCACTATGTTACTTTTACTTTTACAGTGGCTGTACTCCCTGTATACCTTGTATTGTTTACAGTGGCTGTACTCCCTGTATACCTTGTATTGTTTACAGTGGCTGTACTCCCTGTATACCTTGTATTGTTTACAGTGGCTGTACTCCCTGTATACCTTGTATTGTTTACAGTGGCTGTACTCCCTGTATACCTTGTATTGTTTACAGTGGCTGTACTCCCTGTAAACCTTGTATTGTTTACAGTGGCTGGACTCCCTGTATACCTTGTATTGTTTACAGTGGCTGTACTCCCTGTATACCTTGTATTATTTACAGTGGCTGTACTCCCTGTATACCTTGTACTGTTTACAGTGGCTGTACTCCCTGTATACCTTGTATTGTTTACAGTGGCTGTACTCCCTGTATACCTTGTATTGTTTACAGTGGCTGTACTCCCTGTATACCTTGTATTGTTTACAGTGGCTGTACTCCCTGTATACCTTGTATTGTTTACAGTGGCTGTACTCCCTGTAAACCTTGTATTGTTTACAGTGGCTGGACTCCCTGTATACCTTGTATTGTTTACAGTGGCTGTACTCCCTGTATACCTTGTATTGTTTACAGTGGCTGTACTCCCTGTATACCTTGTATTGTTTACAGTGACTGTACTCCCTGTATACCTTGTATTGTTTACAGTGACTGTACTCCCTGTATACCTTGTATTGTTTACAGTGGCTGTACTCCCTGTATACCTTGTATTGTTTACAGTGGCTGTACTCCATGTATACCTTGTATTGTTTACAGTGGCTGTACTCCTTGTATACCTTGTATTATTTACAGTGGCTGTACTCCCTGTATACCTTGTATTGTTTACAGTGGCTGTACTCCCTGTATACCTTGTATTGTTTACAGTGGCTGTACTCCCTGTATACCTTGTATTGTTTACAGTGGCTGTACTCCCTGTATACCTTGTATTGTTTACAGTGACTGTACTCCCTGTATACCTTGTATTGTTTACAGTGGCTGTACTCCCTGTATACCTTGTATTGTTTACAGTGGCTGTACTCCCTGTATACCTTGTATTGTTTACAGTGGCTGTACTCCCTGTATACCTTGTATTGTTTACAGTGGCTGTACTCCCTGTATACCTTGTATTGTTTACAGTGGCTGTACTCCCTGTATACCTTGTATTGTTTACAGTGGCTGTACTCCATGTATACCTTGTATTGTTTACAGTGGCTGTACTCCCTGTATACCTTGTATTGTTTACAGTGACTGTACTCCCTGTATACCTTGTATTGTTTACAGTGGCTGTACTCCATGTATACCTTGTATTGTTTACAGTGACTGTACTCCATGTATACCTTGTATTGTTTACAGTGGCTGTACTCCCTGTATACCTTGTATTGTTTACAGTGGCTGTACTCCCTGTATACCTTGTATTGTTTACAGTGACTGTACTCCCTGTATACCTTGTATTGTTTACAGTGGCTGTACTCCCTGTATACCTTGTATTGTTTACAGTGGCTGTACTCCCTGTATACCTTGTATTGTTTACAGTGACTGTACTCCCTGTATACCTTGTATTGTTTACAGTGACTGTACTCCCTGTATACCTTGTATTGTTTACAGTGGCTGTACTCCCTGTATACCTTGTATTGTTTACAGTGGCTGTACTCCCTGTATACCTTGTATTGTTTACAGTGGCTGTACCTGACTGATGCCCACGTGGAAGGCAAGACAGAAGCACTGGACGAGGAGGATATACACGTGTTACTGGAGGCCGACAGAGACTTTAGGGTGAGATAACTTCTTTTTATTTATACAACAAATTATAGAAACTGGGGACACTTGACCCTAAATTGTAATTAACAGCACCTTCTCTACAGTTGTAGTAGTTATACGGAGAGTGTTCTTCAATAATGAATATCTTAGGTTCGTGCTTTTTGGTACGAAGACGTCATAAATGATATCACATAATATCATTTAAAGTTATTGGTGGATTTATTTAAAGTTATTGGTGGATTGCTAATTAACGATAATGACGTCATTAAATTAGTTTAGAATTTTGGACGAATCGCATAATTGAAATTTCTGATAACATGCCAAATCTTTCTGCTATATCTGCTAGCGAATATTATTATAATCAATTCAAATATAGTATAAAGTTTACATCTCTTTATTTCTATAGCTAGCAAGAACTGCCTTGCTGTCAATTATAACTATTGCTTCAACATACCAAACCGGTGTTAAATGAGCAGAAAATTATAAGCATGGAGAATCTGCACAGGTATCATGGAATTATTCAAAATCCTTAAAATTGATGTCCCTCAGTCCATTTAAGATCTGTCCAGGTTCTGCTCAAGCCTCCACTGATCTATTAACCATGTGTCTATTTTTAAGCAGCAGCTGCACTGAATGATTGGTACCTTGATATCGTATGATTGTACCATAAAACTAATGAATTGCAGAAATCAGATTCTGTCAAGATATCCGTTACTCAAACAATCGCGTTTTTAAGTTTGGTAATGTTGACTAATTTGTAGTTTGGTAACTAATTGCAATAGAACTGATACGACGTGGTGGTATCTGTTTTAAGGCAGATATCTCTGCTACAGTTCTTACTTTCAATTCTTTACTGTTATATACACCTGAATGTTCATCCCATGACTTGAATAATGAATGAAAACCCCCTGCCCAGCAACTACTGATAGTGACATGGGAGGACCCGCTAGTGATGTCGTTATTCGGTAAGAAGAGTCTGAGTAACGTGCGGGAACTACAGGGAGACAAGCTGATCTTGAGGCTGGAGACCCTGCAGAGACACCAGGAGGGGCTGATGAAGCAGCTAGGGCTGGTCGTGCTCAGTGCTAGAGGTTAGTGAGGGGAGGGGCTGGTTAGTGAGGGGAGGGGCTGGTTAGTGATGGGACTGGAGACCCTGCAGAGACATCAGGAGGGGCTGATGAAGCAGCTGGGGCTGGTCGTGCTCAGTGCTAGAGGTAACTAGTGAGGGGAGGGGCTGGTTAGTGAGGGGAGGGGCTGGTTAGTGATGGGACTGGAGACCCTGCAGAGACATCAGGAGGGGCTGATGAAGCAGCTGGGGCTGGTCGTGCTCAGTGCTAGAGGTAACTAGTGAGGGGAGGGGCTGGTTAGTGAGGGGAGGGGCTGGTTAGTGAGGGGACTGGAGACCCTGCAGAGACATCAGGAGGGGCTGATGAAGCAGCTGGGGCTGGTCGTGCTCAGTGCTAGAGGTAACTAGTGAGGGGAGGGGCTGGTTAGTGAGGGGAGGGGCTGGTTAGTGATGGGACTGGAGACCCTGCAGAGACATCAGGAGGGGCTGATGAAGCAGCTGGGGCTGGTCGTGCTCAGTGCTAGAGGTAACTAGTGAGGGGAGGGGCTGGTTAGTGAGGGGAGGGGCTGGTTAGTGATGGGACTGGAGACCCTGCAGAGACATCAGGAGGGGCTGATGAAGCAGCTGGGGCTGGTCGTGCTCAGTGCTAGAGGTAACTAGTGAGGGGAGGGGCTGGTTAGTGAGGGGAGGGGCTGGTTAGTGAGGGGACTGGAGACCCTGCAGAGACATCAGGAGGGGCTGGTGAAGCAGCTGGGGCTGGTCGTGCTCAGTGCTAGAGGTAACTAGTGAGGGGAGGGGCTGGTTAGTGAGGGGAGGGGCTGGTTAGTGAGGGGACTGGAGACCCTGCAGAGACATCAGGAGGGGCTGATAAGGCAGCTGGGGCTGGTCGTGCTCAGTGCTAGAGGTAACTAGTGAGGGGAGGGGCTGGTTAGTGAGGGGAGGGGCTGGTTAGTGATGGGACTGGAGACCCTGCAGAGACATCAGGAGGGGCTGATAAGGCAGCTGGGGCTGGTCGTGCTCAGTGCTAGAGGTAACTAGTGAGGGGAGGGGCTGGTTAGTGAGGGGAGGGGCTGGTTAGTGATGGGACTGGAGACCCTGCAGAGACATCAGGAGGGGCTGATAAGGCAGCTGGGGCTGGTCGTGCTCAGTGCTAGAGGTAACTAGTGAGGGGAGGGGCTGGTTAGTGAGGGGAGGGGCTGGTTAGTGATGGGACTGGAGACCCTGCAGAGACATCAGGAGGGGCTGATGAAGCAGCTGGGGCTGGTCGTGCTCAGTGCTAGAGGTAACTAGTGAGGGGAGGGGCTGGTTAGTGAGGGGAGGGGCTGGTTAGTGATGGGACTGGAGACCCTGCAGAGACATCAGGAGGGGCTGATAAGGCAGCTGGGGCTGGTCGTGCTCAGTGCTAGAGGTAACTAGTGAGGGGAGGGGCTGGTTAGTGAGGGGAGGGGCTGGTTAGTGAGGGGACTGGAGACCCTGCAGAGACATCAGGAGGGGCTGATGAAGCAGCTGGGGCTGGTCGTGCTCAGTGCTAGAGGTAACTAGTGAGGGGAGGGGCTGGTTAGTGAGGGGAGGGGCTGGTTAGTGAGGGGAGGGGCTGGTTAGTGATGGGACTGGAGACCCTGCAGAGACATCAGGAGGGGCTGGTGAAGCAGCTGGGGCTGGTCGTGCTCAGTGCTAGAGGTAACTAGTGAGGGGAGGGGCTGGTTAGTGAGGGGAGGGGCTGGTTAGTGATGGGACTGGAGACCCTGCAGAGACATCAGGAGGGGCTGATGAAGCAGCTGGGGCTGGTCGTGCTCAGTGCTAGAGGTAACTAGTGAGGGGAGGGGCTGGTTAGTGAGGGGAGGGGCTGGTTAGTGAGGGGACTGGAGACCCTGCAGAGACATCAGGAGGGGCTGATAAGGCAGCTGGGGCTGGTCGTGCTCAGTGCTAGAGGTAACTAGTGAGGGGAGGGGCTGGTTAGTGAGGGGAGGGGCTGGTTAGTGATGGGACTGGAGACCCTGCAGAGACATCAGGAGGGGCTGGTGAAGCAGCTGGGGCTGGTCGTGCTCAGTGCTAGAGGTAACTAGTGAGGGGAGGGGCTGGTTAGTGAGGGGAGGGGCTGGTTAGTGATGGGACTGGAGACCCTGCAGAGACATCAGGAGGGGCTGATGAAGCAGCTGGGGCTGGTCGTGCTCAGTGCTAGAGGTAACTAGTGAGGGGAGGGGCTGGTTAGTGAGGGGAGGGGCTGGTTAGTGATGGGACTGGAGACCCTGCAGAGACATCAGGAGGGGCTGATAAGGCAGCTGGGGCTGGTCGTGCTCAGTGCTAGAGGTAACTAGTGAGGGGAGGGGCTGGTTAGTGAGGGGAGGGGCTGGTTAGTGATGGGACTGGAGACCCTGCAGAGACATCAGGAGGGGCTGATAAGGCAGCTGGGGCTGGTCGTGCTCAGTGCTAGAGGTAACTAGTGAGGGGAGGGGCTGGTTAGTGAGGGGAGGGGCTGGTTAGTGATGGGACTGGAGACCCTGCAGAGACATCAGGAGGGGCTGATAAGGCAGCTGGGGCTGGTCGTGCTCAGTGCTAGAGGTAACTTCAGGCTTCATGTTGGTGACTGTTCGTAGTACTGGCTTACCTTGATCTTCAACAATAAAGGTCGTTCGTCTTTTAGAAAAAGAATTTATGTTATATGAGATCCTTAATATCATCTCGAAACCACCCTAATCTCACTAAACATTGTCTCCCCAGAGAAAGTACCACGTCTCCACTTCCTATCTGAGGACGATCTGTTATCAGTGCTGACTAACGCTGACTCTCTAGCTACTGCTAAGCACGTCACCACTGCCTGCTTCCCTCATATCCTGGACATTACTGTGGAACCTCGTATGGACGAGAAAGATCGTTAGTTTTATTTATTTGTGTTACACACACTATTTAAATATACATAATATACTAATTTAGTATATATTATATACTAACTTAGTATATATTATATACTAACTAATTAAGTATATATTATATTATACTAGTTAATGAAGTATATATTATATACTAATTAATTAAGTATACATTATATACTAATTAATTAAGTATGTATTATATACTAATTAATTAAGTATATATTATATACTAATTAAGTATATATTATATACTAATTAAGTATATATTATATGTACTAATTTATTAAGTATATATTATATACTAATTTTAAAGTATATATTATGTAATAATTACTAATCCTGATTGGTTTTTCATCTGCTTTAATTCATGAGTGCAATGTTAGCATCTTAACCTTACTGAGTCGGGAAAAGATCAGAAATGTTTTAACGCTTCATAAAACGCATGGTAGAGGCAACAAATACAGGCACAATGGAAGAGATTAGCATTTAACAATAAGCAATAACACTCCTGATCAAGAAATCCTACTTTACTTGATCCTGTTTTACTTGATCCTGTTTTACTTGATCCTGTTTTACTTGATCCTGTTTTACTTGATCCTGTTTTACTTGATCCTGTTTTACTTGATCCTGTTTTACTTGATCCTGTTTTACTTGATCCTGCTTTACTTGATCCTGTTTTACTTGATCCTGCTTTACTTGATCCTGTTTTACTTGATCATGTTTTACTTGATCCTGTTTTACTTGATCCTGTTTTACTTGATCCTGCTTTACAAAAAACGTCCTGCTTTTTACTAAAGCTTACCTTGTAGTTTTTCCAGCACCAAAGATTACACACATCCACGGTATTGGTGGGGAAGTAGTTCCGTTGATACAGCCTGTTATTCTATCCGCTAAACTTCTTGAATGGTTCGTACTCCTCGTTATCGGGATTTTACTACTATTTGTTTAAAAAACTGAGTGGAGACTCTCATTTTGTCCCAAAACATCAACTATAGTTTTTAATTTAATTTATTTGAATTTTAAAATTATAATTAAATACATTTACAGAGTTTGTAGTCTAGTTAGACTAAACCCTGACTAAATATCATACAACGTTTCGTCTCATTTGTCTTCATGTAGACAGTACTGTGTTCATTTACAGTTAAAAATTAATCGGTTGCCGTATTCCAGGTTACCCCAGCTCCAGGCTATGATAGTATCCACCCTAACAAGCTGATGTATTCCAGGTTACCCCAGCTCCAGGCTATGATAGTATCCACCCTAACAAGCTGATGTATTCCAGGTTACCCCAGCTCCAGGCTATGATGGTATCCACCCTAACAAGCTGATGTATTCCAGGTTACCCCAGCTCCAGGCTATGATAGTATCCACCCTAACAAGCTGATGTATTCCAGGTTACCCCAGCTCCAGGCTATGATAGTATCCACCCTAACAAGCTGATGTATTCCAGGTTACCCCAGCTCCAGGCTATGATAGTATCCACTCTAACAAGCTGATGTATTCCAGGTTACCCCAGCTCCAGGCTATGATAGTATCCACTCTAACAAGCTGATGTATTCCAGGTTACCCCAGCTCCAGGCTATGATAGTATCCACCCTAACAAGCTGATGTATTCCAGGTTACCCCAGCTCCAGGCTATGATAGTATCCACTCTAACAAGCTGATGTATTCCAGGTTACCCCAGCTCCAGGCTATGATAGTATCCACTCTAACAAGCTGATGTATTCCAGGTTACCCCAGCTCCAGGCTATGATAGTATCCACCCTAACAAGCTGATGTATTCCAGGTTACCCCAGCTCAAGGCTATGATAGTATCCACCCTAACAAGCTGATGTATTCCAGGTTACCCCAGCTCCAGGCTATGATAGTATCCACTCAAACAAGCTGATGTATTCCAGGTTACCCCAGCTCCAGGCTATGATAGTATCCACTCTAACAAGCTGATGTATTCCAGGTTACCCCAGCTCCAGGCTATGATAGTATCCACCCTAACAAGCTGATGTATTCCAGGTTACCCCAGCTCCAGGCTATGATAGTATCCACACTCCACAACATGATGCACTACTCTTTGCTTAATGTGGAGAAAACTGAGCTGAAGTGTGGACTCCTGGAATCTTTACTTGGGGACCTGAACGTTCAGGTTCTTGTTAAATGTTAATCACTTGTACTCTAGTAGTACACTCAACTCCACTCTAGTATTGACATTATAGTTATACTATCTCTCACCTTCTGGACTAGTATTTGTACTTTTCAATTGTAAGGATGTTAGTGCTCCAAGTAACTTTTTGCCTCAACTGTGCCCAGGAATTTCAATTTTGTGCCCAAGGTGTGCCCCAGGAATTGCAATTTTGTGCCCCAGGTGTGCCCCAAGTGGTCCTAGCTAGATTACCAACTGGCCTACTTACGTACACAATAGTTATCACTATCTAGTGCTGTGTGTCTCCGATTATTTGCACTTTTGTAAAGTTACCCTTTACACAACACTAACTTATTATTAACTGATTAATATGCCTCCTACCCTCAGAGTGATCCCTACTCAGAGAGCGGCTCTCACAAGAAATACATACAAACGGAGGGAAATATCCAAACCTGGCTCGCTGATTACCCCTTCCAGGTCAGTTACCCTTTTTCAGTTACCCTTTATTACCCGATTCATGTTCAAAACACCTTTAATTTGGTTATGCTTTTTTAACTTCATTAATGTTTTCAATTCAAATGTTTATTATCGGAAAGATTAATAATTATACTGAGTACGCGCATTAAACAACAGTAATTTTACTGTTAATGTCTTAATTAATAAATTAGTTTCCAGCGCAACCTCCCAACAAGGCTGTGTTGGTGAAGCTGGGTATTTTAAGGGTAGAACCAGAAGATAACACATATAACCCCTCTAGTGTATCCTGACTACACATAACGTGGTTTTCACCATCAATCTGAGTCAGTGGATTAGCAAGAGAATTAGCTACGCAGATATCAAGTGAGTGCCACCCCCTCTTTTTAGAAGTGCCACTCCCTCTTTTTAAGTACCACTCCCTCTTTTTTAGTGCCACTCCCTCTTTTTAAGTGCCACTCCCTCTTTTTAAGTGCCACCCCCTCTTTTTAAGTGCCACTCCCTCTTTTTAAGTGCCACTCCCTCTTTTAAAGTGCCACCCCTCTTTTTAAGTGCCACCCCCTCTTTTTAAGTGCCACCCCCTCTTTTTAAGTGCCCCTCTCTCTTTTTAAGTGCCACTCCCTCTTTTTAGAAGTGCCACTCCCTCTTTTTAAGTTCCACCCCCTCTTTTTAAGTACCACTCCCTCTTTTTAAGTGCCACCCCCTCTTTTTAAGTACCACCCCCTCTTTTTAAGTGCCACTCCCTCTTTTTAAGTGCCACCCCCTCTTTTTAAGTGCCACTCCCTCTTTTTAAGTGCCACCCCCTCTTTTTAAGTGCCACCCCCTCTTTTTAAGTGCCACCCCCTCTTTTTAAGTGCCCCTCTCTCTTTTTAAGTGCCACCCCCTCTTTTTAAGTTCCACCCCCTCTTTTTAAGTGCCACCCCCTCTTTTTAAGTGCCACTCCCTCTTTTTAAGTGCCACCCCCTCTTTTTAAGTGCCACCCCCTCTTTTTAAGTACCACCCCCTCTTTTTAAGTGCCACTCCCTCTTTTTAAGTGCCACCCCCTCTTTTTAAGTGCCACTCCCTCTTTTTAAGTGCCACCCCCTCTTTTTAAGTGCCACCCCCTCTTTTTAAGTGCCCCTCTCTCTTTTTAAGTGCCACTCCCTCTTTTTAGAAGTGCCACCCCCTCTTTTTAAGTGCCACTCCCTCTTTTTAAGTGCCACTCCCTCTTTTTAAGTGCCACTCCCTCTTTTTAAGTGCCACTCCCTCTTTTTAAGTGCCACTCCCTCTTTTTAAGTGCCACTCCCTCTTTTTACGTGCCACCCCCTCCAGTGATGGTAGTAAGTCATACCAGAAAGAATTATTTCAATTGGGCACTCAGTGACTGAGCTATAAAGGCCAACGTATGGGTACTGACTTTTGCCCCCCCCCCCCCCCCCTGTTTAAATATACTTGTTTTCAGTTTTGACAAGCCCCTTTCTCAATATTTTCACGTCTTGTCAATTAGTAAAGAGACATAATTAACACTATAATGCATCTTGAATAATAACGGGTCAAACATAATAGAAGATTTTTGTTACTCTTAAATAGAATATCAATAAATACGTATAACATGTATAATGTATAATACGTATAATGGAATTGCAATAAATTTTGTACTTAAAATTCCGTACAAAATAAAATCATATACATGCAGTTGTATTCTAATTATATCTGTTGCTACATTGCTAAAATTCTAACTTGAGTAAGACGCAAACATGTTCAAAATGAAAAGTATAAAGTTCAAAAACTTTCGCACTTTCTCTATAAATATCCTCACAAGGATTTCTTTACAATCCTAGTTCTCAATCTAGCTCACCATCTGATGAGCAATCCTACTAAAGCTGTCAGAACCATCATGGTGTTCGAAATAACTGAAAAACCACCATTTTCGCCTCCCTTTTCATCTCCAGATTCATCTTCATTCTGATCACTGTTTTGATCATTGTCATCCACGATGTATGTTTCATCCTCCTTCCTATCTTCTCCTCCGTCTGGTGTAGTCTCCCGCTCCTCTCCATTCCCATCTTCACTCCCATCTTCAATAATCGTACTGCCATCCCCATTGCTTTCCTCCTCTTCTTGCCTCTTTCTTTCCTCTTCTTCCTCCTCCGTCCTCCTTATCTCTTCCTCTTCTTGCTTCCTTCTCTCCTCTTCTTCCTCTTCCTTCCTCCGTTTCTCTTCCTCCTCCTCTTCTTGCCTCTTTCTCTCCTCCTCCTCCTCCTGCCTTATTCTCTCTTCTTCTTCTCTCTCTTTTTGTCCGTAAACGTAATCAGTGGTTTGCTGCAGTGTCATGTCGTTACAGAGATCAGTATTGCAGAAGGTCTCATTACATCTCTCAGCCTCTTCGCACGGCACGTCGCACAATTTAGAGTACTCGTATATATGCTTCTTACTTCTTACTACAATCTCGTAGTTTCCTTGCACACAGACTTCACCGGGTAAAGTGCAAAGTTGCGTTACTTCCAGACAATTCCCGCCTGATTGGTTGAGTAGTTCACCGCTCTCAGCTAGTGTCTTCTTCTCACAGGAGTAACAAGTTAATGCCTCTATACTGGAGAGGGACATTAGGAACAGTGCTGTGAATGTGAGAATTGCCATTTGTCAAGCAGCGTACTTTCGTTACTTTCGAGCTATGGTGAAACATTGTGTTATAAAAATGTATTCGTTTATAATAAGAGATAGATAACAGTATAATAGTTATGGGTAGGCGATGCTTAGTTTCTCCTTTAAAATTAGCTTAATAATAAAAGGGGTTCAAAGTTGTTCCGAAGCGCAGATCGATTTTATATCGACATCAAAATTAGGGTTAATAGACGTGGATTCTGGTTAGAAAATCGCGATTATTTTGGCCAAAAATCGCGGCGCCGCGACAAGCCAAATTAGGTAAAATCTTGACAAAAATTTCGAAAATCGCGGCGAAAGATTTGCAGTGCTAAGTTAGATGTCATACTCATATAATTATTATTAATCATTAATTATATTATTAACTACCTTACGAGACACATTTATGTTCGACATAATTCCGGTGACCTAAATGATTTGGGAATGAAAATATGGGAATTTTTACCGAAAACCGCCACATTTCGTACCCAAATTGAATCATGGTATTTGGGGATTTTTTTCATCTCCTTATTTTATAAAAATTAAACCCAATATCTGAGAAAATTTAATACAATAATCTTTTCTGATCAGCTGTTCCTTCCTGTAAACAATTTCTCCGGAGCCTTTGAAAGTTAGCCTCAACTTAACTTATAATCCTCCAGAGGGTATGCGGGAGACCGACAGTGTTTGTTATCTTCCACTAATCCCGAAATGTCACCGCTGTGGCCAATAAAGTAGTGACAGAGCTTCCTTATTTTTAATGGAACGTGTCCAAAATCATTTTAAAAGCAATTCATGATCAAATGCTATGTACTAGTGTTCATTAATTGTTTTATGAATCATGTTTATAACTTACTATATTGATAAATTGATAGTAAATCGATTAAGTCATAATTAAGGAAAATACGTGAAATATAATTTGGGGAACATAATGATGGTGACCTAAATTTTGGTAGTCCGAAAATATGGTGTTTTTTTCCGAAAAACCGCCGACTTTCGCACCATTTAAATGTCTCGTAAGGTATTCAATTTGATCCGCTCATGTTCAATTTGATAGTCGATTGCTATCTCCAAATCAAATTTCACAAAAAATCAGGGTGAACCCCCCTTAACTATAACAAAACTGTACAAGTGTACAAACTGTACAAACTGTATGAAGTGGGAGCCGTGTGTATATCTAGCAACTATAGGCTATGAAGCGGGAGACGTGTTCCATAATCTATAACAAAACAGGTGGTAACTGTATTACTGTATAACTGTATAACTGTATAAGGTGGTTGGTGATTACCTCCTTATATCGAGTTTCATCTGGCCTGTGTCTATGTGGGTATTAGTATTAAATGAACATGTAAACCCACAGGGCTAACTTGATCACAGCTGAAACCATGTCAGAGATCTTCACATATCATTATCCAAGACTGAGTAAGAGGGTAAGGGGGGAGGGGGAGTAAGGGGGAATTAAGGGGGAGGGTAAGGGACGGGTAAGGGAGGGGGTAAGGGAGGGGGTAAGAAGGGGGTAAGGGAGGGGTAAGGGAGGGGTAAGGGATGGGGTAAGAGAGGGGTAAGGGAGGGGGTAAGGAGGGGAAAGGGAGGGGGTAAGGGAGGGGTTAAGGGGTGATCCTCCTACTCCCTCTCCCTTACATAGTATGAGAACTAACTATGTCGCGGCAAAGTGGTTTCAGATTCAAAAACAGGCGGTTAACTGAGTAACTAATGTAACTGAGTAGGTTACTAAATATGTGATGTATAATTGCTGGAGTATATCAGGGGCCTCTTCTGGAGCGGCTCATTGCGGTCCTGCATCATGTACTAGCGTATCAGCGTACTAGCGTATTACTGTATTAGCCTTGACAATGTCTAATCGTTGTGAAGGAGTCATGAGTAAAACGTTACATGCTGCATTTCCACATACATGGCTCAGAGTAATTAGCCGGAGTAATTAGCCGGTATAAGGGGGGGGGGGTCTAAAATAGGGGGGGGGGGGGTCTAAAATAGGGGGGGGGGGTCTAAAATAGTATGTGTTCAGTGGCGTTCTTAAGAACTGTTCTATGGTGGCTCAAACCCGCCATCGTTTTAAAATTGATTTGAAAAAAAATAACCGATGTCAAATCGTTTTCTATTTTGATATTGAATTGGAATTTCATGACTGAAACCCGCCATGCCGTTTTAAAATTTATTTGAAAAAAAAAACAATTTCAAATCAATTTCGATTTTGATAATGAATTGGAATTTCATGGCTCAAACCCGCCATCGTTTTCTATTTTAATATTGAATCGGAAGTTCATGGCTCAAACCCGCCATGTCTTTTTAAGGAAGTTGGTCTATTTCTCTTTAGGGTTAGGGTTCAGCATATGCTTTTGTTAAGGATCGGGTTAGGGTTAGGGTTGGGATCAGATTAGAGGGCTAGGATTTCGAATAGTCATTAAGGGCCAGCTAGAGAACGTGTTTAAAAAGTCATGTGACAGTCGAGTGTAGCTTGCACCTTACCAAGCACCTTTCAAACTACTTACTTTAGCTAAATATTTATATTATATAATATTATCATCTTACTATATATAAAGCGAGACGATATATATATATTTATTTATCCGTGCCATTTTACTGACACCACGGCATCAGCTTTAACACGACTTTCCGCAAAAACCGTAAAAGATATACAACTGAAACTTTTTTGATTGGGTCAAATGCTTTAATGGCCTTCAAATCAGCATGAAAAAATAAAAAATTGGCCAAGAAATAGGAGTTTTAGAGCCCAAAATTTGGACCCCCAAGTGGTGTCAAAAACCCGAATTAAATAGGTAATAATTATTTTAGTCTCTTGAGTCTTGACACCACTTTAGGGTTAGACGGGTTCTTGCTAGTAAATATAAAGGGTAAAAATAAAAATTCATATCAGTATTACGTAATCAACAAGATGATCATAATTAATCAATCTACACCCGAATTTCACTGATCACGTGACTTATTTAAACACGAGGGACAATTCAAATTTCAAAACTCTAACATCTAACGGCTAACCCTCGCTCTAATCTGACCCCAACCCTAACGGCCCTACAAACCCAATTAATAACTGAAGCATATATTCTAAAATCCTATACTAACCATAACGGGAAATAAGACTGACTTCCTTATATGGCCAATTTCATGTCACGTGATCCATCGATCCAAGTTGGTCTGAACTGTTGGAGGCCTTTTAATCTAGATCTAGCTACCATGGGAAGATGACGAATCAAAACCAGTTAAAAAAACTGCTTGATCAGATGCGACAGTTGCGCCCAATCGATATTGTAATTGAAATCCTCCAATTATAATAAAAAATAAACTTTCAATCAAAAATCGTACGATCATAACGATAGACGCAAAGCTACGAAGAATGGTTCAGGAAATAAAAGGGAGAAGCCGTTAAGATTTTGGTATGGGGAGGGGGGTGAGCAAGTTTTAGGAGGGTCTGTGGATTCACGCCATAATCGTCGTTCGTCAGGGCGGACTGTAATATAGTATTCCGAGTCCGAACTTTATTTTTAGATTTTGCACATTTATTTAATTTGTAATTTTACTCCCTCTAAACCGAATGTTAATTCCACAAGTTGCAGGAGGGTCTGTGGCTTTATGCTATAGTATCACGGGTAGTGCAAGTGGGTGTCTTCCAAGAACAGTTTATGGTGTGTTAAAAATGGCTTAAGTACCAATTTTTACTTAAGTTGCATGATTTAAGTAAACACTTATGAACTTTCGATTCAATATTAAAATAGAAAGCAATTTGACATCGGTTTTTTAATCAAATCAATTTTAAAACGGTCTGAGCCACCATACTGTTCTTAATAACTGTTCTTGAAAGAACTGTTCTTTTAACATCCAAGCAGGACTCAGGAGCAACAATGAACAGAAACCCCAGAAACTTTCCGTAACCCATAAGATATTGCAGACTATATCCTTATATCTCTAGGAGTAGCAAGTAGTAGTATATCTCTTAGTTAGAATATGACTGTTGTAAGAGCAGGAACTATCATATTAATCGTAAACACAAGAATCACTCAATGAGTATGAAAAAAAGGAGCTGCACATATGAATATCGGATGACTATATCTATCTCTGAAGAAATAATTGATCGCAACACAAACAGATTAGCGCGGGGGTCTCCTCTGCAGATAAAGAAAACAGACGGCTGTAATGGAAATGTCAACACCCCCACACACAAGATACGTCTGGTGTTACTAGATACTAGTGTCGTGGTTAGCGGCAGTGCTGTTACATGTGGTTAGAATGACTTACAACATAATTACTTAATTATTCGTAATTTAGCTATATCGGCGGAGAAAATTTTGAAATTAAGAGATTCGAGTGTGATATACGACTGAGCAAGGTTTCCTTGAGTTAACCTTGTAAACCTTGTGTTTGAAGTAAAGTATGACTTTAAAAAGTGGGAGTTAAAAAGAGATCTATGACAGAGCTGTAGTAGTATGACACTTGACAGGGTATCAACACATTGCCAGGAAGGGAACTGGAAGTATACTGATCAGAGTCAATAGTTATAGGTAATATTGTAGTTAACTGGTAATGTCAATAGTTATAGGTAATATTGTAGTTAACTGGTAATGTCAATAGTTATAGGTAATATTGTAGTTAACTGGTAATGTCAATAGTTATAGTTAATATTGTAGTTAACTGGTAATGTCAATAGTTATAGTTAATATTGTAGTTAACTGGTAATGTCAATAGTTATAGGTAATATTGTAGTTAACTGGTAATGTCAATAGTTATAGGTAATATTGTAGTTAACTGGTAATGTCAATAGTTATAGTTAATATTGTAGTTAACTGGTAATGTCAATAGTTATAGGTAATATTGTAGTTAACTGGTAATGTTAATAACGGTAAAGTTATTTCATTACTTTACCGTTCTTTTGTTACTTATCCAGACATAGCAGTATAACATATAGAATTAGGTAATGTGTTAAAGTAGTGAAGTAGTAATAAAGAGGTATAGTAATTAGTGAAGTAGTAATAGAGAAATAATATTCCGTACTCAATAGCTGCTAAAAGTACTAATCACTAAAAATAAAGCGCACAAAATAGTGAGTCTGTTAAACAAAGAAATGGGCAAGAAAGGTTTAAATTGTTAACTCCGTAGGCTGTCGAACAGAGAAAGGGAAAGAGATCCGAGTGTTACTATTACATATTACATATTACATATTACTATTACATATTACTATTACATAACTATACGCAATTATCCAGCTTCTAGTCATGTCTGGCAGATTAGCCAGGCTGATAAGCAAAGCAACATTTAAGTGCGCTCAAAATGTGCTAACTTTCCAGGCTTCCCACAAACCCACCTCCTCCAGACATTAACCGATCAAACAGGTTCAGGGATTAGAGGTGAACTGACTGTCATCTCTTTTTTTGGGCTTATTTATCTTCTCCGGACACTGATTGGGCACTGTATTCACATTATAAAGATAGCTATTTGATGGAGCGCTCACTTTAATTAATCTGGTTCTGGTTAAACAAATTCAAAATCATTTGTCCGACGTAAATAATTAGTTAGATAAAGCACCTGCCCTTTCCTAACTGCCTGCTGGGATGTCGGGTAGTACATGCTCGCAGTTACTCTAGTGCTGAGTATTACTCTAGTGCTGAGTATTACTCTAGTGCTGGGTATTACTCTAGTGCTGGGTTAATCTAGTGCACTAGTGCAGCCATGATACTCTTCATACTAGCTCGTGTACAAACTAGCACATGCACAGATCGACTAGTTTTAATATCGAGAGGGAGGGGTGATATTTACCTTCAAACTCGTTGCAACTGAATGAAATCTACGAAAAATAACAAGTTGAAACTTACTTAAAATTAAGCATGAACGAAATTTCGAGAACCACATCAAATCAGTCTAGCTTAAGCTGGTAGAATAATGCAACTTAATGTAACCAATATAAGTAATGTAAGTATTTAGAGATGTAAGAGTTGAGAGGATGATTGTAAAGTATACAATTACACTACTAACGTGAGTTGGAACACGTAACTAAGCTTGTGTAGCAATTACCCTAGCTGAACCTCATGATAGTAACTAGTGAAGCCTGCCATGTGTAACGGCCTCTTGTTCAGGCTGCTACAGTCTGTAAAATAGACCAGTCTCTATTATAGTCTGTAAGATAGACTAGCCTCTATTATCAACTGAGAGTAATAACCTGGGGTAGTAAACGGTTTATCTCATGAGTTACACTCTACACAGTTACTCTACAGTTGGGGTGCAACACAGTTACACTCTACACAGTTACTCTACAGTTGGTGTGCAACACAGTTACACTCTACACAGTTACTCTACAGTTGGGGTGCAACACAGTTACACTCTACACAGTTACTCTACAGTTGGTGTGCAACACAGTTACACTCTACACAGTTACTCTACAGTTGGGGTGCAACACAGTTACACTCTACACAGTTACTCTACAGTTGGGGTGCAACACAGTTACACTCTACACAGTTACTCTACAGTTGGGGTGCAACACAGTTACTCTACAGTTGGTGTGCAACACAGTTACTGATATAAAATCATGACTACCACGAAGAAGGTTTACTTTAACCAATCACCAAATGAAGGCATGTTAACATGAAGCAATTAACGAAAATGTTTCACGATTTATTCCCGGTCATGGAGGGACCATCATGGCAAGTTGTGTATAAGCGGATACAGGAGGTATACGAGGCTTTTGTCCTCAACTTAGGTTCTCAGACTCGGTAATAACAATTGGGCTCCACAGAATCACCAAGAATTAACTTTTAAACTATGAAATTGTAGATAGTGCGGGAATGGTTTGTAAGTCACGTGACACTTGCACAGATACGTGACCTACGTGACCTGCGTAGGTGCCTGTGTTATAAGTTACGTAATCAATTAGCGCACCAGTGATCACGGAATCGTCTGATGTCACTTCATTATTATCTACAGAAATAGAATTACATTCTGTTACTATGGGAACTGTCTAAAACAGATTCACTGGTGTGCGGTAATTGATCACGTGACTCATGTAAATGATGTTAAAACGTGTCACGTGACTTACAAATCTATAATTTGTGGAATGTGTTATATTTACCTTTTAACAACAGAGATCAAAGCACACGTGATATTCAAGTTTACAGCAGCTGCTAAAAGTCGAAATCAGATGACATTTACTTTCAGATAAAGATGTTTTCGAGTCAACATGATAACCAAATAATTCCCTAACAACTGACTCCCTAACAACTGACTCCCTAACAACTAACTCCCTAACAACTAACTCCCTAACAACTGACTCCCTAACACCTAACTCCCTAACAACTGACTCCCTAACAACTGACTCCCTAACAACTAACTCCCTAATAACTGACTCCTTAACAACTAACTCCCTAACAACTGACTCCCTAACAACTAGCTCCCTAACAACTGACTCCCTAACAACTAACTCCCTTACGACTAACTCCCAAACAACTAACTCGCTAACAACTAACTCCCTAACAACTGACTCCCTAACAACTGACTCCCTAACAACTAGCTCCCTAACAACTGACTCCCTAACAACTAACTCCATAACAACTAACTCCCTAACAACTAGCTCTCTAACAACTGACTCCCTAACAACTAACTCCCTAACAACTGACTCCCTAACAACTAACTCCCTAACAACTGACTCCCTAACAACTAGCTCCCTAACAACTAACTGCCTAACAACTGACTCCCTAACAACTAACTCCCTAACAACTGACTCCCTAACAACTGACTCCCTAACAACTAACTCCCTAACAACTGACTCCCTAACAACTAACTCCCTAACAACTGACTCCCTAACAACTAACTCCCTAACAACTAACTCCCTAACAACTGACTCCTTAACAACTAACTCCCTAACAACTGACTCCCTAACAACTAGCTCCCTAACAACTGACTCCCTAACAACTAACTCCCTAACGACTAACTCCCAAACAACTAACTCGCTAACAACTAGCTCTCTAACAACTGACTCCCTAACAACTAACTGCCTAACAACTGACTCCCTAACAACTAACTCCCTAACAACTGACTCCCTAACAACTGACTCCCTAACAACCAACTCCCTGACAACTAACTCCTTAACAACTGACTCCCTAACAACTGACTCCCTAACAACTAACTCCCTAACAACTGACTCCCTAAAAACTAGCTCCCTAACAACTGACTCTCTAACAACCAACTCCCTAACAACTAACTCCTTAACAACTGACTCCCTAACAACTGACTCCCTAACAACTGACTCCCTAAAAACTAGCTCCCTAACAACTGACTCCCTAACAACTAACTCCCTAACAACTGACTCCCTAACAACTGACTCCCTAAAAACTAGCTCCCTAACAACTAACTCCCTAACAACTGACTCCCTAACAACTAACTCCCTAACAACTAACTCCCTAACAACTGACTCCCTAACAACTAACTCCCTAACAACTGACTCCCTAACAACTAACTCCCTAACAACTGACTCCCTAACAACTAACTCCCTAACAACTAACTCCCTAACAACTGACTCCCTAACAACTAGCTCCCTAACAACTGACTCCCTAACAACCAACTCCCTAACAACTAACTCCCTAACAACTGACTCCCTAACAACCAACTCACTAGCCTGAGTAGACTATAACATCATGCAATACGAGTATTGCCGTATTATACGCTCAAGACAACATTATGAGGATGAACAATTAAAACTTGCAGTAATGCAGCAGTAAACTTAGCTTATCTTTAAAATGCTTTGAACTTTTATACAAATAAACGAACAGATGCAGACTGTGCAGTGTTTAAATGTAAACTCTAGCTGAGTCCTTTGTTGTAGGCGACACTCTGGATTACACATTTAAAGTTTAGCATAATCTGGGTTACAATATTCCTTTTGAGAATTGAACAGTATAAAATTATAAATTTCTAAAGAATATGCGATATACAAATGGAGTTTAGCATAATCTGGGTTACAATATTCGTTTTGAGAATTATAATAAAGTATAAAGTTCTAAAGAATAGGCGATATACACAGTGGTGTAACGTTGCCTGTTGGCGCCCCCCTCCCCCCTGTTGGCGCCCCCCTAAGACGGCGCCCCCCCCCCCCCCCCCGCACAGCGGGGCCTTTCGTTACGCCACTGGATATACAAATGGAGCACGGAGTCTAGCACTAGGGAGAAAGAAATGTCAGAAATGGTGAGAACTTCCTAGCCTATGTTTAGTATTTGACAATGGAATGTTTTGAAAGAATAGAGGTAAAATGTTTTGAAAGAATGGATGTGAAATGTTTTGAAAGAATGGCAGGAAGAAATTTTGTACGATGCAATTTGTTAAATGAATATCTTAGAAAAAGAATTAAGGAGGGATTGAAATGACGCGTTATAAGCAGTAGTTCTTTTTGTATTTACCTCGGGCTGGTTCCTCGCTCCTCAGTGCCTTGACTCCTATTGTACAGTAGTGTGTAACAGAAACGTTTCTCACAAACAGTTTTCAAGATTAGTTATTTGTTCACACTACACAATTTGCCTCCTTTGATGAAATATCTTTTGTCTGGCTCGTCGTTCGATCTCTTCTTGCGTTCTGAAACAAGCTGCTGCTGCTACTGCTGTTCCGGCTCGGCACCTTCCTCTGGAGACCAGGTTACCAGGTTACCAGGTTACTAGGTTACCAGGTTACTAGGTTACCAGGTTACCAGGTTACCAGGTTACTAGGTTACCAGGTTACTAGGTTACTAGGTTACCAGGTTACTAGGTTACCAGGTTACCAGGTTACCAGGTTACTAAGTTACCAGGTTACCAGGTTACTAGGTTACCAGGTTACTAGGTTACCAGGTTCTTGAGTTCTGAAACAAGCTGCTCCGGCTCGGCACCTTCCTCTGGTTACCAGGTTACCAGGTTACCAGGTTACCAGGTTACCAGGTTTCTAGGTTACTAGGTTACCAGGTTACCAGGTTCTTGAGTTCTGAAACAAGCTGCTCCGGCTCGGCACCTTCCTCTGGAGACCTATCTGGGCTGATAAAGACTTTACTAAAAAGTTCCGAGCTACGGAGATTTCATTATCATAAAAACATTCAGAATTACCATTACATTTCATATACATTTACCATTACATCGCGATCCGATACAGCTATTAGTAAACCTACCAGCGATGAGCTATCCTCTAGTCCTACCGTAAGCTATTAGTAAACCTACCAGCGGTGAGCTATCCTCTAGTCCTACCGTAAGCTATTAGTAAACCTACCAGCGGTGAGCTATCCTCTAGTCCTACCGTAAGCTATTAGTAAACCTACCAGCGGTGAGCTATCCTCTAGTCCTACCGTAAGCTATTAGTAAACCTACCAGCGGTGAGCTATCCCCTAGTCCTACCGTAAGCTATTAGTAAACCTACCAGCGGTGAGCTATCCCCTAGTCCTACCGTAAGCTATTAGTAAACCTACCAGCGGTGAGCTATCCCCTAGTCCTACCGTAAGCTATTAGTAAACCTACCAGCGGTGAGCTATCCTCTAGTCCTACCGTAAGCTATTAGTAAACCTACCAACGGTGAGCTATCCTCTAGTCCTACCGTAAGCTATTAGTAAACCTACCAGCGGTGAGCTATCCCCTAGTCCTACCGTAAGCTATTAGTAAACCTACCAGCGGTGAGCTATCCCCTAGTCCTACCGTAAGCTATTAGTAAACCTACCAGCGGTGAGCTATCCTCTAGTCCTACCGTAAGCTATTAGTAAACCTACCAGCGGTGAGCTATCCTCTAGTCCTACCGTAAGCTATTAGTAAACCTACCAACGGTGAGCTATCCTCTAGTCCTACCGTAAGCTATTAGTAAACCTACCAACGGTGAGCTATCCCCTAGTCCTACCGTAAGCTATTAGTAAACCTACCAGCGGTGAGCTATCCCCTAGTCCTACCGTAAGCTATTAGTAAACCTACCAGCGGTGAGCTATCCCCTAGTCCTACCGTAAGCTATTAGTAAACCTACCAGCGGTGAGCTATCCCCTAGTCCTACCGTAAGCTATTAGTAAACCTACCAGCGGTGAGCTATCCCCTAGTCCTACCGTAAGCTATTAGTAAACCTACCAGCGGTGAGCTATCCTCTAGTCCTACCGTAAGCTATTAGTAAACCTACCAGCGGTGAGCTATCCTCTAGTCCTACCGTAAGCTATTAGTAAACCTACCAGCGGTGAGCTATCCCCTAGTCCTACCGTAAGCTATTAGTAAACCTACCAGCGGTGAGCTATCCCCTAGTCCTACCGTAAGCTATTAGTAAACCTACCAGCGGTGAGCTATCTTCTAGTCCTACCGTAAGCTATTAGTAAACCTACCAGCGGTGAGCTATCCTCTAGTCCTACCGTAAGCTATTAGTAAACCTACCAGCGGTAAGCTATCCCCTAGTCCTACCGTAAGCTATTAGTAAACCTACCAGCGGTGAGCTATCCCCTAGTCCTACCGTAAGCTATTAGTAAACCTACCAGCGGTGAGCTATCCTCTAGTCCTACCGTAAGCTATTAGTAAACCTACCAGCGGTGAGCTATCCACTAGTCCTACCGTAAGCTATTAGTAAACCTACCAGCGGTGAGCTATCCCCTAGTCCTACCGTAAGCTATTAGTAAACCTACCAGCGGTGAGCTATCCTCTAGTCCTACCGTAAGCTATTAGTAAACCTACCAGCGGTGAGCTATCCTCTAGTCCTACCGTAAGCTATTAGTAAACCTACCAGCGGTGAGCTATCCCCTAGTCCTACCGTAAGCTATTAGTAAACCTACCAGCGGTGAGCTATCCCCTAGTCCTACCGTAAGCTATTAGTAAACCTACCAGCGGTGAGCTATCCTCTAGTCCTACCGTAAGCTATTAGTAAACCTACCAGCGGTGAGCTATCCTCTAGTCCTACCGTAAGCTATTAGTAAACCTACCAGCGGTGAGCTATCCCCTAGTCCTACCGTAAGCTATTAGTAAACCTACCAGCGGTGAGCTATCCCCTAGTCCTACCGTAAGCTATTAGTAAACCTACCAGCGGTGAGCTATCCCCTAGTCCTACCGTAAGCTATTAGTAAACCTACCAGCGGTGAGCTATCCTCTAGTCCTACCGTAAGCTCTATCATCAACTGGAATGTCAATGTGAGGAAAGCTACTTAAGCAGAGATTTAGGAACACTAAGGTGGTGGGAAGCCCAGATTGGTTTAGGTTTATTAGTATTTCAGTTCATTGTTTATTACGGAGTATTCTAAAATACCAGGTTACTAGGTTACCAGGTTACCAGGTTACCAGGTTACTAGGTTACTAGGTTACCAGATTGGTTAAGGTTTATTAGTATTTCAGTTCATTGTTAATTTCTGAGTATTCTAAAATAAACCTCTTCTAAAAATGAAACTCTTCTTCACAAACAAAGACTCATTTGTATAAAAAACAGATATTTGAATGAATAAAATATAAAAACTTGCAAGCACACACAAACATTTTTGTAATATTTATGTATAAGTTAAAATTTGAAAACGGCATAATTTCTGCTGATTGAGGAGCACTACCCGGAGGCATTCTCGCGCATGCGCTCACCCAATCCTCTGTTGGGGGCTGTTCACTTGACAGAGATACTGGCTGGCACTTCCAACATGTTTCACTTCACCACTACTACACTTGACAGAGATACTGGCTGGCACTTCCAACATGTTTCACTTCACCACTACTACACTTGACAGAGATACTGGCTGGCACTTCCAACATGTTTCACTTCACCACTACTACTCAACCAAACATCATGCAATCAATTCTGTTTGAGATTTAAATAATGTAATGTTCAAAATTATATTTTAAATGTCCAAAAAAATTTAAATTTAAATTTAGCCATAAGCAATACAGAAAAACTAGGACATGACATAATAATATGACAATGTTTTGTGTGATGGTACGTTAGTAGTATAACTGTATACACTAGTAGTGACTACTTGTCTGCTTGTTAGTCCTGGTAACCATGGTAACTAGATAAACAACACCTGGTAACCATGGTAACTAGATAAACAACACCTGGTAGCCATGGTAACTAGATAAACAACACCTGGTAACCATGGTAACTAGATAAACAACACATGGTAACCATGGTAACTAGATAAACAACACCTGGTAACCATGGTAACTAGAAAAACAACACCTGGTAACCATGGTAACTAGATAAACAACACCTGGTAACCATGGTAACTAGATAAACAACACCTGGTAACCATGGTAACTAGATAAACAACACCTGGTAACCATGGTAACTAGATAAACAACACCTGGTAACCATGGTAACTAGATAAACAACACCTGGTAACCATGGTAACTAGATAAACAACACCTGGTAACCATGGTAACTAGATAAACAACACGACAACCGTTTGGAGGAAGAGTGGAGCGATGAGAACTGTTGCGCAGTTCTTATCACTCACCTCGCTTACTGAGCCTTCTTCAAGAATATCGGTAACATTGTACTTGGCATTGTCATCAATAACTTCATCTTCGACGTCGTTTACATCTTCATCAACAACTTCGCTATCATCTACTTGTTCATCATCTACTTGTTCATCATCTACTTGTTCATCATCTACTTGCTCATCAGTATCTTGACGTTTGCTGACATTGTCATCCACAACTTCACCTTCGTTTACAAGAGCTCCTTCGTTATCTTTTACATCAATCTCTTCTCCGTTATTTTCATCTTGATCTAGTCCACGGTACAATGTGGCTTCCTCCATTGTCATATCATTGCACAAGTCAGTCTCGCACACTCTCTCATTGCAGCGTATCTCCGAGTACAACTCCCTATCAGCCCTCCTCTGCGCGCACGTGTGGTCGCACCCCTTGTAGTACACGTGCACGTGCTCGTCTGACTGAGGTATGTTGTATTTGTGTACTGAGTTCCCCTCCACACACACCCCTCCTTCAAAACACTGACGAGCTTTGTCTGCGCTCAGGCAGTCTGTTGATTCAGCGTATATTAGGGACACGTTTACCGTCCATTTCTCACAGTGGTAGCAGAGCAGGGAGGAGGAGGAGGAGAGAGAAGTGAGCAATAGCAGCGTGCTGGAAACATAACCCTGCATCCTTCCTGCAGACAAGACAAGAATTTAGTATATTTAGTGCTGGAAACATACCCCTGCATCCTTCTAAATCTGCAGACATGAATTTAGTAATGACAGGAATTGAATAAATAATCAGTATAGATGGCTTGTTACACGAAATTAGTCACTCAATGAAATAGAGATAATTTGCATGAACACACACTTAATCAAGGTGAAATTGAAAGCACCCTAATTTAATGCATTCACAAGTTAAGTCAAATTAATTAAGTTGTTTTGGGCGTAATTACTGTTATTGTACTTATTAATAATATTAATATAATACACGTGCACATTGTGTAATTAGTAATGTGTAATTAGTAATGTTAACTGTCAATGTCAACTGTTATGAGAGCGGACAAAAGAACACTGAAATCTAGCAATGAGGATATCTCGCGGGCAATAGTAATAAGTTGTATAACACAATAGTAACAATAGTAACAATACTTGTTTTGGTGCCAGAAACCAGGTAGGCAGAGAAATGCTGCAGGAATGTGCTTTTAACAATATATATATCTATATCCTTGGAGCCAGGTAGATAACAATATAATATAATATATCTATATAATCTAACAATCTAGCAGGGTACTAACCTTGGAGCCAGGTAGCTAAACGTTACTATTCAGATATAATCTCCTACTAGCTCTTAATGAATTATTTAGATGAATAGTTAATAGTTAATAGTTGATGGTGGTCATTGAGCACAGATCACAGAGTCCTGTGTAAGTACTACAGAGTACATCTCAATAGTAATTAGGATTAGTTAAATGGAGGAATAGTACAGAGGGTACAGGTTAGTACCTGTACCCTCCTACCTACTAACCACCCGATAAAGACAAAACCTTTTTCTTAATTAGTAGTTAGCTTAATTTCGTGTAATGAGATGAATGATAGTTCAGATAGTTTTGGTGCCGGCTTGTATTTTAGCCATCGCTGGGCGATAGTTTCTGGATTCTATTCTTCTAAACCACACGTTACAAAATTTTCGAACAATACTTTTCGAATTTAAAAAACATTTCTACTGAATTGTACAACACATGTTAACAGGGTAAAACACATGTTAACAGGGTAAAACACATGTTAACAGGTAAAAACACATGTTAACAGGGTAAAACACATGTTAACAGGGTAAAACACATGTTAACAGGGTAAAACACATGTTAACAGGGTAAAACACATGTTAACAGGGTAAAACACATCATGTTAACAGGGTAATACACATGTTAACAGGGTAAAACACATGTTAACAGGGTAAAACACAACATGTTAACAGGGTAAAACACATGTTAACAGGGTAAAACATATGTTAACAGGGTAAAACACATGTTAACAGGGTAAAACATATGTTAACAGGGTAAAACACGTGTTAACAGGGTAAAACACATGGTTAACCAGGGTAAAACACATGTTAACAGGGTAAAACACATGTTAACAGGGTAAAACACATGTTAACAGGGTACAAACACATGTTACAGGGTAAAACACATGTTAACAGGGTAAAACAAATGTTAACAGGGTAAAACACATGTTAACAGGGTAAAACACATGTTAACAGGGTAAAACACATGTTAACAGGGTAAAACACATGTTAACAGGGTAAACACATGTTAACAGGGACAAAACACATGTTAACAGGGTAAAACACATGTTAACAGGGTAAAACACATGTTAACAGGTAAAACACATGTTAACAGGGTAAAACACGTGTTAACAGGGTAAAAACACATGTTAACAGGGTTAAAACACATGTTAACAGGTGTAAAACACATGTTAACAGGGTTAAAAACACATGTTAACAGGGTAAAACACATGTTAACAGGGTAAAACACATGTTAACAGGGTAAAACACATGTTAACAGGGTAAAACACATGTTAACAGGGTAAAACACATGTTAACAGGGTAAAACACATGTTAACAGGGTAAAACACATGTTAACAGGGTAAAACACATGTTAACAGGACAAAACACATGTTAACAGGGTTAAACACATGTTAACAGGGTAAAACACATGTTAACAGGGTAAAACACATGTTAACAGGGTAAAACACATGTTAACAGGGTAAAACACATGTTAACAGGGTAAAACACATGTTAACAGGGTAAAAACACGTGTTTACAGGGTAAAACACATGTTAACAGGTAAAACACGTGTTAACAGGGTAAAACACATGTTAACAGGGTAAAACACATGTTAACAGGGTAAAACACATGTTAACAGGGTAAAACACATGTTAACAGGGGTAAAAACACATGTTAACAGGGTAAAACACATGTTAACAGGGTAAAGAAACATGTTAACAGGGTAAAAACACATGTTAACAGGGTAAAACACATGTTAACAGGGTAAAACACATGTTAACAGGGTAAAACACATGTTAACAGGGTAAAACACATTGTTAACAGGGTAAAACACATGTTAACAGGGTAAAACACATGTTAACAGGGTAAAACACATGATAACAGGGTAAAACACATTGTTAACAGGGTAAAACACATGTTAACAGGGTAAAACACATGTTAACAGGGTAAAACACATGTTAACAGGGTAAAACACATGTTAACAGGGTAAACACACATGTTAACAGGGTAAAACACATGTTAACAGGGTAAAACACATGTTAACAGGGTACAACACATGTTAACAGGGTACAACCATGTTAACAGGGTAAAAACACATGTTAACAGGGTAAAACACATGTTAACAGGGTAAAACACATGTTAACAGGGTAAAACACATGTTAACAGGGTAAAACACATGTTAACAGGGTAAAACACATGTTAACAGGGTAAAACACATGTTAACAGGGTAAAACACATGTTAACAGGGTAAAACACATGTTAACAGGGTAAAACACATGTTAACAGGGTAAAAACACATGTTAACAGGGTAAAACACATGTTAACAGGGTAAAACACATTTAACAGGGTAAAACACATGTTAACAGGGTAAAACACATGTTAACAGGGTAAAACCGATACCAAATCTTATTACGAGACGAAGTCCGAAGTCCGAATAATGATCGTAAACCAGCTAACTTGGTTTTGTAACCATACTTTCATTCTACAGAACGTCACAAACAACGTCAACACAACTTAGTCAAGTCAACACAACTACGCGTACTTATCCTCAGTAATTTGCAAATCTCTCCTAATCTGTGAGATAAGATCCTCATGACCTGAAACAAACACACAAAACCACAGTTACAAGAGATAATGGCTGGAGCGGTAACAAGCTGGGAAATGCTTGCTTTAGTTAGATTACCACCCTAACCATGACAATCATTTTAATAATCATGAACAGTCATTATCCTCGCTTCTCTCCTCATGTTTTACTGTAAAATTTATTGGAAAATACTGTAAGTTGTGATGCTAATTCCATGATAATTGAGATCTGGTGACCTGTTCTGACCAACCCTCTGAGTGCATGCCATCTAACGGGACGTCATTTCCGCTTAATCTAACCGATTTCGCGGTCCATTATACCTGGTTCATCAGAATGAGCGGCTTATTTTAAACCGCACAACGACTTGGATTATTATACGAGACAGATAATCTACATCCGTACTGACAGTTTAATAGTTATTAATAGTATATAATATACAGTATACCATACTTCTTTATACTATTATGATAAACTAGTACAATAAGATGGAAGATATGACAGTTATCTTATCTTATCCCCAGTACCTGGGTCCAGAACTCCTACGAGACTCTAGTGAGAACACTGAGGGAGCTGAACACGAGGTGTCCCCTGTCTAACAGGAAGAGTGCTGCTCTACAGAGCCTGCTCTTACAGTTCCTCGCTCAGAGGGACAGACTTAATGGTAACTTAACCTCACCACTCTTAACCTCACAACCCTTACAACCTCACAACCCTTAACCTCACAACCCTTAACCTTACAACCCTTAACCTCACAACCCTTAACCTCACAACCCTTAACCTCACAACCCTTAACCTTAAAACCCTTAACCTTACAACCCTTAACCTCACAACCCTTAACCTTACAACCCTTAACCTCACAACCCTTAACCTCACAACCCTTAACCTTACAACCCTTAACCTCACAACCCTTAACCTCACAACCCTTAACCTTACAACCCTTAACCTTACAACCCTTAACCTCACAACCCTTAACCTCACAACCCTTAACCTCACAACCCTTAACCTTACAACCCTTAACCTTACAACCCTTAACCTTACAACCCTTAACCTCACAACCCTTAACCTTACAACCCTTAACCTTACAACCCTTAACCTCACAACCCTTAACCTCACAACCCTTAACCTCACAACCCTTAACCTCACAACCCTTAACCTTACAACCCTTAACCTCACAACCCTTAACCTCACAACCCTTAACCTTACAACCCTTAACCTTACAACCCTTAACCTCACAACCCTTAACCTCACAACCCTTAACCTTACAACCCTTAACCTCACAACCCTTAACCTCACAACCCTTAACCTTACAACCCTTAACCTTACAACCCTTAACCTCACAACCCTTAACCTCACAACCCTTAACCTCACAACCCTTAACCTTACAACCCTTAACCTTACAACCCTTAACCTCACAACCCTTAACCTCACAACCCTTAACCTCACAACCCTTAACCTTACAACCCTTAACCTTACAACCCTTAACCTTACAACCCTTAACCTTACAACCCTTAACCTTACAACCCTTAACCTTACAACCCTTAACCTTACAACCCTTAACCTTACAACCCTTAACCTTACAACCCTTAACCTTACAACCCTTAACCTCACAACCCTTAACCTAATAACCCTTAACCTCACAACCCTTAACCTTACAACCCTTAACCTTAAAACCCTTAACCTCACAACCCTTAACCTCACAATCCTTAACCTCACAACCCTTACAACCTCACAACCCTTAACCTCACAACCCTTAACCTCACAACCCTTAACCTCACAACCCTTAACCTCACAACCCTTACAACCTCACTACCATTTCATAACTAAAGGATTGTATAACTAGCAATCATATTCCGTGTATTATAGTAAATCACTAAAAATTCTATCTTTTCAAGATTGCAACAGAAGCCTAGATGTAATTGTAAACTACAGAAAAGAATCTTTAAATAACTTCCACCTCACTTCCTCTGTAACCTAAAATAACCTAAAGTAACCTCTGTAACCTAAAGTAACCTAAAGTAACCTAAAGTAACCTAAAGTAACCTCTGTAACCTAAAATAACCTTAAGTAACCTCTGTAACCTCTGTAACCTAAAATAACCTCTGTCTCCAGCTCTACGAACAGTTGAAGTACTCTCCCCGACCTCGTTTGCTGTGTTGGCAGTCCCCAAGTTCACTATCTCCCCTCAGCTGGGTAGGTTCGACTGGCTGAGTTCCATGTTACCTGCCAATATCAACAAGTCCTCTCCACGCATCGATATCACAGGTAACTGGGAGGAGAAGATGGGAAGAGGGGAAGAGGGGGAGAGGGGGAGAGGGGGAGAGGGGGAGAGGGGGAGAGGGGGAGAGGGGGAGAGGGGGAGAGGGGGAGAGGGGGAGAGGGGGAGAGGGGGAGAGGGGGAGAGGGTGAGGGGGGAGGGGGAGAGGGGGAGAGGGGGGGAGAGGGGGGAGAGGGGGAGGGGGGGGAGGGGGGCATTTAGTGCGACTTGTTTTACTCCAGAAAAACTTTATCCGTTTAAACCTGGTCGTGCCGGGGGGTATGCAACGACCATTAATGTCAGTAGATGGAATTTTGTCAAAACTGACATTGTCATTAATGGTCATTAATGGTCATTAATGGTCATTAATGGTCATTAATGGTCATTAAATAATTGAAATTCTTTCTGAACTATCTTGGAAGCAACATGTCCAAGAAATTTACAATTATGATCACTTTGTATCACTTCTATAAAGTTTCTCACAGCCCTAGCCCCCTACATCGATTGCCAGAGTCTCGTTTGAGAAAACGAATTAATATTCGCCTAATAGAGGCTCGGACCTCGGTTTCGGAATGAGTGCCAAGCACCATTCTGTTATACGTTGGTAACTTGTCTTGTCTGTTTGCTTGTTTGCATTTGACTTAGTATAAATGCTTGTTTGCAGTTGACTTAGTATAAATGCTTGTTTACAGTTGACTTAGTATAAATGCTTGTTTGCAGTTGACTTAGTATACATGCTTGTTTGCAGTTTGCGTGGATTTGAATTGTATTGATTTCCTTTATTTGTGTTGATTGCTTTTGATAATTTGGATTTTCAATACCTCCTCACAGTATCTTCTATGCCATCGTAAGACGATATTTGGAAATAAAAGTCGGAGATCGAAATTTTTTGGTACCGGCTGTTTCGAGGGTTCTGTGCCATACCAACCGGGCGGCAAAAATTCTTCTAAGCCCTGTCAACGTCGAACAATTGGAAAGGGCGACTCATTAAGTGCTACCTTTGTTCCAAAAAATGCTAAACGTCCCCTTCGTTGCCTCGGTACCATCTTATCAATGAGTGTCTCTGCTTCAAAAAAGGGCAACTGCAGATCTAGACGAATTCCTGCCGCATCAATTTGTCCCTATCATGATGACAGTGCTCGATTTCGGATTTTGGGTCAAAACTTTAAACTGCCAAAGGCAGAGTATTGAACTGTAGTCTGTAAACGAATTGTTCTATCTAATCCTAGGAAAAGATCAGCTTTTTTGTTGTCCGATTCAGACTGATGACGATGTATTTCATGAAGTGCTAAAGTTGAATAAGTTCATCTACTGTGTAATTACTATATAATCGACTAGCATAATGATTTGGCTAAAATATAAATCTTGATATGACATAAGAACGGGATCGAAGTATTTAATTTTAATACCCGTGTTATTATTATTTTATTATTGATTGTTATTTTACTATTGATACGATCTGATACTCCTAAATTGCCCTTTGAATTATTATTACTGATAACTATAAGTCACTGCACCAACTGTTATCTGGTTTAAATCCCGTGGCCCGCAAAATTTGTTCTTCATTACATTCGAACTTAATAAATGTAATCCCTAACTCACTCGGGAATCCACTCAAGTGATATTCTGGAAGGCCTGCCTAACCACGGAAGATTCTATTCTAAGTTTTCTCTTTCGAATCTCTAATTGTAAATGTAAAATAATAACATATACTTGTAGTTAGTTAACTTAAGGTAGGGTCTAAGTGATGCAGGCGTCCGTCCTTTTCGCTCTAAGAAGTGCCGGAAAAAACATGACCATTAATGTCAGTAGATGAAATTTTGACAAAACTGACATTGTCATTAATGGTCATTAATGGTCATTAATGGTCATTAATGGTCATTAATGGTCGTTGCATACCCCCCGTCGTGCCATTTCACCAAACCAACTAGAAGTGTACTGATGGACCTCAACACAAGTGTGTCTCCCTTGTAGTGAGCCAACTAACCGCTGAAATGACTTACGACTACGAGTACCTTGGCAGATACAGCCGCCTGGTGATAACACCTATCACCGAGAGAGTACAGTTCAGTTTGGTAGCTGCTGTCACCCTCAGGCAAACTCTGGCTATCACAGGACCTTCTAATTCTGGAAAGTTCGAAACTGTCAAGGACTATGCTAATGTGAGTTTTTATCAAAAAAGTAACATTTTTTAACAACTGATAAGAGAATCCTCTATGATTTAAAAAACTTGCAAATTAGCAGAGAGAGAGGAGAGATACATTTCACTCAATGAATGATTATTGAATAATATTATTTAATAATAATGCTAATCTCTCAGATGTTGGGTAGATACTGCGTGGAATACTCGGACACCTTGCAACCTCTCCTACTCTCTCACCTTTTAGCTGGACTCATCCAGACTGGTTAGCAGAGCCATTGTTAATTAGTTAGCTAATTGTTAGTTAGTTAGCTAATTATTAGTTAGTTAGCTAATTGTTAATTAGTTAGCTAATTATTAGTTAGTTAGCTAATTGTTAATTAGTTGGCTAATTGTTAATTAGTTAGCTAATTGTTAATTAGTTAGCTAATTGTTAATTAGTTAGCTAATTGTTAATAAGTTAGCTAATTGCTAATTAGTTAGCTAATTGTTAATTAGTTGGCTAATTGTTAATTAGTTGGCTAATTGTTAATTAGTTGGCTAATTGTTAATTAGTTAGCTAATTGTTAATTAGTTGGCTAATTGTTAATTAGTTGGCTAATTGTTAATTAGTTAGCTAATTGTTAATTAGTTAGCTAATTGTTAATAAGTTAGCTAATTGCTAATTAGTTAGCTAATTGTTAATTAATAAATTAGTCAGCTAGTAACGCTCACTTACAATCCTCAATCAACAACGATTAAACAACTTTAAATCGTTCTCCATTTAATAAGATTACATGTTCTCTATTTAATAAGATTACATGTTACAGGCTCTATTTAATAAGATTACATGTTACAGGCTCTATTTAATAAGATTACATGTTACAGGCTCTATTTAATAAGATTACATGTTACAGGCTCTATTTAATAAGATTACATGTTACAGGCTCTATTTAATAAGATTACATGTTACAGGCTCTATTTAATAAGATTACATGTTACAGGCCCTATTTAATAAGATTACATGTTCTCTATTTAATAAGATTACATGTTACAGGCTCTATTTAATAAGATTACATGTTAATCTTATTAAATAGAGCCTGTAACATGTAATCTTATTAAATAGAGCCTGTAACATGTAATCATATTAAATAGAGCCTGTAACATGTAATCTTATTAAATGGAGCCTGTAATCTTATTAAATAGAGAACATGTAATCTTACATGTTACAGGCTCTATTTAATAAGATTACATGTTACAGGCTCTATTTAATGAGATTACATGTTACAGGCTCTATTTAATGAGATTACATGTTACAGACTCTATTTAATAAGATTACATGTTACAGGCTCTATTTAATAAGATTACATGTTACAGGCTCTATTTAATAAGATTACATGTTACAGGCTCTATTTAATAAGATTACATGTTACAGGCTCTATTTAATAAGATTACATGTTACAGGCTCTATTTAATAAGATTACATGTTACATGTTCTCTATTTAATAAGATTACATGTTACAGGCTCTATTTAATAAGATTACATGTTACAGGCTCTATTTAATAAGATTACATGTTACAGGCTCTATTTAATAAGATTACATGTTACAGGCTCTATTTAATAAGATTACATGTTACAGGCTCTATTTAATAAGATTACATGTTACAGGCTCTATTTAATAAGATTACATGTTACAGGCTCTATTTAATAAGATTACATGTTACAGGCTCTATTTAATAAGATTACATGTTACAGGCTCTATTTAATGAGATTACATGTTACAGGCTCTATTTAATAAGATTACATGTTACAGGCTCTATTTAATGAGATTACATGTTACAGGCTCTATTTAATGAGATTACATGTTACAGACTCTATTTAATAAGATTACATGTTACAGGCTCTATTTAATAAGATTACATGTTACAGGCTCTATTTAATAAGATTACATGTTACAGGCTCTATTTAATAAGATTACATGTTACAGGCTCTATTTAATAAGATTACATGTTACAGGCTCTATTAATAAGATTACATGTTACAGGCTCTATTTAATGAGATTACATGTTACAGGCTCTATTTAATAAGATTACATGTTACAGGCTCTATTTAATAAGATTACATGTTACAGGCCCTATTTAATAAGATTACATGTTCTCTATTTAATAAGATTACATGTTACAGGCTCTATTTAATAAGATTACATGTTACAGGCTCTATTTAATAAGATTACATGTTACAGGCTCTATTTAATAAGATTACATGTTACAGGCTCTATTTAATAAGATTACATGTTACAGGCTCTATTTAATAAGATTACATGTTACAGGCTCTATTTAATAAGATTACATGTTACAGGCTCTATTTAATAAGATTACATGTTACAGGCTCTATTTAATAAGATTACATGTTACAGGCTCTATTTAATAAGATTACATGTCTCTATTAATAAGATTACAGGCTCCATTTAATAAGATTACATGTTACAGGCTCTATTTAATATGATTACATGTTACAGGCTCTATTTAATAAGATTACATGTTACAGGCTCTATTTAATAAGATTACATGTTACAGGCTCTATTTAATAAGATTACATGTTACATGCTCTATTTAATAAGATTACATGTTACAGGCTCTATTTAATAAGATTACATGTTACAGGCTCTATTTAATAAGATTACATGTTACAGGCTCTATTTAATAAGATTACATGTTACAGGCTCTATTTAATAAGATTACATGTTACAGGCTCTATTTAATAAGATTACATGTTACAGGCTCTATTTAATAAGATTACATGTTACAGGCTCTATTTAATAAGATTACATGTTACAGGCTCTATTTAATAAGATTACATGTTACAGGCTCTATTTAATAAGATTACATGTTACAGGCTCTATTTAATAGATTACATGTTACAGGCTCTATTTAATAAGATTACATGTTACAGGCTCTATTTAATAAGATTACATGTTACAGGCTCTATTTAATAAGATTACATGTTACAGGCTCTATTTAATAAGATTACATGTTACAGGCTCTATTTAATAAGATTACATGTTACAGGCTCTATTTAATAAGATTACATGTTACAGGCTCTATTTAATAAGATTACATGTTACAGGCTCTATTTAATAAGATTACATGTTACAGGCTCTATTTAATAAGATTACATGTTACAGGCTCTATTTAATAAGATTACATGTTACAGGCTCTATTTAATAAGATTACATGTTACAGGCTCTATTTAATAAGATTACATGTTACAGGCTCTATTTAATAAGATTACATGTTACAGGCTCTATTTAATAAGATTACATGTTACAGGCTCTATTTAATAAGATTACATGTTACAGGCTCTATTTAATAAGATTACATGTTACAGGCTCTATTTAATAAGATTACATGTTACAGGCTCTATTTAATAAGATTACATGTTACAGGCTCTATTTAATAAGATTACATGTTACAGGCTCTATTTAATAAGATTACATGTTACAGGCTCTATTTAATAAGATTACATGTTACAGGCTCTATTTAATAAGATTACATGTTACAGGCTCTATTTAATAAGATTACATGTTACAGGCTCTATTTAATAAGATTACATGTTACAGGCTCTATTTAATAAGATTACATGTTACAGGCTCTATTTAATAAGATTACATGTTACAGGCTCTATTTAATAAGATTACATGTTACAGGCTCTATTTAATAAGATTACATGTTAAAGGCTCTATTTAATAAGATTACATGTTACAGGCTCTATTTAATAAGATTACATGTTACAGGCTCTATTTAATAAGATTACATGTTACAGGCTCTATTTAATAAGATTACATGTTACAGGCTCTATTTAATAAGATTACATGTTACAGGCTCTATTTAATAAGATTACATGTTACAGGCCCTATTTAATAAGATTACATGTTCAGCTCTATTTAATAAGATTCAGGTCCATTTAATATGATTACATGTTACAGGCTCTATTTAATAAGATTACATGTTACAGGCTCTATTTAATAAGATTACATGTTACAGGCTCTATTTAATAAGATTACATGTTCTCTATTTAATAAGATTACAGGCTCCATTTAATAAGATTACATGTTACAGGCTCTATTTAATATGATTACATGTTACAGGCTCTATTTAATAAGATTACATGTTACAGGCTCTATTTAATAAGATTACATGTTACAGGCTCTATTTAATAAGATTACATGTTACAGGCTCTATTTAATAAGATTACATGTTACAGGCTCTATTTAATAAGATTACATGTTACAGGCTCTATTTAATAAGATTACATGTTACAGGCTCTATTTAATAAGATTACATGTTACAGGCTCTATTTAATAAGATTACATGTTACAGGCTCTATTTAATAAGATTACATGTTACAGGCTCTATTTAATAAGATTACATGTTACAGGCTCTATTTAATAAGATTACATGTTACAGGCTCTATTTAATAAGATTACATGTTACAGGCTCTATTTAATAAGATTACATGTTACAGGCTCTATTTAATAAGATTACATGTTACAGGCTCTATTTAATAAGATTACATGTTACAGGCTGCTGTCTCTATTTAATAAGATTACATGTTACAGGCTCTATTTAATAAGATTACATGTTACAGGCTCTATTTAATAAGATTACATGTTACAGGCTCTATTTAATAAGATTACATGTTACAGGCTCTATTTAATAAGATTACATGTTACAGGCTCTATTTAATAAGATTACATGTTACAGGCTCTATTTAATAAGATTACATGTTACAGGCTCTATTTAATAAGATTACATGTTACAGGCTCTATTTAATAAGATTACATGTTACAGGCTCTATTTAATAAGATTACATGTTACAGGCTCTATTTAATAAGATTACATGTTACAGGCTCTATTTAATAAGATTACATGTTACAGGCTCTATTTAATAAGATTACATGTTACAGGCTCTATTTAATAAGATTACATGTTACAGGCTCTATTTAATAAGATTACATGTTACAGGCTCTATTTAATAAGATTACATGTTACAGGCTCTATTTAATAAGATTACATGTTACAGGCTCTATTTAATAAGATTACATGTTACAGGCTCTATTTAATAAGATTACATGTTACAGGCTCTATTTAAAAGATTACATGTTACAGGCTCTATTTAATAAGATTACATGTTACAGGCTCTATTTAATAAGATTACATGTTACAGGCTCTATTTAATAAGATTACATGTTACAGGCTCTATTTAATAAGATTACATGTTCAGGCTCTATTTAATAAGATTACATGTTACAGGCTCTATTTAATAAGATTACATGTTACAGGCTCTATTTAATAAGATTACATGTTACAGGCTCTATTTAATAAGATTACATGTTACAGGCTCTATTTAATAGATTACATGTTACAGGCTCTATTTAATAAGGATACATGTTACAGGCTCTATTTAATAAGATTACATGTTACAGGCTCTATTTAATAAGATTACATGTTACAGGCTCTATTTAATAAGATTACATGTTACAGGCTCTATTTAATAAGATTACATGTTACAGGCTCTATTTAATAAGATTACATGTTACAGGCTCTATTTAATAAGATTACATGTTACAGGCTCTATTTAATAAGATTACATGTTACAGGCTCTATTTAATAAGATTACATGTTACAGGCTCTATTTATAAGATTAATGTTACAGGCTCTATTAATAAGATTACATGTTACAGGCTCTATTTAATAAGATTACATGTTTACAGGCTCTATTTAATAAGATTACATGTTACAGGCTCTATTTAATAAGATTACATGTTACAGGCTCTATTTAATAAGATTACATGTTACAGGCTCTATTTAATAAGATTACATGTTACAGGCTCTATTTAATAAGATTACATGTTAGGCTCTATTAATAAGATTACATGTTACAGGCTCTATTTAATAAGATTACATTTACAGGCTCTATTTAATAAGATTACATGTTACAGGGCTCTATTTAATAGATTACATGTTACAGGCTCTATTTAATAAGATTACATGTTACAGGCTCTATTTAATAAGATTACATGTTACAGGCTCTATTTAATAAGATTACATGTTACAGGCTCTATTTAATAAGATTACATGTTACAGGCTCTATTTAATAAGATTACATGTTACAGGCTCTATTTAATAAGATTACATGTTACAGGCTCTATTTAATAAGATTACATGTTACAGGCTCTATTTAATAAGATTACATGTTACAGGCTCTATTTAATAAGATTACATGTTACAGGCTCTATTTAATAAGATTACATGTTACAGGCTCTATTTAATAAGATTACATGTTACAGGCTCTATTTAATAAGATTACATGTTACAGGCTCTATTTAATAAGATTACATGTTACAGGCTCTATTTAATAAGATTACATGTTACAGGCTCTATTTAATAAGATTACATGTTACAGGCTCTATTTAATAAGATTACATGTTACAGGCTCTATTTAATAAGATTACATGTTACAGGCTCTATTTAATAAGATTACATGTTACAGGCTCTATTTAATAAGATTACATGTTACAGGCTCTATTTAATAAGATTACATGTTACAGGCTCTATTTAATAAGATTACATGTTACAGGCTCTATTTAATAAGATTACATGTTACAGGCTCTATTTAATAAGATTACATGTTACAGACTCTATTTAATAAGATTACATGTTACAGGCTCTATTTAATAAGATTACATGTTACAGGCTCTATTTAATAAGATTACATGTTACAGACTCTATTTAATAAGATTTCATGTTACAGGCTCTATTTAATAAGATTACATGTTACAGGCTCTATTTAATAAGATTACATGTTACAGGCTCTATTTAATAAGATTTCATGTTACAGGCTCTATTTAATAAGATTACATGTTACAGGCTCTATTTAATAAGATTACATGTTACAGGCTCTATTTAATAAGATTTCATGTTACAGGCTCTATTTAATAAGATTTCATGTTACAGGCTCTATTTAATAAGATTACATGTTACAGGCTCTATTTAATAAGATTACATGTTACAGGCTCTATTTAATAAGATTTCATGTTACAGGCTCTATTTAATAAGATTACATGTTACAGGCTCTATTTAATAAGATTACATGTTACAGGCTCTATTTAATAAGATTTCATGTTACAGGCTCTATTTAATAAGATTACATGTTACAGGCTCTATTTAATAAGATTACATGTTACAGGCTCTATTAATAAGATTACATGTTACAGGCTGCTGGATGGTAGTGAGGATGTTTGAGAGATCTGATCTGCTTTCAGAGTTGGGACAAGTACTTCAAGGCATTCACCGCGGGTTCGCTTCGTTGGTAAGTAGTAGTAGTATACTGTATAGTAATAGTAGTAGTAGTAGTAGTAATAGTAGTAATAATAGTATAACCTAGATAGTAATAGTAAGTGCAACTTATTCCTGCCGAGTGTTTCCTAGTTTACTTCATTATTCTAAAAAAATCAGCCAAAAAACTTTTTAAATGGCCGAACTATCGGTATTACAGTGACAGACTTCTCCAAATTTTAAAAATTTTCGAAAAAGAAAAATATTTTTTTTCTCGATGAGGGAATATTTTTAAAAATTTTTGAAGGTGTACAATCTTATTCTTTTTGTCTATTTAAAAATAATATAAAATAAAATCGATGTTCGGAGCAAAAACGGTTTTGGTGTATCTCCCCTTAAGCCGATCATGGAAATAGACACATTTTTGATGATTTTTGAGAAATAATTGAACGCTGTTAATTTTTGATCATTTCATTGTAAATCTGTCTTTTGAAAAACAAGCGATTAGTGTAACACTACAAGTGATATTGTGTAACACGTGTAACACTACAAGTAACACGTGTAACACTACAAGTGATATTGTGTAACACGTGTAACCCTTGTAACACGTGTAAAACCTTTGCAGGCGGATGCTAGACTTTTTAACGAGCAGAAGTGCCCCGTTATACCTTCCTTCCATCACGAGGAGAGACCTGCATCACACGAACCCTCCAGTAAAATTAACAGGGAATTCCAGGTCCGTATTAAGACCCCCCGGCTCCCTTAACTGAGTGCTCTCCCCAAACTAACTTTATCTAAATAATAAAATCCTTTCCAGACTTTAAACTTCATACCTGACATTAAAACCCCCAGACCCCGTCACCACTTCATACCTGACATTTAAACCCCCCAGACCCCGTCGCCACTACGACCTGACACAGTGTCTGCTCAACTAAACCTCAGCTCGGAGCACAGCCCCCCGGTTCCCAACTATCTGGGGAACATCATGGTCGGGGACACTCTTGTTCCGGCTAGCGGCTCCTTCCAGTGTATTCTTACTCTGCCACGCAGTCAGCCTCTTCCTCTTAATCTCAAGGTTTCTGGGGTTTTCTACTGTATAATATAATAAAACCCTGAGATTACAGTAATCTATCAATATTAACCCATGATTATGTTAAAACGTCACCATAAGTATAACTAGCTAACTTTAACTAACTAACTAACTAACCATCAGGACTGTTGCCGAGGTATGAGTATGACTAACTAACTAACCATCAGGACTGTTGCCGAGGTATGAGTATAACTAACTAACTAACTAACTAACTAACTAACTAACTAACTAACCGTCAGGACTGTTGCCGGGGTATGAGTATGATGTTGCCAGATCTAGATACTATTATCCTCGCCAAGTTGATCTCAGCAGGCTACAAGTTCTACGATCATCTCTCAATAAAGCTCAGCTGTTTTATCACATACCTTGATCCAATGGTAAGGAGAAATTGTTATTGACGATCAGATCTGCATCTCAATACTAGACAGCATACTTTACATCTCATGAAAGAACTACTAAGACAGAAAGGTCTGATTTGATAGTTAAAAATAAAATATTTCTGTTTCAGGTGGTCAATTTGGAACTGTATACCCTGCCAATTGTGAAGAGTATTCTCAACTACGCCACTTCGTCAATCTTAACCCAGGTTTGTAGCTGCGAAATCCCCTGTTTACTCTAGTAGCTACACTCTGCTACTAGAGTAGTTTGCAGATTCGTGCATTAACCATCCATGATTATATCAGCGAGCCGATATTTTATCATTTTGCAAATTATTGTGTCATCAACTAATCAACAGCTAATTATCGCGCTAATTATATGACAACCAGGAGTCAACCAGTGAGCAGTTCAGCACAGTGTCTATCTCATCAGTAGAGGAGACAATGACCCAGATAGAGGAGGAGAGACTGCTGATAGATGCTGTGGTCAGTGCTCTTACTCCCATGCTGTCTACTCACCAGCGCGGCCTCATGAAACAGGTCACTAATCAGTTATTAGGTCACTTAAGTTATTCTTAGAACAGATATCTAATCATTAATCATAGTTGCTGCTGAAACTTATAGGTTAACGCTGTCACATGTGAAATAACCTAATGACACTTGACAGGTACTACAAGAAGTGTTCCCCCTCTCTGTGTCCCCCCCCCCCCGACTATAATAACCTAGTGGCACTTGACAGGTACTACAAGAAGTGTTCCCCCTCTCTGTGTACCCCCCCCCCCCCCGACTATAATAACCTAGTGACACTTGACAGGTACTACAAGAAGTGTTCCCCTCTCTGTGTCCCCCCCCCCCCGACTATAATAACCTAGTGACACTTGACAGGTACTACAAGAAGTGTTCCCCCTCTCTGTGTCCCCCCCCCCCCCGACTATAATAACCTAGTGGCACTTGACAGGTACTACAAGAAGTGTTCCCCCTCTCTGTGTACCCCCCCCCCCCCCCCCCCGACTATAATAACCTAGTGACACTTGACAGGTACTACAAGAAGTGTTCCCCCTCTCTGTGTACCCCCCCCCCCCCCCCGACTATAATAACCTAGTGACACTTGACAGGTACTACAAGAAGTGTTCCCCCTCTCTGTGTCCCCCCCCCCCCCCGACTATAATAACCTAGTGACACTTGACAGGTACTACAAGAAGTGTTCCCCCTCTCTGTGTCCCCCCCCCCCCCCCGACTATAATAACCTAGTGGCACTTGACAGGTACTACAAGAAGTGTTCCCCCTCTCTGTGTCCCCCCCCCCCCCCGACTATAATAACCTAGTGGCACTTGACAGGTACTACAAGAAGTGTTCCCCCTCTCTGTGTCCCCCCCCCCCCGACTATAATAACCTAGTGACACTTGACAGGTACTACAAGAAGTGTTCCCCCTCTCTGTGTACCCCCCCCCCCCCGACTATAATAACCTAGTGACACTTGACAGGTACTACAAGAAGTGTTCCCCCTCTCTGTGTACCCCCCCCCCCCCGACTATAATAACCTAGTGACACTTGACAGGTACTACAAGAAGTGTTCCCCCCTCTCTGTGTCCCCCCCCCCCCCCCCCCCCGACTATAATAACCTAGTGACACTTGACAGGTACTACAAGAAGTGTTCCCCCTCTCTGTGTCCCCCCCCCCCCCCGACTATAATAACCTAGTGACACTTGACAGGTACTACAAGAAGTGTTCCCCTCTCTGTGTCCCCCCCCCCCCCGACTATAATAACCTAGTGCACTTGACAGGTACTACAAGAAGTGTTCCCCCTCTCTGTGTCCCCCCCCCCCGACTATAATAACCTAGTGACACTTGACAGGTACTACAAGAAGTGTTCCCCCTCTCTGTGTACCCCCCCCCCCCCGACTATAATAACCTAGTGACACTTGACAGGTACTACAAGAAGTGTTCCCCTCTCTGTGTCCCCCCCCCCCGACTATAATAACCTAGTGACACTTGACAGGTACTACAAGAAGTGTTCCCCCTCTCTGTGTCCCCCCCCCCCCCCCGACTATATTAACCTAGTGGCACTTGACAGGTACTACAAGAAGTGTTCCCCCTCTCTGTGTACCCCCCCCCGACTATAATAACCTAGTGACACTTGACAGGTACTACAAGAAGTGTTCCCCTCTCTGTGTACCCCCCCCCCCCCCCGACTATAATAACCTAGTGACACTTGACAGGTACTACAAGAAGTGTTCCCCCTCTCTGTGTACCCCCCCCCCCCCCCCCGACTATAATAACCTAGTGACACTTGACAGGTACTACAAGAAGTGTTCCCCTCTCTGTGTCCCCCCCCCCCCCGACTATAATAACCTAGTGACACTTGACAGGTACTACAAGAAGTGTTCCCCCTCTCTGTGTCCCCCCCCCCCGACTATAATAACCTAGTGGCACTTGACAGGTACTACAAGAAGTGTTCCCCCTCTCTGTGTACCCCCCCCCCCCCCCCCCGACTATAATAACCTAGTGACACTTGACAGGTACTACAAGAAGTGTTCCCCCTCTCTGTGTACCCCCCCCCCCCCCGACTATAATAACCTAGTGACACTTGACAGGTACTACAAGAAGTGTTCCCCCTCTCTGTGTCCCCCCCCCCCCGACTATAATAACCTAGTGACACTTGACAGGTACTACAAGAAGTGTTCCCCCTCTCTGTGTCCCCCCCCCCCCCCGACTATAATAACCTAGTGGCACTTGACAGGTACTACAAAGAAGTGTTCCCCCTCTCTGTGTCCCCCCCCCCCCCCCCCCCGACTATAATAACCTAGTGGCACTTGACAGGTACTACAAGAAGTGTTCCCCCTCTCTGTTCCCCCCCCCCCCCCCCCGACTATAATAACCTAGTGACACTTGACAGGTACTACAAGAAGTGTTCCCCCTCTCTGTGTACCCCCCCCCCCCCCCCCCCGACTATAATAACCTAGTGACACTTGACAGGTACTACAAGAAGTGTTCCCCCTCTCTGTGTACCCCCCCCCCCCGACTATAATAACCTAGTGACACTTGACAGGTACTACAAGAAGTGTTCCCCCTCTCTGTGTCCCCCCCCCCCCGACTATAATAACCTAGTGACACTTGACAGGTACTACAAGAAGTGTTCCCCCTCTCTGTGTCCCCCCCCCCCCCCCCGACTATAATAACCTAGTGACACTTGACAGGTACTACAAGAAGTGTTCCCCCTCTCTGTGTCCCCCCCCCCCCCCCCCGACTATAATAACCTAGTGGCACTTGACAGGTACTACAAGAAGTGTTCCCCCTCTCTGTGTCCCCCCCCCCCCCCCCCCGACTATATAACCTAGTGACACTTGACAGGTACTACAAGAAGTGTTCCCCCTCTCTGTTTCCCCCCCCCCCCCGACTATAATAACCTAGTGGCACTTGACAGGTACTACAAGAAGTGTTCCCCCTCTCTGTGTCCCCCCCCCCCCCCGACTATAATAACCTAGTGGCACTTGACAGGTACTACAAGAAGTGTTCCCCCTCTCTGTGTCCCCCCCCCCCCCCCGACTATAATAACCTAGTGACACTTGACAGGTACTACAAGAAGTGTTCCCCCTCTCTGTGTACCCCCCCCCCCGACTATAATAACCTAGTGACACTTGACAGGTACTACAAGAAGTGTTCCCCCTCTCTGTGCCCCCCCCCCCCCCCCCCCCGACTATAATAACCTAGTGACACTTGACAGGTACTACAAGAAGTGTTCCCCCTCTCTGTGTCCCCCCACCCCGACTATAATAACCTAGTGACACTTGACAGGTACTACAAGAAGTGTTCCCCCTCTCTGTATCCCCCCCCCCCGACTATAATAACCTAGTGACACTTGACAGGTACTACAAGAAGTGTTCCCCCTCTCTGTGCCCCCCCCCCCCCCCCCCGACTATAATAACCTAGTGACACTTGACAGGTACTACAAGAAGTGTTCCCCCTCTCTGTGTCCCCCCACCCCGACTATAATAACCTAGTGGCACTTGACAGGTACTACAAGAAGTGTTCCCCCTCTCTGTGTCCCCCCCCCCCCCCCCCCCCGACTATAATAACCTAGTGACACTTGACAGGTACTACAAGAAGTGTTCCCCCTCTCTGTGTACCCCCCCCCCCCCCCCCCGACTATAATAACCTAGTGACACTTGACAGGTACTACAAGAAGTGTTCCCCCTCTCTGTGCCCCCCCCCCCCCCCCGACTATAATAACCTAGTGACACTTGACAGGTACTACAAGAAGTGTTCCCCTCTCTGTGTCCCCCCCCCCCCCCCCCCCCCGACTATAATAACCTAGTGCACTTGACAGGTACTACAAGAAGTGTTCCCCCTCTCTGTGTCCCCCCCCCCCCCCCCGACTATAATAACCTAGTGACACTTGACAGGTACTACAAGAAGTGTTCCCCCTCTCTGTGTACCCCCCCCCCCCCCCCCCCCCCCGACTATAATAACCTAGTGACACTTGACAGGTACTACAAGAAGTGTTCCCCCTCTCTGTGCCCCCCCCCCCCCCCCGACTATAATAACCTAGTGACACTTGACAGGTACTACAAGAAGTGTTCCCCCTCTCTGTGTCCCCCCACCCCGACTATAATAACCTAGTGACACTTGACAGGTACTACAAGAAGTGTTCCCCCCTCTCTGTGTACCCCCCCCCCCCCCCCGACTATAATAACCTAGTGACACTTGACAGGTACTACAAGAAGTGTTCCCCCTCTCTGTGTCCCCCCCCCCCCCCGACTATAATAACCTAGTGACACTTGACAGGTACTACAAGAAGTGATCCCCCTCCCCCCCCCCCCGACTATAATAACCTAGTGACACTTGACAGGTACTACAAGAAGTGTTCCCCCTCTCTGTTTCCCACGTGTACAACATGACCGTGCCACCACGTGTTAGAGCCATGATACACGAGCAGTTTGAGAGTAACAAGTATGAGGTGGTCCCGGCAATGCTCGAGAAGGTTTGATCCCTCTTTTTATAGTATTCTTATCATTTTATTTTGAAGATCTAGTACATACTTCGTTATCCAGGATAAAGCACCAAAGTAATGTTAACACAGTAAATGTTAACTAGTGTTAACACAGTTACTTGTAAACTAGTGTTAACACAGTAACTGTTAACTAGTGTTAACACAGTAAATTTTAACTAGTGTTAACCCAGTTACTTATAAACCCCATCCCACCAGACTCTAGAGTTATACCATGTGATACAGAACAGGAAGTGTGTTATTGTAACGGGGCCCACTGGGTGTGGCAAAACTACCATGTTCAGGCTCCTTAGCAACGCTATCAACTTCATGCAGGTTAGTTCTCCTTAAGGTAAAGTTACTTAAATTTAGTTCACTTATTTAACGAATAAACAAATTAAGGAAATTAACAACAACTTTAAAATGTTCCAGGCAACAGAAGCGCGCGCGCAGAAGGAGATGGAGCAGAGAGGAATACCCAGCACAAGGAAACCGAGCTCGTATACAATAACACCCAGCGTGTCTAAATTCGGGACTCCGCACCCCACAGTTAGTGTCCTACATTAGTAACGTTAACTGCTCCTTAGTTATACAGTAAACTAGTTATCTGTTCCTTCTTATTAAATAAGAGGCAAATACTTTAACCCTCTATCTCCCCTGCTCCAGGAGTACGGATCACGTGACCCCTCTGTGATGGGAACAGCTCCACCCTCTACCACTGACAAGAGACAACGCTCAGTCAGGAACGACAAGCTGAAGGGTCTGATCAGTAAGACTCTTATCGCACCTCAGAAAGCTCTCAATATCCTACATAAACCTGATACAAGGTAGGCGAGGGTGAGGGTGAGGGTGAGGGTGAGGGTGAGGGTGAGGGTGAGGGTGAGGGTGAGGGTGAGGGTGAGGGTGAGGGTGAGGGTGAGGGTGAGGGTGAGGGTGAGGGTGAGGGTGAGGGTGAGGGTGAGGGTGAGGGTGAGGGTGAGGGTGAGGGTGAGGGTGAGGGTAAGGGTGAGGGTGAGGGTGAGGGTGAGGGTGAGGGTGAGGGTCACTCAGCGCGGTTTTAGACTTCAATTAACTACTCCCCCCCCCTCCCCGTTAACTACTAGTACTCACTACTAACCAGCGTGGTTACAATTTATTTATCTGTTGATTGTAAGTAGACTTGACTCTTTTTCATGTAATATTTCTACTAAATATGCCAATACTTCTTATCTATGAAAATACCTCTCCAGGGTTGATTCGGTGATGTCCAGCAATCATGATACTCCTCAAGCAGAGACCCAGAAAATAAGAACCCTCCGATTATTTGTCAACACCCTTACCTTTGACGAGTTCGTTGGATCAGGTCTGATTCCATTGAGTGATATTGTCTTGGTAACCCAGTATAACCTTTTAATACTGGAACGGATTTTGAAACGGTTAAAAATGTTAAATTGTATATTAAATTTGAAGTCAATAAAAAATAAAACTAAAATGAGTCCTCCTGTGCAGGCGTGTTGGGATCAGAGGACGGTATCTTCATCAGTATGTGTAAGAAGTTCAGCTCCACATCCTCACTGGATAACACCTTACAGAACTGGATAATGCTGGATGGAAACATAAAGACCTACATGGAGAGTCTGCTCTCTACTGCTATTTCTAACAGGGTCATTTCCTCCTTAGACGCTTCTCAGATAAGGTGGGTCACTGAATACAGGGTACTGATGTAGTGTGGGTCACTGAATACAGGGTACTGATGTAGTGTGGGTCACTGAATACAGGGTACTGATGTAGTGTGGGTCACTGAATACAGGGTACTGATGTAGTGTGGGTCACTGAATACAGGGTACTGATGTAGTGTGGGTCACTGAATACAGGGTACTGATGTAGTGTGGGTCACTGAATACAGGGTACTGATGTAGTGTGGGTCACTGAATACAGGGTACTGATGTAGTGTGGGTCACTGAATACAGGGTACTGATGTAGTGTGGGTCACTGAATACAGGGTACTGATGTAGTGTGGGTCACTGAATACAGGGTACTGATGTAGTGTGGGTCACTGAATACAGGGTACTGATGTAGTGTGGGTCACTGAATACAGGGTACTGATGTAGTGTGGGTCACTGAATACAGGGTACTGATGTAGTGTGGGTCACTGAATACAGGGTACTGATGTAGTGTGGGTCACTGAATACAGGGTACTGATGTAGTGTGGGTCACTGAATACAGGGTACTGATGTAGTGTGGGTCACTGAATACAGGGTACTGATGTAGTGTGGGTCACTGAATACAGGGTACTGATGTAGTGTGGGTCACTGAATACAGGGTACTGATGTAGTGTGGGTCACTGAATACAGGGTACTGATGTAGTGTGGGTCACTGAATACAGGGTACTGATGTAGTGTGGGTCACTGAATACAGGGTACTGATGTAGTGTGGGTCACTGAATACAGGGTACTGATGTAGTGTGGGTCACTGAATACAGGGTACTGATGTAGTGTGGGTCACTGAATACAGGGTACTGATGTAGTGTGGGTCACTGAATACAGGGTACTGATGTAGTGTGGGTCACTGAATACAGGGTACTGATGTAGTGTGGGTCACTGAATACAGGGTACTGATGTAGTGTGGGTCACTGAATACAGGGTACTGATGTAGTGTGGGTCACTGAATACAGGGTACTGATGTAGTGTGGGTCACTGAATACAGGGTACTGATGTAGTGTGGGTCACTGAATACAGGGTACTGATGTAGTGTGGGTCACTGAATACAGGGTACTGATGTAGTGTGGGTCACTGAATACAGGGTACTGATGTAGTGTGGGTCACTGAATACAGGGTACTGATGTAGTGTGGGTCACTGAATACAGGGTACTGATGTAGTGTGGGTCACTGAATACAGGGTACTGATGTAGTGTGGGTCACTGAATACAGGGTACTGATGTAGTGTGGGTCACTGAATACAGGGTACTGATGTAGTGTGGGTCACTGAATACAGGGTACTGATGTAGTGTGGGTCACTGAATACAGGGTACTGATGTAGTGTGGGTCACTGAATACAGGGTACTGATGTAGTGTGGGTCACTGAATACAGGGTACTGATGTAGTGTGGGTCACTGAATACAGGGTACTGATGTAGTGTGGGTCACTGAATACAGGGTACTGATGTAGTGTGGGTCACTGAATACAGGGTACTGATGTAGTGTGGGTCACTGAATACAGGGTACTGATGTAGTGTGGGTCACTGAATACAGGGTACTGATGTAGTGTGGGTCACTGAATACAGGGTACTGATGTAGTGTGGGTCACTGAATACAGGGTACTGATGTAGTGTGGGTCACTGAATACAGGGTACTGATGTAGTGTGGGTCACTGAATACAGGGTACTGATGTAGTGTGGGTCACTGAATACAGGGTACTGATGTAGTGTGGGTCACTGAATACAGGGTACTGATGTAGTGTGGGTCACTGAATACAGGGTACTGATGTAGTGTGGGTCACTGAATACAGGGTACTGATGTAGTGTGGGTCACTGAATACAGGGTACTGATGTAGTGTGGGTCACTGAATACAGGGTACTGATGTAGTGTGGGTCACTGAATACAGGGTACTGATGTAGTGTGGGTCACTGAATACAGGGTACTGATGTAGTGTGGGTCACTGAATACAGGGTACTGATGTAGTGTGGGTCACTGAATACAGGGTACTGATGTAGTGTGGGTCACTGAATACAGGGTACTGATGTAGTGTGGGTCACTGAATACAGGGTACTGATGTAGTGTGGGTCACTGAATACAGGGTACTGATGTAGTGTGGGTCACTGAATACAGGGTACTGATGTAGTGTGGGTCACTGAATACAGGGTACTGATGTAGTGTGGGTCACTGAATACAGGGTACTGATGTAGTGTGGGTCACTGAATACAGGGTACTGATGTAGTGTGGGTCACTGAATACAGGGTACTGATGTAGTGTGGGTCACTGAATACAGGGTACTGATGTAGTGTGGGTCACTGAATACAGGGTACTGATGTAGTGTGGGTCACTGAATACAGGGTACTGATGTAGTGTGGGTCACTGAATACAGGGTACTGATGTAGTGTGGGTCACTGAATACAGGGTACTGATGTAGTGTGGGTCACTGAATACAGGGTACTGATGTAGTGTGGGTCACTGAATACAGGGTACTGATGTAGTGTGGGTCACTGAATACAGGGTACTGATGTAGTGTGGGTCACTGAATACAGGGTACTGATGTAGTGTGGGTCACTGAATACAGGGTACTGATGTAGTGTGGGTCACTGAATACAGGGTACTGATGTAGTGTGGGTCACTGAATACAGGGTACTGATGTAGTGTGGGTCACTGAATACAGGGTACTGATGTAGTGTGGGTCACTGAATACAGGGTACTGATGTAGTGTGGGTCACTGAATACAGGGTACTGATGTAGTGTGGGTCACTGAATACAGGGTACTGATGTAGTGTGGGTCACTGAATACAGGGTACTGATGTAGTGTGGGTCACTGAATACAGGGTACTGATGTAGTGTGGGTCACTGAATACAGGGTACTGATGTAGTGTGGGTCACTGAATACAGGGTACTGATGTAGTGTGGGTCACTGAATACAGGGTACTGATGTAGTGTGGGTCACTGAATACAGGGTACTGATGTAGTGTGGGTCACTGAATACAGGGTACTGATGTAGTGTGGGTCACTGAATACAGGGTACTGATGTAGTGTGGGTCACTGAATACAGGGTACTGATGTAGTGTGGGTCACTGAATACAGGGTACTGATGTAGTGTGGGTCACTGAATACAGGGTACTGATGTAGTGTGGGTCACTGAATACAGGGTACTGATGTAGTGTGGGTCACTGAATACAGGGTACTGATGTAGTGTGGGTCACTGAATACAGGGTACTGATGTAGTGTGGGTCACTGAATACAGGGTACTGATGTAGTGTGGGTCACTGAATACAGGGTACTGATGTAGTGTGGGTCACTGAATACAGGGTACTGATGTAGTGTGGGTCACTGAATACAGGGTACTGATGTAGTGTGGGTCACTGAATACAGGGTACTGATGTAGTGTGGGTCACTGAATACAGGGTACTGATGTAGTGTGGGTCACTGAATACAGGGTACTGATGTAGTGTGGGTCACTGAATACAGGGTACTGATGTAGTGTGGGTCACTGAATACAGGGTACTGATGTAGTGTGGGTCACTGAATACAGGGTACTGATGTAGTGTGGGTCACTGAATACAGGGTACTGATGTAGTGTGGGTCACTGAATACAGGGTACTGATGTAGTGTGGGTCACTGAATACAGGGTACTGATGTAGTGTGGGTCACTGAATACAGGGTACTGATGTAGTGTGGGTCACTGAATACAGGGTACTGATGTAGTGTGGGTCACTGAATACAGGGTACTGATGTAGTGTGGGTCACTGAATACAGGGTACTGATGTAGTGTGGGTCACTGAATACAGGGTACTGATGTAGTGTGGGTCACTGAATACAGGGTACTGATGTAGTGTGGGTCACTGAATACAGGGTACTGATGTAGTGTGGGTCACTGAATACAGGGTACTGATGTAGTGTGGGTCACTGAATACAGGGTACTGATGTAGTGTGGGTCACTGAATACAGGGTACTGATGTAGTGTGGGTCACTGAATACAGGGTACTGATGTAGTGTGGGTCACTGAATACAGGGTACTGATGTAGTGTGGGTCACTGAATACAGGGTACTGATGTAGTGTGGGTCACTGAATACAGGGTACTGATGTAGTGTGGGTCACTGAATACAGGGTACTGATGTAGTGTGGGTCACTGAATACAGGGTACTGATGTAGTGTGGGTCACTGAATACAGGGTACTGATGTAGTGTGGGTCACTGAATACAGGGTACTGATGTAGTGTGGGTCACTGAATACAGGGTACTGATGTAGTGTGGGTCACTGAATACAGGGTACTGATGTAGTGTGGGTCACTGAATACAGGGTACTGATGTAGTGTGGGTCACTGAATACAGGGTACTGATGTAGTGTGGGTCACTGAATACAGGGTACTGATGTAGTGTGGGTCACTGAATACAGGGTACTGATGTAGTGTGGGTCACTGAATACAGGGTACTGATGTAGTGTGGGTCACTGAATACAGGGTACTGATGTAGTGTGGGTCACTGAATACAGGGTACTGATGTAGTGTGGGTCACTGAATACAGGGTACTGATGTAGTGTGGGTCACTGAATACAGGGTACTGATGTAGTGTGGGTCACTGAATACAGGGTACTGATGTAGTGTGGGTCACTGAATACAGGGTACTGATGTAGTGTGGGTCACTGAATACAGGGTACTGATGTAGTGTGGGTCACTGAATACAGGGTACTGATGTAGTGTGGGTCACTGAATACAGGGTACTGATGTAGTGTGGGTCACTGAATACAGGGTACTGATGTAGTGTGGGTCACTGAATACAGGGTACTGATGTAGTGTGGGTCACTGAATACAGGGTACTGATGTAGTGTGGGTCACTAAATACAGGGTACTGATGTAGTGTGGGTCACTAAATACAGGGTACTGATGTAGTGTGGGTCACTGAATACAGGGTACTGATGTATTGTGGGTCACTGAATACAGGGTACTGATGTAGTGTGGGTCACTAAATACAGGGTACTGATGTAGTGTGGGTCACTGAATACAGGGTACTGATGTAGTGTGGGTCACTGAATACAGGGTACTGATGTAGTGTGGGTCACTGAATACAGGGTACTGATGTAGTGTGGGTGATTACTACGATTTTGAAAATATTGGACCTCGTTTTTTGACGATTTTTCGAGGTCCAAATCAAATTAAAATTATGATCGAACAGAATCTCTTAAATGGTCCTTAGAACATATCCTGAACGTTTCAAGGTGATTGCTCAAAAATGTAGGAGAAGACACATGAGCGCTGACTTTTTACCGGCGATAACTTCGGCTAGGAATAATATTTTTCCATGGGACCAAAAGCAGCAGATAGATATCACTCCCCTCTATCAGAAACAACTATAAAATAAATTTCGAGAGAAATTTCATAAAGACCCCCCTTAAATTGAGTACATTTCCAGGATAAGAGACAACATTCAGTTCTTTGTTGAAACTGATAGTTTGGCGGACATCTCTCCTTCTTTTATCACCAAATGTGGTGTTGTGGTGATGAACAGTAACAATGTGGGCTGGAGACAGCGCTTCAGGTGAAATATTTATTACGCATATTTTTACGTTTTAACAAGGATTTGTAAACATATTTGCCACTTTACCACACAAAGGACAATGTTAACAGAGAAAACTAAAGTTAATACTCCTAACTTACTACTACTACTAGGTCTTGGTTAAAGAAAGCAGAGAAAGACTTCTACCTGACAAAAGCTCGAGTGTTTACTCTGACAGTGCTTATGGAGACGTTCATAGGGCAGATGATCCAGTTCCTAGATGTTCATATGAAGTTCATTGTGCGAACTGACAAGAATCACACGCAAGAGGTAGGGGGCATCCTTATAGGGGGGGGGGGCACCCTCTTATTTGCTTTATCGTTACTACCTTATCGGACTTTATTTGAACGGACATTAATTGGACGTTGGAGGCCCTAGTGTTCATTTTAATGACAAGATAGTAACATTAAATACATTAAAATATGAATGCCTTTGAGCGTTCATTTTAATGTCCGTTCAAAATTATATCCGTTCACGCAATGTCGGGTCAAATAACGTCCGATAAGTTATTTGCCATTCCTTGTATACAAAAACCTTTTGTACGAAAAAGGTGCTTGACTTTGAGTGAGCACATCTTCAAAAGATTTCAAATATTTTCTGTTGACAATAAACAATTGTGTACTCTGTAGGCATCATTGAAAGTGTTAAACTCAAATTAGCAACTAAACATCTCCTCTCATGTCAGGTATCTTCTCTGCTGCGGTGGCTGAATGTACTCTTCGGTAGATATATTGGGCAGCAGAGTGCGGAAGAGGGTAATTCAGAAGATTACCTGAACAGTATCACTATCCTTATCTTCATTATGGGTAGGTTTTCAATAGAGTCTGTGGACACGCCGTTACACATCATATCAAATAATTAAACTAAGTTTAATTATGCTCTAGAATAAAACTATCACGAATCTAAGCACTTGAACTGACTAATTCTAAATTACAATAATTCCCCTACTTCCAGCATACGTGTGGTCGTTTGGATCTAATATCCAGGCAGGATGTATTGGAGCATTTAGCGACTTTGTAAAGCAACAGATACAAGAGTCAAACCACAAGGTTAACCATCCGAGTACCGGCACTGTGTTCGACTGGTGTATCAACGCTGACAAACTCAGGTAACATTAGGCTCCACATGTACTGTTATCATGAGATCATATAGGGCAGTCACCCTCCAACCTAATAAAATAACCCAGGTTTGAGAGTTCACCCTCCAACCTAATAAAGTAACCCAGGGTTGAGAGTTCACCCTCCAAACTAATAAAGTAACCCAGGTTTGAGAGTTCACCCTCCAACCTAATAAAATAACCCAGGTTTGAGAGTTCACCCTCTAACCTAATAAAGTAACCCAGGTTCGAGATTTCACCCTCTAACCTAATAAAGTAACCCAGGTTTGAGAGTTCACCCTCCAACCTAATAAAGTAACCCAGGTTTGAGAGTTCACCCTCAAACCTAATAAAGTAACCCAGGTTTGAGAGTTCACCCTCCAACCTAATAAAATAACCCAGGTTTAAGAGTTCACCCTCCAACCTAACAAAATAACCCAGGTTTGAGAGTTCACCCTATAACCTAATAAAATAACCCAGGTTTGAGAGTTCACCCTCCAACCTAATAAAATAACCCAGGTTTAAGAGTTCACCCTCCAACCTAACAAAATAACCCAGGTTTGAGAGTTCACCCTATAACCTAATAAAATAACCCAGGTTTGAGAGTTCACCCTATAACCTAATAAAATAACCCAGGTTTGAGAGTTCACCCTCCAACCTAACAAAATAACCCAGGTTTGAGAGTTCACCCTCAAACCTAATAAAGTAACCCAGGTTTGAGAGTTCACCCTCCAACCTAATAAAATAACCCAGGTTTGAGAGTTCACCCTCCAACCTAACAAAATAACCCAGGTTTGAGAGTTCACCCTCAAACCTAATAAAGTAACCCAGGTTTGAGAGTTCACCCTCCAACCTAACAAAATAACCCAGGTTTGAGAGTTCACCCTCAAACCTAATAAAGTAACCCAGGTTTGAGAGTTCACCCTCCAACCTAACAAAATAACCCAGGTTTGAGAGTTCACCCTATAACCTAATAAAATAACCCAGGTTTGAGAGTTCACCCTCCAACCTAACAAAATAACCCAGGTTTGAGAGTTCACCCTCAAACCTAATAAAGTAACCCAGGTTTGAGAGTTCACCCTCCAACCTAATAAAATAACCCAGGTTTAAGAGTTCACCCTCCAACCTAACAAAATAACCCAGGTTTGAGAGTTCACCCTATTATAACCTAATAAAATAACCCAGGTTTGAGAGTTCACCCTCCAACCTAACAAAATAACCCAGGTTTGAGAGTTCACCCTATAACCTAATAAAATAACCCAGGTTTGAGAGTTCACCCTCCAACCTAACAAAATAACCCAGGTTTGAGAGTTCACCCTCAAACCTAATAAAGTAACCCAGGTTTGAGAGTTCACCCTCCAACCTAATAAAATAACCCAGGTTTAAGAGTTCACCCTCCAACCTAACAAAATAACCCAGGTTTGAGAGTTCACCCTATTATAACCTAATAAAATAACCCAGGTTTGAGAGTTCACCCTCCAACCTAATAAAATAACCCAGGTTTGACCTATGGAAGGATTTCTTCGCGGATCTGAAGCCCCAGTCCTCAGTAACATTCACTACCACAATACTTCACGAGACTACCCTTCATCTAACGGAACTGCTGCAGAGCGCTGGTGTTCCGGTGATGATTGCTGGACCTTCCTCCTCCGGCAAATCTTCCTTCATACAGAACTGTGTCTTTCCCAAACTGCATCCTACTAAAATCAAGGTTTGTGATGTGATGAATTTGCCAGTTTTCTTGCGATGGTTTTTGCTGCATGCAAAAATATAATACCAAAACAGCATAATTAGATAATTTATCAACAAAGACTTCTTCTCTACTCCTTACTCAGGTGTGGTGGTACTCTACTTTACTATATATACTATACTCTACTCCGTACTCTACTATACTCTACTATCCTATATAATATACTAAACTCTTCTCCTTAGAGTACCACCACACTTGCCACTAGTCCAATTTTCATTAATCACAAACAAATATACCACATATCCTTTAAACCCTAACCCAGGTCCCAGGTATCTATACACTATCTACTATACACTATACACTATAATACACTATACACTATACACTATACACTGAACACTATACACTATACACTATACACTATACACTATACACTATTATACACTATACACTATACACTATACACTATACACTATACACTATACACTATATACACTATACACTATACACTATACACTGCACACTATACACTACACACTACACACTATACACTACACACTATACACTATACACTATACACTATACACTATACACTATACACTATACACTATACACTATACACTATACACTACACACTACACACTATACACTATACACTATCTACTATACACTATACACTATATACTATACACTATACACTAAACACTATACACTAAACACTATACACTATACACTATACACTATACACTATTATACACTATACACTATACACTATACACTATACACTATACACTATACACTATACACTATACACTATATACACTATACACTATACACTACACACTATACACTACACACTACACACTATACACTATACACTATACACTATACACTATACACTATACACTATACACTATACACTATACACTATACACTATACACTATACACTATACACTATACACTACACACTATACACTACACACTATACACTATACACTATACACTATACACTATACACTATACACTATACACTATACACTATACACTATACACTATACACTATACACTATACACTATACACTACACACTACACACTACACACTGCACACTATACACTATACACTATACACTATACACTATACACTATACACTATACACTATACACTAAACTCCCTGCCAGGTATCCCATCTGAGTACGAAGAGAGGTCTGGAGGACAGTATAGAGAACAAGCTTATTCAGTTCCAGAGACGGCAACAAGCCATGGCCACCTCCATTATTCCCTCTCTACTGATAGAAGACTTTAATGTTATCCCTAATAGAGGTGCGGAGGGGTTTACTTCAATCATTTACACAGTAATACATATATTTTAATTGTACTTGTCCGCGTAATATCGAAAAGGGTAGCCTACTTGTTACATTTCGTCTGTTTGATTCTAAAACACCATCAACGCAGGATCCAAGATTGGTTTACAAGAAGTGTTAAGAAAGGTACTGGCACACGGTGAAACATACAGCTTTAAACGGAGAGTATTCCGCAACTTGGGCTCCACCCATCTCATTCTCACCTGTAACTCAGTGGACTCAGTAGGAGCTGGAGGTGATGTGGCTGTTGGCAATGTCATCGAGAGACTCTCCAAGAGTTTCAACATCCTCCCGTACCACGAGCCCTCCGAATATGAGTGGAGGGGAATATTTTACCCAATAGTCCTGGCTTGGTTGGACGACTTTCCCGCCTACAAACTTAACATGAAGTCAATCCTTGCCACGGCTATTGTCGGGGCTACTTGTCAAATATACGAGATCCTGAAAGAGAGACTGAAACCCATACCCGGCTTCACTCACTGTATTTTCGACGCCCACTCGCTGTCTCAAGTGTTTCAGGGCATATTCCTGCTCTCCCCCACCTCGAAGTTCCGGCAACTGAGGCAACCTTTGAAAGGCTCAACCGGGCACCAGGACAGAAGGCGAGGGCAGTCCCTCTGCAAGTCCAAGTCTGTGGCAACTGACAGGTATATGTGTAAAACTGTAGCTCATCTCTGGAATCACGAAGTTCAGAGGATATTCTCAGATAGGATTTGTGACGACCAGATCCGTAGTGAGGTTTACAGGAACACTAATGATGTTATGAAGAAGTTTTTCTGTCGACCAGTTGTTGACATTGACAGTAACAATAAAGAAACTGCGCGGAAACTTGAGGGATGTTCTCTACCAATCTGACTACCAACATGAAGAAGTACATTCTGGGACTCCTCCTAGAGGACCTGGAGGAGATGGAGCTAGGGGAACCTCTGTTAGATGCTGATGAACTTATGGCAGAACTTCCTGTCATCGCATCTGATCTTGTCTTCACAAAGCATCTTGTAGACAACTCCGAGACGTATGCTGAGGAAACAGTTGCTGTGATACAAGAGAAACTTGATTTTATTATGACGTCACAAAGTTTAGCGCCTATCTTTAATGGAACCCAAGCGTTGGTTTCATTTTCCAGAGCTGTCAAACATTGTGCCCGACTCTCAAGATCGTTTATGCTGGGTGGGTTTTCCATTCTTCTTGGACCATCTGGAAGTGGAAGGAAAATACTGGCTCAGGCTACTGCTATCGCTCACAACTATGCGTTTAGACTGATTCCCAGGAAGTCTGGAAGTCTTGACTTCACCCAGCTGTTACGAGACGCACTCATTGAAGCTAACTCAGTGCCAGTGTTACTGTTTATCGAGGATGGATGGACTGAAACTGACTACGCTGACTTGATGTTCTTCATATCTGAGGGAAATCACCCCAACCTGATTGAGTCCTCCGCCCTGTCCACCTCCTCGTACGGTAACGTCAATATGGACATGTTCTACAAGAGAGTACAATCTCAGCTCCACGTAGTCATGTCCTGAATACTGATGGAGGGATGATACCAGAACATATCGTCAGACTCATCTCCAACTACCCCTGTATTCTCAAGAAGTGCTCAGCTATAGATTATTACTCTCTGTGGCCTCCAGAGACGTTAGCAGAGATAGCCTTTACCTTTCTGGAGCGGTACGAGCACCAGAAAGACCCGGATTACAAGATCTCCAGATATAGTCCCGATAGTGAGTCACCGGGTCTGCTCATGGAAAGTCCTCATTACATAGGTTCATTTAACCGCATGAAACCGCATTCAACTGCAGTTAACCGCATGACGCTCCCGCTTTCTCTTATCATCAGCTCTTTACTCACTAAACACTTTTATCAAATCAACATATTATAAATATGCAGTGAAACACTTTTATACAACATTTTTTTCAACATATGCGATTATCTACAGTTATGATCATTCCCAGAAATCGTTCAATTCAAGCAGTTGAAAGGTGAAATGACCGTAAGTGTGATTGTAAGCCCGTATTTGCAGGTAAACAGTTTACAGCAATGTTAAGTAACTTGGCTGCTGGAATCCACCTTGTTGCTCTCCAGGTGGGTCAGGAGCAGCTCTCAGAGATCAGCTCCTTTGTTAATCCTGCCAGTTTCCTCGACCTGCTCCATCTCTACACTGTAATGGAGGCGCGCATTAAAACTGAGATCATGGTTAGTAGTGGTGTAGTGGTAGTAGTGGTATAGTGGTATAGTAGAAGTGTGGCTGGTAGAATACTGACTGTTTCATGTTTCCCTTCTTTGATAAAATCTTTGAAGCTGGGCACTTTGAACTGGATGGTACAAACCTCGCTCCTTTCAGAGCAAGCTCAATGTGTTTACACTGGTGTATGAGAAGATTGCTCAAGTGGAGGAGATATTAAAAACAAAGAAAGCAAGGTTAGCAGGTCTTGCACCGGTTCTCAAGACAGCTCAGTTGGTTTATCAGGTACGGAAAATATTGTCATAATGATAATAGTTTATATAATACCTGCAATAGGGAGGGGGGGGGGGGGCAATAGGTTTGATCATTGATGTGATGCTCTGCTTGATGAGAACTAACTGATAATGATAGCAATAGGGGTAGATACTGATACTGATAGCAATAGGGGGGATACTGATACTGATAGCAATAGGGGGGACAATGATACTGATAGCTATAGGGGGGTACTGATAGCAATAGGGGAGGGGGTACTGAAACTGATAGCAATAGGGGAGGGGGTACTCATACTGATAGCAATAGGGGGGGGGGGGTACTGATACTGATAGCAATAGGGGGACACTGATACTGATAGCTATAGGGGGTACTGATAGCAATAGGGGAGGGGTTACTGAAACTGATAGCAATAGGGGAGGGGGTATTGATACTGATAGCTATAGGGGAGGGGGTACTGATACTGATAGCAATAGGGGGCTACTGATACTGATAGCGATAGGGGGGTACTGATACTGATAGCAATTGAATCATGTCTATCTTACAGGGATGGGCAGAAGAAATAAAGAAAGACAAAGTAGAATTCCACAGATGCCAAGAAGCGTGCAGAGTAGAGGAGGAGAACATTGAGAGAAAACAACAAGAGCTCTCCGAACTGAAGCAGCTCAATGATCTGGATCTGAAGGAAGTGTCTCCAGTTTTAGAGAAAGCAGTTGAAGCTCTCTCCTGCATAAACAAGTGTGATATGGAGGAGCTGAAATCTTACAAGAACCCCCCCGCAATTGTCAAGTTCTCCCTTGAAGCGCTCTGTGTTCTGTTTGATAAAGATACTTCCTGGGACTCGGCTGTCATGCTTCTTCAGGACTCCAGTCTCATCAAAAACATCGCTAACCTCAAGAAAGATAAGATCAAGATGGCTACCCTCCATCGCCTAAAGAAGGACTATCTTGATGATCCGAGGTTTACTCAAGAGGCTATTGCAGAGGTTAGCAAAGCAACTACCAGTATTCAGGCATATATATCAGGTATCCATAAGTACAGCACTACAATCAAGAAGCTCAAGCCTAAACAGAAAAGATACGAAAAGGTGTCAGCAGAATTGGAGCAGAGCCAAAAAACACTGGGTAAGAAGTTTCTCCATCTGGACGAGTTTCAGAAGAATCTGGATACTAAAGCCGCCAATCTTGAGGAGAGCAGCTCACAAATAAAACACATCCAATCTACTAAGAAAGCTCTGAAGAAAGAAGTGAAAGCTGCTGAAAAGATACTGGAGGCAGTGAAGCACAAGACACAGCAGTGGAAGGTCAGAGAAGGATGAGTTAGATCAGCAGCTGCTGAAAGCTGACGGGGATGCTTTACTTGCAGCCGGGGCCATCACCTACTACGGGCCTTTCTCTGCTCGAATAAGGGCCAAACTTATCGAAAACTGGCTGGATCAGTCTTTGCCTGGTCAATCTTTTATAACAGAAGGCTTTGTATCCACATCTCGGAATTTTGACCTCGTCACCGCTTTGTCGACCCCTACAGAACTTCTCAACTTGGAGAAACAAGGACTGCCTAAAGACAAACAAAGCATAGAAAACCTCCTCATAGTCCGTGAACTTCTGAAATTCTCCCGCCGTAAGATCCTTATCTCGGACCCTGACGACCAGCTCCGACAATGGGCACCCTTCCTAGTGAATCTGAACGAGCCTGACAACAGCACCCTCAAACTATCAGACAGTACCTCGGAGCTGACACACCTGCCTCCACCCAGCAACTCCAGCAGCTCCGTCCTGAGGGGCTCCGAGGTGGAGATGTGTGGCAGTGGGCTGGCGGAGAGTGTGATGTATTATTCAGTGGAGGAGGTGGTAGAGCAGCACGGGGGGAGGAGTGTGGGCTCTGTTAGAGGCACTCTCTCTATCATTACTGGTAATTATTGTTCTGTATTCTTATCATTTAACGGACTCTCTCTATCATTACTGGTAATTATTGTTCTGTATTCTTATCATTTAACGGATCCCCCTGACCCTTAATTATATTGCCTCTTTTTCACGGTCCCTCATTTGTTAACTCCCCAACGTAACCCCATGTTTCCCCAGGTGTGTGGGATAGAGGTGTGAGCATGCCCTCCCTCCCCTCCCTTCTATCAGAGAACTGTATCCTCACTAGCAACCTCACCACCTCCCAGCTCAGCTCTAAACCTCTCAGTGAAACAGCTGTTGTTACCTTCAAGTTATCTCAGTCGGGTATCACATCAGCTCTGCTCAAACTAATCGTGTCTAAACAGGTGAGGTTTATAACTTGTACAGAGGGTTTAAGATTAGCTCCTTTTAAAGGTTCAGATGTGGAGAGTGTTTAAAGTCATCATTTAAATCAATTCATAAGTTCATCCTCAGAAGAGAAAATTGAAATATTATACGGTATTTTGTTAATTATGAATATCAAATCGCATAGTTCAATTTTCAACTTAACGATAGTTGAATCATATCATATTCTTTAAATTGAAAAGAAAATTATTTGTTTCCGATCAAGTCATCTAATTACTTATTTGTCTTCATCAAAATTATCTCTCTAAAAATTATTATTCAATTTTGAAAATCTTGGACCTCAAAAAATCGTAAAAAACGAGGTCCAAGATTTTCAAAATTGAATACAACATTTTTAAAGGCCTATCTCAAAATTTTTTTTAAGCGAGCTCTTCTATCTAAAGCTCGCCTCTCTATCACGAACTTTAATTCTATCGTCAAGGTTTTAGCACGGCCCTCTTGTAGACACTTGTTAATTTAATGGTTAACTAGGCCAGAGGTGCTAGAGGTGCTAGAGGTGAAATATCCCAGTTTAACTTACGATTAATAACTTATATCCGACATATTACAGTAACTATATATTATATTATTCCAGGCCCCCCATTTGAACAGTAAAGAGTGCACGTATGCTCGCTCCAAACTAAACCGACTGGCTGCTATAGAAAATGCGGAGAAGTCCCTGCTCGACTACATCACTACTTTTAGGGGCAGCTTGCTTGATAGCAGGGATCTTAGTACCTTGATCGAGGTTAGTATTGTAGTTATCACTTATACAGTTATACTGTTATACTGTTATAGTGTTATCACTTATAGTTTAATCCGTTGTTAATTTAGTTATTCAGTACTGATTTGAAAAACTTACTATTTGAATTGACAATTAATAATAAATGTGGTTCCCACAAACTATAATCACGTTATAAAACTAGGGCACACAAGAGCTGATAAGCAATGAAGAGTTAGCGATAACAGACACTAACAGTCGGTTATCGGCAGTTCATGATAAGACGGAGGAGTACCGGCCTTTAGCTAACCACGGCGCTGTTATTGTCGAGGTTAGTACCGGCCTTTAGCTAACCACGGCGCTGTTATTGTCGAGGTTAGTACCGGCCTTTAGCTAATCACGGCGCTGTTATTGTCGAGGTTAGTACCGGCCTTTAGCTAACCACGGCGCTGTTATTGTCGAGGTTAGTACCAGCCTTTAGCTAATCACGGCGCTGTTATTGTCGAGGTTAGTACCGGCCTTTAGCTAACCACGGCGCTGTTATTGTCGAGGTTAGTACCGGCCTTTAGCTAACCACGGCGCTGTTATTGTCGAGGTTAGTACCGGCCTTTAGCTAACCACGGCGCTGTTATTGTCGAGGTTAGTACCGGCCTTTAGCTAACCACGGCGCTGTTATTGTCGAGGTTAGTACCGGCCTTTAGCTAACCACGGCGCTGTTATTGTCGAGGTTAGTACCGGCCTTTAGCTAACCACGGCGCTGTTATTGTCGAGGTTAGTACCGGCCTTTAGCTAACCACGGCGCTGTTATTGTCGAGGTTAGTACCGGCCTTTAGCTAACCACGGCGCTGTTATTGTCGAGGTTAGTACCGGCCTTTAGCTAACCACGGCGCTGTTATTGTCGAGGTTAGTACCGGCCTTTAGCTAACCACGGCGCTGTTATTGTCGAGGTTAGTACCCGGACTTTAGCTAACCACGGCGCTGTTATTGTCGAGGTTAGTACCGGCCTTTAGCTAACCACGGCGCTGTTATTGTCGAGGTTAGTACCGGCCTTTAGCTAACCACGGCGCTGTTATTGTCGAGGTTAGTACCGGCCTTTAGCTAACCACGGCGCTGTTATTGTCGAGGTTAGTACCGGCCTTTAGCTAACCACGGCGCTGTTATTGTCGAGGTTAGTACCGGCCTTTAGCTAACCACGGCGCTGTTATTGTCGAGGTTAGTACCGGCCTTTAGCTAACCACGGCGCTGTTATTGTCGAGGTTAGTACCGGCCTTTAGCTAACCACGGCGCTGTTATTGTCGAGGTTAGTACCGGCCTTTAGCTAACCACGGCGCTGTTATTGTCGAGGTTAGTACCGGCCTTTAGCTAACCACGGCGCTGTTATTGTCGAGGTTAGTACCGGCCTTTAGCTAACCACGGCGCTGTTATTGTCGAGGTTAGTACCGGCCTTTAGCTAACCACGGCGCTGTTATTGTCGAGGTTAGTACCGGACTTTAGCTAACCACGGCGCTGTTATTGTCGAGGTTAGTACCGGCCTTTAGCTAACCACGGCGCTGTTATTGTCGAGGTTAGTACCGGCCTTTAGCTAACCACGGCGCTGTTATTGTCGAGGTTAGTACCGGCCTTTAGCTAACCACGGCGCTGTTATTGTCGAGGTTAGTACCGGCCTTTAGCTAACCACGGCGCTGTTATTGTCGAGGTTAGTACCGGACGTTAGCTAACCACGGCGCTGTTATTGTCGAGGTTAGTACCGGCCTTTAGCTAACCACGGCGCTGTTATTGTCGAGGTTAGTACCGGCCTTTAGCTAACCACGGCGCTGTTATTGTCGAGGTTAGTACCGGCCTTTAGCTAACCACGGCGCTGTTATTGTCGAGGTTAGTACCGGACTTTAGCTAACCACGGCGCTGTTATTGTCGAGGTTAGTACCGGCCTTTAGCTAACCACGGCGCTGTTATTGTCGAGGTTAGTACCGGCCTTTAGCTAACCACGGCGCTGTTATTGTCGAGGTTAGTACCGGCCTTTAGCTAACCACGGCGCTGTTATTGTCGAGGTTAGTACCGGCCTTTAGCTAACCACGGCGCTGTTATTGTCGAGGTTAGTACCGGCCTTTAGCTAACCACGGCGCTGTTATTGTCGAGGTTAGTACCGGCCTTTAACTAACCACGGCGCTGTTATTGTCGAGGTTAGTACCGGCCTTTAGCTAACCACGGCGCTGTTATTGTCGAGGTTAGTACCGGCCTTTGGCTAACCACGGCGCTGTTATTGTCGAGGTTAGTACCGGCCTTTAGCTAACCACGGCGCTGTTATTGTCGAGGTTAGTACCGGCCTTTAGCTAACCACGACGCTGTTATTGTCGAGGTTAGTACCGGCCTTTAGCTAACCACGGCGCTGTTATTGTCGAGGTTAGTACCGGCCTTTAGCTAACCACGGCGCTGTTATTGTCGAGGTTAGTACCGGCCTTTAGCTAACCACGGCGCTGTTATTGTCGAGGTTAGTACCGGCCTTTAGCTAACCACGGCGCTGTTATTGTCGAGGTTAGTACCGGCCTTTAGCTAACCACGGCGCTGTTATTGTCGAGGTTAGTACCGGCCTTTAGCTAACCACGGCGCTGTTATTGTCGAGGTTAGTACCGGCCTTTAGCTAACCACGGCGCTGTTATTGTCGAGGTTAGTACCGGCCTTTAGCTAACCACGGCGCTGTTATTGTCGAGGTTAGTACCGGCCTTTAGCTAACCACGGCGCTGTTATTGTCGAGGTTAGTACCGGCCTTTAGCTAACCACGGCGCTGTTATTGTCGAGGTTGCTAATTTAATACTTTACTGGGCTTAAAAAACAAGACCCTGAAAATGTTATCAGTAATTCATGCCTCGTCACCTAATAACAAAATGACAATTTATCTCAATTGTTATGTTCAATACAAAACATTATAGATGTACAATCAGCATTAAGCTACTATAGGTTCTATTGTTATCTTAAATGAAATATATAATTGCAGCTATTAAATGTTTTACTATTGATGATTATTATAATACTTTATTCTTCCCCCTGTAAAACACATTCTATTTTGTTAACCAGGTATTCCAAGAAATAAACTCCCTGTCGTACCACTACAACTTTAAACTGTCTGACTTGACGGAGATCCTGTCATCTGTACTCAGTAAACGCGGCCCAGAGTCGGTCAGTTCTGCTGCCAAGGTACAAAGCTGTTAAATCAATGCAATCTCCTCATATCACCTCATATCTCATCATATCACCTCATATCTCCTCATATCACCTCATATCCCCTCATATCACCTCATATCACCTCATATCACCTCATATCTCCTCATATCTCCTGATCCTTGAGTTAACATATTCCTATCATCCAACCTGATCCTTGAGTTAACATATTCCTATCATCCAACCTGATCCTTGAGTTAACATATTCCTATCATCCAACCTGATCCTTGAGTTAACATATTCCTATCATCCAACCTGATCCTTGAGTTAACATATTCCTATCATCCAACCTGATCCTTGAGTTAACATATTCCTATCATCCAACCTGATCCTTGAGTTAACATATTCCTATCATCCAACCTGATCCTTGAGTTAACATATTCCTATCATCCAACCTGATCCTTGAGTTAACATATTCCTATCATCCAACCTGATCCTTGAGTTAACATATTCCTATCATCCAACCTGATCCTTGAGTTAACATATTCCTATCATCCAACCTGATCCTTGAGTTAACATATTCCTATCATCCAACCTGATCCTTGAGTTAACATATTCCTATCATCCAACCTGATCCTTGAGTTAACATATTCCTATCATCCAACCTGATCCTTGAGTTAACATATTCCTATCATCCAACCTGATCCTTGAGTTAACATATTCCTATCATCCAACCTGATCCTTGAGTTAACATATTCCTATCATCCAACCTGATCCTTGAGTTAACATATTCCTATCATCCAACCTGATCCTTGAGTTAACATATTCCTATCATCCAACCTGATCCTTGAGTTAACATACTCCTACCATCCAACCTGATCCTTGAGTTAACATACTCCTACCATCCAACCTGATCCTTGAGTTAACATACTCCTACCATCCAACCTGATCCTTGAGTTAACATACTCCTATCATCCAACCTGATCCTTGAGTTAACATACTCCTATCATCCAACCTGATCCTTGAGTTAACATATTCCTATCATCCAACCTGATCCTTGAGTTAACATATTCCTATCATCCAACCTGATCCTTGAGTTAACATATTCCTATCATCCAACCTGATCCTTGAGTTAACATATTCCTATCATCCAACCTGATCCTTGAGTTAACATATTCCTACCATCCAACCTGATCCTTGAGTTAACATATTCCTATCATCCAACCTGATCCTTGAGTTAACATATTCCTATCATCCAACCTGATCCTTGAGTTAACATATTCCTATCATCCAACCTGATCCTTGAGTTAACATATTCCTATCATCCAACCTGATCCTTGAGTTAACATATTCCTATCATCCAACCTGATCCTTGAGTTGACATATTCCTATCATCCAACCTGATCCTTGAGTTGACATATTCCTATCATCCAACCTGATCCTTGAGTTAACATATTCCTATCATCCAACCTGATCCTTGAGTTAACATATTCCTATCATCCAACCTGATCCTTGAGTTAACATATTCCTATCATCCAACCTGATCCTTGAGTTAACATATTCCTATCATCCAACCTGATCCTTGAGTTAACATATTCCTATCATCCAACCTGATCCTTGAGTTAACATATTCCTATCATCCAACCTGATCCTTGAGTTAACATATTCCTATCATCCAACCTGATTCTTGAGTTAACATATTCCTATCATCCAACCTGATCCTTGAGTTAACATATTCCTATCATCCAACCTGATCCTTGAGTTAACATATTCCTATCATCCAACCTGATCCTTGAGTTAACATATTCCTATCATCCAACCTGATCCTTGAGTTAACATATTCCTATCATCCAACCTGATCCTTGAGTTAACATATTCCTATCATCCAACCTGATCCTTGAGTTAACATATTCCTATCATCCAACCTGATCCTTGAGTTAACATATTCCTATCATCCAACCTGATCCTTGAGTTAACATATTCCTATCATCCAACCTGATCCTTGAGTTAACATATTCCTATCATCCAACCTGATCCTTGAGTTAACATATTCCTATCATCCAACCTGATCCTTGAGTTAACATATTCCTATCATCCAACCTGATCCTTAAGTTAACATATTCCTATCATCCAACCTGATCCTTGAGTTAACATATTCCTATCATCCAACCTGATCCTTGAGTTAACATATTCCTATCATCCAACCTGATCCTTGAGTTAACATATTCCTATCATCCAACCTGATCCTTGAGTTAACATATTCCTATCATCCAACCTGATCTTTGAGTTAACATCTTCCTATCATCCAACCTTATCCTTGAGTTAACATATTCCTATCATCCAACCTGATCTTTGAGTTAACATCTTCCTATCATCCAACCTGATCTTTGAGTTAAAATATTCTTATCAGGTGGCAGACTATAAGAGGGAACTCCACAAGGAAGTCTACAAAAGTCTCCAAATATCCATGAGCCGGAGTGACGCTGGTTTCTTCCCTCTTCTACTTGTCATGAAGGAGTTTCTGAGGTATATTAACAATATATTAATAGTGTAGTACCTATAGTATAGGTAAATATATACAGTATTAATAAAGTAAAGTTTCTGTAATTATAGCCCTGTTTCGGGAGGATAACTCAGTTCATAAGTTTGAAATGTAATATTGATATCATCATGTAGGTACCATATATGATACCATTTCAGATCGAATAGAATGACTATAGAAGTACCATATATGATACCATTTCAGATCGAATAGAATGACTATAGAAGAGTTTGACCTGTTTTTAAACCACTTCCTTCATCAATTCCCTTATGTGCCTGATGAGGTTTGATATTTCTTAACGATTATAATAGCATGTTCCCCCACTACTGAACTACAATATCTCAATACACCCTGCTATCTCAATACTTAATACTACATTTTCAGATACCAAACTGGATCACCAAGAGTTGCTGGCAGAGTTTGGACCTGCTTGAAGAGTTAGCAGTGTTTAAAGGTGTGAAGCAGCACATGCAATACAATCAGGCTCTTTACCAGGAATACTTTACCCTCGCTCCGGTACTTCTAGAACCTTCACCCTGGGACGATGAGAAGGAGCTGACTCTGGCTCAGAGAGCACTGCTTTGGCTCTTCACCCGACCTAAGGACATGTCCAAAGTATTCAGTGACCTGGTTATGTACGAGCTGGGAAGTGAAATGATCACCACCTTCGTGCACCACTCCCTTACAGTATCAGACAACGCACCTTCTCTTATTATATCTGACTCTGAGGATCAACTGGATGCCGTGTACGATGTACAGAGACTGGCTACTACTCAGGGCAAGGTTATTAAAGTCCTGTGTATGCTGAATGATAGCATGCAAGGGGAGGCGGAGCACATGATACAGCAGGGTATAAAGTACGGGTACTGGATACTGCTGTCACAGTGCCAACACATCACCAAGTGGGAGGGGACACTCCTGGATATGATGTTGGAGGTCAGTGAGATAGTTGCCAATCCTAGAGAATCTCTTCCCAAGAAAGTACACCAAGGTTTCAAACTTATCCTAGTTTCCTCCCTGTCCTCTAAGATTTCCCTCCCTGATGAGCTGACGCAGAAGTTCTCTGTAAAGACCCACCACTGTCAAGGTTCGCTAGTCACCAGGATCGAACAAAGAGCCCGACGATTCCTAGAAATGGACATCCCACTTAGTAAACAGAATATCCCTGCTCACGTGTCAGGAGTAATGTCCCAGCTGCACTCTTACCTCATCTCTAACTTGGAAGTAGAGACCCACAACCTAGGCTGGGGAGACAGTGATCTCAACTCTTCTCTGCACCTGCTTTGTCACATGGCTCAAAACAAGAAGATAGATGTATTGGACTGTGCAAGATCGCTTGTAAGCCTAGTCACGTACGGGAGTAAGAACACGACTGATACTCAGGCTAACTTCCTGTTTTCTGCTATTGACAGGTTCCTTACATTTGATATGGAAGAAGCCCCTCCTCAGCCCGCCTTCCTACAGTTCCAGCTGCATTCTTCCAGTCTTACCTTCAAATCTCTGCCGGATATTCCAACTGATAAAACACACCTAATATCCTCCTTACGACGCTTCTCAACTACAGAGCAATCTATGGACATCAATTTCGTAGTCAACTTCGTCCTGTCATCTTTACCCAGCGCTCCAAGGGTAGTCCCATCCAGAGGCCACACTGCACTGTCCCTATTCTTTGCAGTCCAAGCGGAACATTACACCAAACTCCTAGCCAATGTCACTAAAGATCTGTGGGCTATAAAAGAGGTGATGTCAGGTGACAGAACGCCCTCCAATGCCACGTCTGTTCTTGTCAACGAACTCTCCAGCAACCAAGTACCCGAGTCTTGGGAACCTGGAAATACCCGAGGTCTAGGTCGCTGGCTATCAGATCTAGCAGATAAAGTTTGGAAGCTGAGCAAGCTGGTCGGCACGGAGACGCAGAGTGAGATGAGTGGTCGTCACTCCTCCGCCACTACCGCAGATTTGGAACAAGGAGCTTTCTATTCGCTCAGCTGCTTCACCAGCCCCAGATACTTTATCCTCTCCTTCCTGTACGACTGGGCTTCTGCTAGCGATGTGCCTCTCAGTGACGTTGCTTTCAACACTAAAGTTGTTTCTCTTACTTCTCCCGGGCTCCCTCCTGAGCACGGCATCTACCTGGACGGTCTGGAACTGAGGAGAGCGGGCTGGGATACTGTGAAGGGTCTCATGTACCCCACTTCTGCCTCCGCCCCGCCTTTCCCACTTCCGCCTCTTCTACTCATCCCTTATAATAAACAGGTATATATTTATCTTATATAGGCTTATTATCAAATACTTTGTGTCATTATACTTACTACTCAACTAGCAGGAACCCGTCTATATATAGTAAGATATTCATTTATTATGCTGATGTCATACTCATTATTTTAAACTAAAGATCTGGAAGAAACTAAATCTATTCATGTTTCAGGAACAAGGATCATCAACGACCAGTCTGCCACAAATGACGGTTTCAAGAATAGACTGTCCGGTCGTTACCCGAGGAGAAGATTTTATCTCTACATTCGTGCTGCCCTCCTCCCACGCCCTCAACCAATGGACCCATCTTAAACCTTCTCTTCTTGTTACCTGACTTTGTACTCATCAGCCGTTCAGACTTATCATTAGACTAAATTATAGCTTGGAGGATACAGTTATTTATTTATTGATTTTATGAAGTTTTACGAGAATATATGAATACTAAGATATTGGACTTAAATACAAAACGCTTAAATCAGAATACCGGTAATCGTTGTTGTTACGTTCGTTTGGTAATTGGTTAGTGTACATTGAAATGTTAATGTTATGTTTTGATATATTTAAAAGTGTAATACTATTGTAAAGTTTTTCTAAATTTTCCAGTTCTTAAACATTCGTTTTCTCTTCACAGTTTGTATCTATCTTTCCAAAAGTATGGACTTGGATTGGATATCCCAATTTCAGTTGATAGCTGCAGAGGCAACATATAATTAGTCCGGCAGGTGCGGAATCGCACTATTTACCGTTTCCCGTACATTTTCGCTAAGCAGCTTTTAAACCGGACCGTAACCAGATATTAAAGCCGGAACCGAATATTTCAGCCGAATATTCCCGATCCCGTCTCCCCCTCCTGATTAACCGAAAGAAGGGAAAGAATCTTGCCGCCAAATCATAGCGATATTTTCTAAATATAAACTATTTTTGAAGAAATATGACTGCTGAGTAGCAACTTGCAAAATCAAAAATGTATACCTGATCGGGCTGATACCAACTCGAGGATTGTACCCTTACAACTACAAGTCACAGCTTAAGGCTAATCACATCATCAATCATCATACTTGCTGTCATCAGACCTATTCTATCATATGCATACTGCTGTAGTATATATACATAATATTATTAGTTAACTTGTGTTAATACTTTTTTACTATACCATATACTACACGTAATCAAACAATAAACCCTGTTTGCAATGAGATAACATCACGTTATCAAATCACGTGTTTTGAAAACAAAGCTAGAGACTAAGGGATATGGAGCACACTGCATGCTTTTCATGTGTTTTATAGACTGACCATGAGTTCCGTTAACACAATTATTTTGACATACGTTGTATGCCACTTTTCGCGCAGACTACTAGTCTTAACTATAATTCTAAAGATTATCTTTTGTGGGGACCGAGGGCTCATCGTCCGAGTATAAAGCAGACACTACTGATCACTATGTTCGTAGAAATATTTCCTTTACTGATACTCTCATGAGTTGTATCGCGATGCACTACTGGGCCGCGCCGCGCATTTTCTCGCAACCACCGTATGCTTCACATAGCCATGTGTCTACGCGTACTGCGTGACGCGCTTGTTTCACGGCGGTCGCGCGCTACTGCAAGCGAGAGGGCTCTGGTTCGAGCAAACCGTATGCAGATCGGCGAGATGCGAAGGATCCCAAAAAACATATTAAAAGTATATTGTTATAATTGTATAATATAAGGGAAAATTAACAAAAGAGGCGCCAGTACCAAGAGATAAACCCTTTCCGCAATCCAGGTCTTGGGTAAACCAGGAGAAATAAAGGATAAAGAAAAAGAATAAGAAGAAAATGTCTAAGTGGATATGTATCATCAACAAATAACTTGGGAATCGGTTCCGGGGGTTTATTATAAACACCTGTACCGATATTAAATTGCCAAGCCCCCCTAGCGCTACCCTCGCCGAGCTGCGAAGAATTGACATCGTCAATTAACTGTTTTGATAGTTTTAATTCTAAAATGGTTTCCTAAAACTGGTTCCTTTTGCCAGTCGTTTTTAGTCTAGTACTGTTTCATTTTTGGTCTCAGAACATGCGCAACAAAAATTTTGTTATGCCAACGTGGTCGTGGAATTATTTGTATCACGTAGTAACCCCCTGTCATTGCACAAAGTGGTTTTGTGGCGAAAGCCATGAATGACGTGACGCCGCGCACTTGTGCGCTGCAGGGCTACAACGTGAAACAAGGCATTATCAATTATGGACTATCTTGACCATTGTTAATGGTTTGGCCCGGCGCAACGCGCGCTTGTATCACGTCGTGACCCCACGGTCGTTTCACTATGATGGAGTTTTTACGATACAGGGGAAGCCGCGCACTCGTGCGCGGCTGGTCATACAACGTATGACAAGCGCGCTACTTCGTAGCACTTGCCATAAAGAAGAAAGTAAAGCGGCGCGCGCTACTTCGAACATCGAAGAAATGTAGACGAGTAACATCCGTCACGTCAATGGACTATCGATTTATGAAATTTAAACATTTATAATACAAGTCAGTTAATGAAATATTTTAAAATACCTTTCACTTCTGCTTTAGAATTTTTATTTAATTTTAAATTGCGCTAATAAAAATTTTTGATTGAGACGAATTTTCGAGTGGTATATAATTGGGCTTTTATTAATTTGCTCGCCCAAAAATTTCACGTGACTTTGGTTTTTATGGTTTTGCAGCCGTACAAAACGGCTTTACATAAACCCTAATCCCAACCCTAACCATAACCCCGAAGCTATCCATAACCCTTACCACAACCCTAACCGTAACCCGAGCCCTAAACAATCGAATTCAACTCGGCGCGCGTCCTGGTAGGTTGTAAACCTACAATGTGCGTACTAACCAACTATGGTTTTTCTGCTGCCCTAGTTTTAGAAGTAGTAAGGTAGTAGCCTAGTCTACGTTTTAGAAATGTTAAATATATAAATGAAATATGTCAACAGTCAAATGATATTAATTTTAACGTGTAAATGATGGTCTCATCTAACGACCAAGCCACCAGTCATCTTGATACACAGGAGGTAGCTTGAGGGAGGGAGCTGATACAATTAGAGTCCTTGCTCGACAGTGCAGTTAGTTTTTCTACTGCTTCAAGAAGCTCTACAATAAGGACATTGTAAAGTGTAATAGGGCTGATGTTATATAAGTATATAGCACCACACATAATACTGTTCTGAAGATGCAGTAGTGCACTTCATGGCCAGGCCTTGTTGTCATATTATTAGCGTGAAACTGTCAACTGTGCGTTGTAGTAATTTTAGTACAAAGTTGTATAAGTATGATAGTAGTAGTAGTTGTATCAGTGATATAGTCTATGTAATAATATACTAATAGTTTATTTAATTTGATTTACTGATTTAATCATTTGTTTTGCTTCGTTCTATTTAAGTCCAAAACTTTAAGTTAAATTGATAGTCATTGAAACTTTTTAGATTCAATATTGGGCTTTCACTCTTTCAGTTTGTCTTGTACCAAATATCATTAAGTTAACATTACAGTTACCGTAAAGCTATGATCGTAAGCCTGAAGGAGGTTCTAATCCCCTTGTCCACTGTATTCCTACTACTGCATAGCGCTGAAGGAGGTTCACCACGGCGTTATAACGCACTTTGGTTCTGGCACAGTCCCCACGAGTTTGTTTACTACCAACACCCTGACATGTCCCCCTTTGTTACACAGTTTACAGTGTGTGCCTGGATAAAGAAGTTACAGAACCATCTCGATCTCCCCACTTGGTTCTCTTACTACCTGAGGAGCTCCCCTTACGAGATTACAATGACAGACGAAGGGAAGCAAACCAGAACTTTCAACTACAACGCAGATGTACGGAGCGAGTATAATGTACCCCCGGGAACATGGTTCCACACATGTGTGGCCTGGAGTAATGCTACAGAGACTAGAGAGGTGTATGTGAATGGTGAACTGGTGAATACTCTGCCCACTTCTCCTGGGAGGGTGTTGAAGCAGGGAGGAGCTATAGTTCTGGGTTCAATGCAGAAATTCTGGACATCACCTCAACTGAGAACGCAAACGATAATGTTTGGAGGGGAGATCTACAAACTCAATATGTTCAGCACTAAGTTGAAACATAGCGTTATCCAGGAAATGGCAAGGGACAGGTGCTCAGATTTAGAGGAAACATACGCTGAATTTATAGGAATCAGGTGGGAGGACTTTCTGTTGCAATCAAGGTTTGGGAATATTGTAGAGTACAAGACAGACTGCGGTTATATAAAGGAACTGAATAGCACTGGAGAGGAATTGGCTGGGACTAAGCTGGAAAAAGGAAACTGCCGATATAACTTGGAAATTAAAGAACAGAAACTCAATAGTACCGTGCTACAACTGGAGCGATCGAAATCAGATCTGAATATCACGGCGAACAAACTGAATAGCACTGAAAAAGAGCTGCTCGAAAAAGAGACAAGACTCAAAGAAACTGCAGTCGAACTGAAGAGTACCGATGTTGAACTACAGAATGTCTCCGCAACTCTGAATCACACCCAATTTCTTTTAAAGGAGGCTACTTCTTCTGCCTCTTCCTCTTTCAGTTCTACTCTCACTTTGACGGCTGCTGTTACGATATTAACAGTAGGTGGTTACTGTTTCCATAGCAACACTGCTATGTAATAGGCTAACAAGCCCTCTCAGTAAGGTTAGTTTTATGATCTAGCTTAGTAAAACTAATACTATAACTAGTAAATACGTGTATTGTATTGTGAAATACTTTTTGTCACGTGTTCAATTTTACCAAATTGTTGATATTTCAGAGAATTTAATGCTGTGAACGAAATATTTCCTGGAGACTTCATCAAAGATACTCTCACCACCCAGTCACAACCAATTAGAGTAATTATCGACCAATTAGAGTAAATGACCCTGGTCATTAGGAAAGTTCGCACGAGATGGACCACATTTTCCCATTTTAACTTTAGAAGATTGTCACAGGAAGAAATTTTAAGATAGGCATATGATATTTCACATATCTATAGTTCAACTAATTTTGTTTCGATTAATAAAAGTTTTGAAGCATTTAGTCGAGGGCAAATTGAGGCTAACGAGTCATTTACATTTTGTCTCCTAATAACAGCTTCCAAGCATGCTATAAAAGTTTAAACATGTTTAATCGATTCATCAGATCTCACTCTTTCAGAATCCAGAGAGAAGAGGGAAATTTTTTCACTAATTGAGGGAAAAATGAGGCTAACAAGTTATTACTAATTTTTGAATTATTTTTGAATAATAGTGTCTATCAAAGTATCCTCTGACCTAAAATAGATGAGATTGATGCTCTAGATCGAAGGCTTGCCCAACCGACCCCTTGTTTTCTTCTAATGGAGGGTAAAGTGAGGCTAACAGATTATTTATAATTTTGAAATTATATTTGAATAATAACGTCTATCAAAGTATCCTCTGACCTCAAATAGATGAGATTGATGCTCTAGGTTGAAGGCTGGCCCAGCCGACCCCTTTTTTCTTTCTAATGGAGGGGGAAATGAGGCTAACAAGGCATTACTTATGTTTGAACAATAACGTCTATCAAGGTATCCTCTGACCTAAAATACATGAGATGGATGCTCTAGGTTGAGGGCTGGCCCAGCCGACCCCTTTTTTCCTTCTAATGGAGGGGGAAATGAGGCTAACAGATCTTTTCTGATTTTTGAATTATGTTTGAACAATAACGTCCTTTAAACTATCCTTTGCCCTGGTATACATTATATGGATACTTTAGGTCGATGGTAGACTCCACCTACCCTTTCTGTCTTTTGATGGAGGGTAAAATAAGGCTAACTATCAAGGTTTTGTTCATTTCTTGTTCTACTGCTTCTTCGGACTAGCCCTTCAATTTCAAATTGTTTCTGCCTAACCTGTATTCATTTGAGTGGTAAGATTGAGGCTAACTCCTGCTTATTATAATATTTTATAAGCGATAGGTTGAATGTTGAATGCTTTTGTTTTCTTTATATAATTCCACTTTTGACCTATTTGACAGCCACTTATTATTGTCAAAATCGCACATTACAAACCTAATTGCACTGCTTTTTTAGAGCCCTCTCGCCAGCTGTACTACCATCAAGAGGTATTAAATTAAATATTAGTATAAACCAACAACTTGACGTAGATTTATTGTTACGTAAAGCGTTAATTAAATTAATTAAACATTTAGGGAAAATTTATTCTTATAATTTGTCTAAAAATATTTCCTTGCGTTTGAGATGTGTTAAGCGAAATAAAAACTTCCCTTGTAAAACTTTCTCAAACAGTTCCATTTTTTATTATACTTTATAGTTTAGAGCCTAATTTGGCATGATATCAGATCATGTGATATTACATGGCCCCATGGAGAGCATTGCCGGAGCAATTGGCCAGAGAGCTCCATAGAAGTAAGGGGCCTACTCTAGCCAACAGCTCTAATATATTTCCCTCCTCAACTTCATTTTCTTCATCTAACTGCTTCTGCTGCTCAGCAACTACTTGACAGCTGGCACAGTGACGTTTGTCTGCGTAGTGTATCTATTAGCCTCAATTTTGCCTCAAGGAGGGAAGGTAGCCTCAATCCAACCTCACATAAGTTTCGATAAAGTCTCAATAACCTTCGGGCTACAATTACAAGTTTTATAGTGGGTCTATAACATGTTTCCGTACATTAAAGTTAAAATACGGTCGAATTATTTATTAGCCTCATTTTGGCCTCCTAAAAGTAGACTCGGCGATTTCTGAACTGTTGAGCTTGAAAAAATTTTTATTGTTGACACATTAGATAGTCACAATACCGAACATGCTCGAAAATATACACAACAGTATACTTGTTAGCCTCATTTCACCCTCTCAAAAGGTAGTTAGCCTCATTTTCGCCTCAAATATTTGAAGCTATAATCCCAAGGAATTTAATGTGCAACATAGATATCAAGTAACTTGTGAGTTGTTAACCTGTTACCGTACATTAAAGTTAAAATGCGGTCAAATTCTTTATTAGCCTCATTTTAGCCTCCTACAAGTAGACTCGGCGATTTCTGAAATGTTGAGCTTGAAGAGGATGAATAAATTTGTATTGTTGACATATTAGATAGTCACAATACCGAACCTGCTCAAAAATATACACAAAAGTATACTTGTTAGCCTCATTTCACCCTCTCAAAAGGTGGTTAGCCTCATTTTTACCTCGAATAATTAAAGCTTAGATCTCGATCAAGTATAATCACTATGGATTATACTTGCAACTTGGATATCATGGACGTAACACGAGAATGTTCTTTTTTGAAAATAATGAGTAAATTCGTTAGCCTCAATTGTCCCTCGCAGTTCAATCACTCCTACTGAGTCTTGTGAGTGAGCTTGGAGGTCGCCGGACATCTCATTTTTAAGCCGTATTAATTTTCTATACGCATACAAAAAATTTAATGCGTAACTAAAACAGAAATGAAATTACGGATGTTTTAAATTTTTTTTCAAAAACGAACTTTTAGGGGTGTTTCTAATGACCAGGGTCAAATACCAACTAATTAGAGTAATTACCAACCAATTAGACTATTATAGTAATTCCGAGAGTACCAATTATAGGACACGAAACAAAATGAACAGTGATGTCTGCAGTTGCTGCTGCTGCCTGCTCAATATGTTGAAAACATGTTGTTTTAAATGGTAATCAATGCATGCGATCGGTTATTGGGAAATGATGTTACTTCTGTCGCATTATGTGACATTTTGGGTGAATTTTCGAAATCGAAAAAACAATAAAAATGCGAATTTTTGATGTAAAACGAAATTTTGCTAAATATCATACTGTAATCAATAGTGTTAGTGTTACGAAAGCACCTTCAAATGTAACTGGAGGATACAAACTTTATGTATGTACAATTAATTCTTAATTAATTAATTCTTCGTATCAATATTCTCAGTAAATTAACGACAGATCTACAAATTAGTGGAAATTGGTAACAACGCTGGCAACACAAATCATCCGTAATTATATTTACAAATAAACGAACAACTAAAAGTAAGTAAATACTAAATTATATTTTAAACAATGGTAAACGAAAGATATGATCGCAATTTTAATTAATCACGATCAAATTGAAGGGATATGTTTTAAAATTACGCTATGAGAATAACCGTTCACAATACAATTAAACCCAACTAGTAACCTATAGTTAACAACTATACATACAAATTTAGGAAACTTATCAAAAAAAACATTATTATCACCAAAGAACCCAATATTGATAACCCATCTCACATTTAGTAATTATTGATTATTAATTACTGCTAATTATTAATTACCGCTAATTATTAATTACTGCAACTCTTTACGCTTGTTTAATAAATTGAAGACGCTTCTCCAAATACAGAGGCCCCCCCCCCGGAAAAATTTTAGAAATAGGGTGTTTTAGACGACATTTGGCATTAAAGAAATTTGTAGGACAGCAATAAACTAAATTAAGCACTAAGCAAATGCCAAAATGTCTTACCAGTCCCTACCGAACTCAGTACTTGCCACATTGAATGGAATAAGTACATGTATAGTGGGATTTGGGAATAATTTAAGAAATGCTGAAGTCAATTGCCTGCCGTTTAAACAGTACAGACTGCAGTCATAAACACAGCACAGTTACCAGGCGACCATGGGGACTAGGGGGCTTATTTTTTTTCTGGGGTTCATTTTTTCCCCAGGCCCCCTACCCCCCCTCCCCTATACTACAGTTCAACCCCAATCACGCTCAATTAATTAATTTAGCGTGGAATACAAAGAGAGACATCCTCTACTCTTACTACAGTACTACTACTAATATTATAATATGCTAGAATTTTCTATATATCGTGGCATAAGTTTTAGTTTGGTCACTGTGAAAGTGGGGGTGTAACCATGGTAACAGAGTAGTGTTGTACTCTTGTGGTAATGTAACCATGGTAACAGAGTAGTGTTGTACTCTAGAGGGGGTGTAACCATGGTAACAGTGTAGTGTTGTACTCTAGAGGGGGTGTAACCATGGTAACAGTGTAGTGTTGTACTCTAGAGGGGGTGTAACCATGGTAACAGGGGTGTTGTACTCTATTAACCTTTCAGCCACTTCTGGTCGTCAGATCGGGGTTTGTGCGCTGAAATTGTGGTCAGTTAACACAGTTAACACATTACAGTAAGCTAATTTAACACAGTACGTCAGTACAGTTAGCTAATGTCCACAAGTTGAGACCTCACGTTAATGCAGATTAAATAACAGGATGTAAAATAAAGACTTTCTAATGTGTATTGGTAAGTTGTGGCTGACAGTTACCATGGTAACTATGGTGGTTCTCATTAGAGCTGCGAAAATGTCACAAGTGCATACTGCATATGAAATTACCTGACTTGGTTATGAATTTATTACCTGTTAAAGCCTCGATTATAAATTCGAGAGTCTGGAAAAACTGAATCTTCTCCAACGGATAGTTCAACCACCTGCAAGACAATAAGTATTTATTAGTTAGATACACTCAGTTTGTTTTATAAAGACGCAATTTATAAAGAAAAAGCCTTCAAATAGAAAAAAAAAATAAAGACGGCAAGGCTTCAAAATTGAAAAATTAAAGACGCCACAACAACTACAAGTCTCGAAATAGATCGGATGTAATAAAGCACATTTAACAAACTGACATTACTTCTACCAGCAAATTCAAAGACGGGTTGCGATGAATTAAAGACGGTGAAGCCTTGAAAATGGTTAAAATTAAAGACGCTGAAGCCTTCGCCAAAGTTAGCCGACTTTGTATAACGAACTATTGTTAGATTTACTACTGTATATTCAACTTCTCTCACGTGGCCATCCTCATTTCACATAAAGATATAATGATTATACTGATAGTGGCTTTTATAAAGATATAATGATTATAGTTATACTGATAGTGGCTTTTATAAAGATATAATGATTATACTGATAGTGGCTTTTATAAAGATATAATGATTATACTGATAGTGGCTTTTATAAAGATATAATCATTATACTGATAGTGGCTTTTATAAAGATATAATCATTATACTGATAGTGGCTTTTGCCACAATATTTCCGCGCATTTGAGCGCGGCAGGGCCCATAGCATAGCGCTAATATAAGGGCAATATTATATTCGACGCAGAATATTTATTCGATCAATCAATTGATTGAACGAAGTATACTCATTTCATGACCGTAGAAATATAGATTTGAAAAAATAACAGAAATGGTATCAATTAAGTTGTGATTGTAGTTTGTACTTACCCGCCAGTGATACAGAAGTAAGTCTCGTGAGGGGAGATGTGATGGATGTGGTGGTGAGGACGCGGCATTATGATGTGGGCATCCTGCAGCACTTTCACCCACTTCGGCACTCCACTTATCATGTGACTCCACTGAAATACACAGTTTATAGCACTCTGAAGATACAGTCAGAATACAGGTTTCATTTTGCGGTGCGTCAGAGAAGTTTCACTTATTTTACCAAATTTCTGGTTGGGTTAACTGATAAGTGATAGGAAAATTAGTCTCTGACGTATATTCCATATCTCTAGAATCACAAGACAACATATCGACACAACCCCGTGTCACTACGGCTCTAGATATCAAATCACGGGGAATTACCGGCACTCGAACTTCCACCAATTCAGGCATCAGACGATATTGCGCGGCTTATGCACGTTATAATTAGCGATGTCGATGAAAATTTCCACAACATTCATGTCAACGCGCGCAACGTCATAAGCATGAAATATCTTCGACATCGATCCAAGGCCATACTAATTACTCAGTCAACCGATGTCAATTGGGCAATTATCTACCAACCCCTTATTATAGACAGTAACTTGTAGTACACCAAAAGACAATTGTAACTAGGTATAACAACTTAAACCTTACCAACATTGAACATTGTTCTGTCTAAAAATAGAATGATGCATGAAAATATATCCCCTCTCTGATTTAACTGTGTTATCTGGGGGACATATATATATATTATAGTATATATACTATATATATATATATATTATAGTATATATACTATATATATATATATATTCGATATTACAAAAGTTACACACTCCATCAATCTGGCCGATTAAAACGCGTAACCAGGACGCATGGCTGGTTGTTCCTAAAATACCGATGAAGTGCTACTACAGTACTACAGTGGGGTGCTTATCGCTTCTGAGGAATTGAAAAGGAAACACGTGCAATAATAACGGGGGCACCCCCTGATAATAACGGGGGCACCCCCTGATAATAACGGGGGCATCCCCCCTGATAATAACGGGGGCATCCCCCTGATAATAACGGGGGCACCCCCTGATAATAACGGGGGCATCCCCCTGATAATAACGGGGGCACCCCCTGATAAAAACGGGGGCATCCCCCTGATAATAACGGGGGCACCCCCCTGATAATAACGGGGGCATCCCCCTGATAATAACGGGGGCATCCCCCTGATAATAACGGGGGCATCCCCCCTGATAATAACGGGGGCATCCCCCCGATAATAACGGGGGCATCCCCCTGATAATAACGGGGGCATCCCCCTGATAATAACGGGGGCATCCCCCTGATAATAACGGGGGCATCCCCCTGATAATAACGGGGGCATCCCCCTGATAATAACGGGGGCATCCCCCTGATAATAACGGGGGCATCCCCCTGATAATAACGGGGGCATCCCCCTGATAATAACGGGGGCATCCCCCCGATAATAACGGGGGCATCCCCCTGATAATAACGGGGGCATCCCCCTGATAATAACGGGGGCATCCCCCTGATAATAACGGGGGCATCCCCCTGATAATAACGGGGGCATCCCCCTGATAATAACGGGGGCATCCCCCTGATAATAACGGGGGCATCCCCCTGATAATAACTAGGGCATCCCCCTGATAATAACGGGGGCATCGCCCCCTGATAATAACGGGGGCATCCCCCTGATAATAACGGGGGCATCCCCCTGATAATAACGGAAGCATCCCCCTGATAATAATGGAAGCATCCCCCTGATAATAACGGAAGCATCCCCCTGATAATAACGGGGGCACCCCCCCCTGATAATAACCCGCTGTCTGCGCTACCAATAATCTCGATATTACAACATAGCGTTCCTGGCTTACTTAATTTAATCGATAAAATTAGTTGAGCAGATAATTACTTCTCATTAGTACTGTGCTTACTGCTTGATAGAATTTAATGAGTAAATGGACAATAATCTACGATACATTCAAAACCAGGAAGCTATGTAAGCAGAGTTAGCTGAAGCCTCAACTCAGTGTATAATGAATCAGTTCAGCTCCGTGTACGGTACTGTCAAGTAATGTAGGCTATCTCTATCAAGATCTTCTTTTCAAGATTAGACACACAGGTGAACAGAAACACTGTAGTTGCTCAAATTAAATGAATAACAGTTTAGGTATACAAAAAAAGAAGGAAATGAGTTCAGGAACAGGTGCAATGGGAATTCAGCTGTACTTATTACACGAGTCATCCAGACTCAACTCCCACCCTGACTCACCTCCCACCCTGACTCACCTCCCACCCTGACTCACCCCCACCCTGACTCACCTCCCACCCTGACTCACCTCCCACCCTGACTCACCTCCCACCCTGACTCACCTACACCCTGACTCACCTCCCACCCTGAATCACTCCCACCCTGACTCACCTCCCACCCTGACTCACCTCCCACCCTAACTCACCTCCCACCCTGACTCACTCCCACCCTGACTCACCTCCCACCCTGACTCACCTCCACCCTGACTCACCTCCCACCCTGACTCACTCCCGCCCTGACTCACCTCCCACACTGACTCACCTCCCACCCTGACTCACTCCCACCCTGACTCACCTCCCACCCTGACTCACCTCCCACCCTGTCTCACCTCCCACCCTGTCTCACCTCCCACCCTGACTCACCTCCCACCCTGACTCACCCCCACCCTGACTCACTCCCACCCTGACTCACCTCCCACCCTGACTCACCTCCCACCCTGAATCACCTCCCACCCTGACTCACTCCCACCCTGACTCACCTCCCACCCTGACTCACCTCCCACCCTGTCTCACCTCCCACCCTGTCTCACCTCCCACCCTGACTCACCTCCCACCCTGACTCACCCCCACCCTGACTCACTCCCACCCTGACTCACCTCCCACCCTGACTCACCTCCCACCCTGACTCACCCCCACCCTGACTCACCTCCCACCCTGACTCACCTCCCACCCTGACTCACCCCCACCCTGACTCACCTCCCACCCTGACTCACCCCCACCCTGACTCACCTCCCACCCTGACTCACCTCCCACCCTGACTCACCTCCCACCCTGACTCACCTCCCACCCTGACTCACCTCCCACCCTGACTCACCTCCCATCCTGACTCACCCCCACCCTGACTCACCTCCCACCCTGACTCACCTCCCACCCTGACTCACCTCCCACCCTGACTCACCTCCCACCCTGACTCACCTCCCACCCTGACTCACCTCCCACCCTGACTCACCTCCACCCTGACTCACTCCCACCCTGACTCACCTCCCACCCTGACTCACCCCCACCCTGACTCACCTCCCACCCTGACTCACCTCCCATCCTGACTCACCCCCACCCTGACTCACCTCCCACCCTGACTCACCTCCCACCCTGACTCACCTCCCACCCTGACTCACCTCCCACCCTGACTCACCTCCACCCTGACTCACTCCCACCCTGACTCACCTCCCACCCTGACTCACCTCCAACCCTGACTCACCTACACCCTGACTCACCTCCCACCCTGACTCACCTCCCACCCTGACTCACCTCCCACCCTGACTCACCTCCCACCCTGACTCACCTCCCACCCTGACTCACCTCCCACCCTGACTCACCTCCCACCCTGACTCACCTCCCACCCTGACTCACCTCCAACCCTGACTCACCTACACCCTGACTCACCTCCCACCCTGACTCACCTCCCACCCTGACTCACCTCCCACCCTGACTCACCTCCCATCCTGACTCACCTCCCACCCTGACTCACCTCCCACCCTGACTCACCTCCCACCCTGACTCACCTCCCACCCTGACTCACCTCCCATCCTGCCTCACCCCCACCCTGACTCACCTCCCACCCTGACTCACCTCCCACCCTGACTCACTCCCACCCTGACTCACCCCCACCCTGACTCACCTCCCACCCTGACTCACCTCCCACCCTGACTCACCTCCCACCCTGACTCACCTCCCACCCTGACTCACCCCCACCCTGACTCACCTCCCACCCTGACTCACCTCCCGTAACCACATCTAAAGCTAACAATATGATATTTTTCACACTAGTGTTGAAACACAGTACCGGTATAGTGTTATGTGCAAGCCAACTAGCCCACTGTTTAACACTAAGATTAGTTGTGAAACAGATAGTTTCTCTCTGCTACTCTAGCAATAGTGTCACATTCAGTAAAATATTTGATATTTTGCGCATATATATATATTATGTATAAATACAAGGAATAAAATAGGAAATAAGATAGGTGATATGCAAGTAATGTTGAGAGAGGAGCGTTATTACAGTATTATTGTTAGTAAAAGTGTGTAGTTTTAATAACGCCGTCCCAGAGGAGCAGGATGAGGAGTATTTGTAGGAAATTAAGTGATAAAAATTAAATATGTATTTATAATAATAAGCGGCACTGAAACTTTCCTAAGTTATGAAATTTTATATAAATATTAGATATTATATGTAAAAAGTACAAATTTCATACATGTTTCTCATTTGATCCTGACTTATAATTCAGAAGTTAAACATGAGGGGGGGCTGATAATGTCATTAGTTTTACTGCTTAATATATTGTGATTTCTCTCATGCTTTAGTTCTTCCAGCAGTGAAGCACATTTTAAAAACTGATTACTTGACATACTAACACAACATGTAACTCTTATAATATCATATAGAAGAACTACATCCAAATTGTGGTGTAGTGATAACACCTCCAAGCTCCGAATTGGAAAAAACACTATATAACACTATATTATATACTAACACACAACATTAAGATACAATAGCACGTGTTGTTGTCACGTGTTGTTGTCACGTGTTGTTGTCAAGTGTTGTTGTCACGTGTTGTTGTCACGTGTTGTTGTCACGTGTTGTTGTCACGTGTTGTTGTCACGTGTTGTTGTCACGTGTTGTTGTCACGTGTTGTTGTCACGTGTTGTTGTCACGTGTTGTTGTCACGTGTTGTTGTCACGTGTTGTTGTCACGTGTTGTTGTCACGTGTTGTTGTCACGTGTTGTTGTCACGTGTTGTTGTCACGTGTTGTTGTCACGTGTTGTTGTCACGTGTTGTTGTCACGTGTTGTTGTCACGTGTTGTTGTCACGTGTTGTTGTCCCACTAGTAAGTACTGTAACACCCACATGATGTTATGTAGCCTGAGTTTGGACAGGCTATTACCCTGTATTTTTTATCAAGACACTTATTTTACTTCGGTGTATTCCAACAGCCACATTGTTACACAAGTGCAACCAGCCAATTACAGGAAGCCGAAGGATTTATTTATTTATTTATTTTTTTGTATTATATTACCGTAGTTCAATTTTGACCAGAATCTATTGAGGAAGGAAGATTTTTTATCCTTGAAACCAGTATTTATTAAATATTTGAGTCCCCATTACGGGTAACATAACAGTTATTCAGTGAAATTGATGAACAGCAAAAACGCTAATATTTTTATAAATATGGGTAATAGCTCATTATCATTCCTTGGGAAATGCTAATTATTTCTTCTATAGTTCAAACAATAAGTTTCAATCTTATAGGTATAACAGGGAGCTACAGTAAGGTTTATTAAGGCTGAAACCTTGTGAGCCCACCTGTTTAGTTGTACGTGTAAATGTTAAAGTTGGAGAAGGGGCATTCCTCCTTAATAGTTGGAGAAGGGGCATTCCTCGGAAGGGGCATTCCTCGGAAGGGGCATTCCTCGGAAGGGGCATTCCTCGGAAGGGGCATTCCTCGGAAGGGGCATTCCTCGGAAGGGGCATTCCTCGGAAGGGGCATTCCTCGGAAGCGCCTTCACTAAATGGAGCACAAAGAACAACCCCCACGTGACCAGCACGTGGGCGTAATTAGGATCACGTGAGTGTAATTATAGAGGTCACTTCCATTGGAGCTTCACCTTGTCTGGGAATAGTACGAGAGAATAAGAGAACCGAGTAAGGAATAGTGTGCAGTACACACTTTATAAGAAATTGTCAAAAAGGAATTATCGATAAATATCATGCGACATTCAAATTCGTTTATATAAATAATTAGAAATATTATTATCTTTAAAAATCACTCTGATGTTGCTAACTCAGTACTTTTGGTTAACTCAACTATTTCAATGACTTGTCGCCATTAAAAATAAATCAATAAATCATAATCAAATATGGTGGGGGCATCATCGCCATTTTTGCCATCAAATTTCGGAAAAATTGGCTGAAAATCTCAATATTTCGCCATTTTCGCCATGGGGAAAACCCGAAAATATTTGAAATAAATGTGGAGTGGCGATCACGTCCCCCCCCCCCCGCCAAAGATGCAAAATGAGCAAAATTCCAGAAATTTATAAACAAATACTACGTTTTACATCTTTAGATCTTTAACAGGTTTCTGGAGCAAATATTCAACCGACCCGGGACGGCTCTCAGAAAATTAAATATTTACCGAGAAAATATAATACACGTCACAATCGCAACAATAAATTAACTTGCGAAATTAAAAACGTTCCGCAAATAATCTCAGGGAGGGTCACTTTCATCTCCTCGTCCAAAGAAAGGAGTCCATAATATTTACAATGGTGTCTACCTTCTGAGTAGGCAGCTTATCTCCCGAGTAGGCAGCTTATCTCCTCCTGAGTAGGCAGCTTATCTCCTCCTGAGTAGGCAGCTTATCTCCTCCCCTTATTCGCAGTGCTCCCCCCGCTCCGCTTCTTTTCGATCTGTATAACGCATTCTAGCAGACTGTTAATGGAGGCGTTGGGGCCCAACTTCCTGATAGCTTCCTGAGCCAAGTCTCTATGGTTACTGTATCCCAACCTCTGTACATATTGTTCAAACCTATCCGACTTGTGGCGCCTGAAAACGAGCAGATTAGTTACAATTCTTTAATCCCTTAATTAACAGTTCTTTAATTCCTTAATTGACGGTTCTTTAATTCCTTGATTAACAGTTCTTTAATTTATTAATTAAATTAAAGAACTGTTAATTAGCAAAGTTTTCTAGTTCCTAGCTTGGAATTATGCTAGATTTCTCCAAGGAAATGAGAATATTGCATGCCAGGGCCGGTACAGCAAGAGCAAGACTAGACTGTAATGCAAATATACCGATTTTATGCACTATCTATTTATACACTATCTATTTATGCACTATCTATTTCCTGGCTATGAAACTGGAAAATAAAATAAAACCCTGCACTTACTCAGATTGGCACTTTTTGTCGTGTTCCTTTTTCTCGGCGTCAGTCCTAAACTGCTTCCGACAGAATCTGCACTCCACCATTGTGTTACTCGTCACGTCAGCTAAGTTTGCACAGCAAATACCAGGAAATATGAGTCGGGCGAATTCCGAGAAAAATGATTCAACTCTCAATTAGAAGTGGTAACAAAGTGAACTATTACCTTCAAACCTCATGATGGTTGGTTCCAAGTCTCGTGATGCGAAACCATCCTGAGGGGTGCCCTCAGGAGCTTTTGGCATGATGAACTAAAAAGCTGGGAAGTATCTGAACTTCATTTGTTACCGTTTGTAATTACAGAGGGCCCTTTATTATCCTCTATTATCCCTCTGAACGTGGCTACCAGGTATTAACTAACTGTACCTGATTTAGTCTATCCGGGCTAGCCCACTTAGTAGCAACACATGTCTCCTACTCGCCCTGAAGTCCTTCTCAGGGCTGAGGGCAGGGTGCACAAACCAAAAGTCATCTGCAGCTAATAGGAACATATTATCATAGTAATAGTAATAGTATAGCTAATCTGGTGCGAGTTTAACATTTTCCCCTCCTTCACGTGGTTTCTACGGAATAAGTTCCGGAATAATACCGGCTTTTCAATTTAGCAATATCCGGATCAGTATTAGTATATATCCGGATCAGTATTAGTATATATCCGGATATTTTACAACATTTTTCCTACAGTTTATCCTGAAACTGTTGTTTTGTTTTCTGATGGAAGATCGCTAGTTTGAGCACGTGATAATACTGTACGGTACGTGACTTTGTTAGTTTGTTACCGAAAGGGTATTGTTAGTTCTTCAGAGAGAACAGTTTAATTCTGTACGTGATCAGGATACGTGACCTGATCAAGTTCAGTGTGCGTGACCTGATATAGGTGCGTGACCTGATGGAGGTGCGTGACCTGATCATTTGATCAAGGAGCCTTTTGCTAATTGAGCAAAGTGTCTAATGATTGTCAGACTTGTTAAGAATGTTCAGTTGCGATCACCACTCTATTTATCATCGTTAGTTGGCCTCTGATTAAGTACTTGAAACACTATCAGCGTAGAACTCAGAGGTATAAAGCTATTCAGCACATCATCCAGCACATACGGAGAGGCTGCAGAAGAGGATGCAAGAGAGGCTGCAGGACAGGCTGCAGGAGAGGCTGCAGGCAAGGCTGACGGAGAGATTGAAGGAGAGGATGCTGCATGAGAAGCTGCAGGAGATGCAGTAATAGGAGAAGCTGCATGAGAGGCAGTAGGAAAGGCAGTATTAGGAGAAGATGCAGGAGCGGCTGCAGGAGATGCAGTAGTAGAAGAGGATGCAGGTCGCAGGAGAAGCTGCAGGAGAGGACGCAGGAGATGCTGCAGGAGATGCAGTAATAGGAGAGGATGCAGGATAGGATGCAGGAGAGGGTGCAGGAAAGACTGCAGGGGAGACAGCAGGAGAGGCTGAAGGAGAGGCTGCAGGAGAGGCTGCAGGAGAGGCTGCAGGAGAGACTGCAGGAGAGGCTGCAGGAGAGGCTGCAGGAGAGGCTGAAGGAGAGGATGATGCAGGAGATGCAGTAATAGGAGAGGATGCAGGATAGGATGCAGGAGATGCAGTAATAGGAGAGGATGCAGGATAGGATGCAGGAGAGGGTGCAGGAAAGACTGCAGGGGAGACAGCAGGAGAGGCTGAAGGAGAGGCTGCAGGAGAGGCTGCAGGAGAGGCTGCAGGAGAGACTGCAGGAGAGGCTGCAGGAGAGGCTGCAGGAGAGGCTGCAGGAGAGGCTGCAGGATAGGATGCAGGAGAGGCTGCAGGAGAGGCTGCAGGAAAGACTGCAGGGGAGGCAGCAGGAGAGGCTGAAGGAGAGGCTGCAGGAGAAGCTGCAGGAGAGGCTGCAGGGGAGGCTGAAGGAGAGGCTGCAGGAGAGGCTGCAGGAGAGGCTGCAGGACAGGCTGCAGGAGAGGCTGCAGGAAAGACTGCAGGGGAGACAGCAGGAGAGGCTGAAGGAGAGGCTGCAGGAGAGGCTGCAGGAGAGGCTGCAGGAGAGACTGCAGGAGAGGCTGCAGGAGAGGCTGCAGGAGAGGCTGAAGGAGAGGATGATGCAGGAGATGCAGTAATAGGAGAGGATGCAGGAGAGGCTGCAGGAGAGGCTGCAGGAAAGACTGCAGGGGAGGCAGCAGGAGAGGCTGAAGGAGAGGCTGCAGGAGAAGCTGCAGGAGAGGCTGCAGGGGAGGCTGAAGGAGAGGCTGCAGGAGAGGCTGCAGGAGAGGCTGCAGGAGAGGCTGCAGGACAGGCTGCAGGAGAGGCTGCAGGAAAGGCTGACGGAGAGATTGAAGGAGAGTGTGCAGGAGAAGCTGCAGGAGAGGCTGCAGGAAAGGCTGCAGGGGAGGCCACTCACGGGCTACTCAGCCGAATGATGATTTTGTTTAGTAACCATGTGGCTGTTTAGTAACCATGTGGCTGTTTAGTAACCATGTGGCTATTTAGTAACCATGTGGCTGTTTAGTAACCATGTGGCTGTTTAGTAACCATGTGGCTGTTTAAAAACCATGTGGCTGTTTAGTAACCATGCGGCTGTTTAGTAACCATGTGGCTGTTTAGTAACCATGTGGCTGTTTAGTAACCATGCGGCTGTTTAGTAACCATGTGGCTGTTTAGTAACCATGTGGCTGTTACAACACCACGTGATGCTCACATAAGGAGATGTTACAACTACAGAGCAAAGATATGTATGAAATTTGAAGAAGAGACTCGTTGCCGCATTCCGAGCTCGCCATAATCTGCATACAGTATTGGTCTTTTGTTGAAGGACTGGGTATTCAAATTTCAGGGCAGCATGGAGCTATAAAACATAATAATATAGTATTGAGTAGTATATATATATAGTAGTTAAGAGTAGAGTATATATGCTGTAAGTTGGATAAAGATATAATAGCTGATAGGTTATACAGACCCTTACTTGGTTAGAGCAAGGATATCGACACACTGTAAGTACACTGGTACACTGTAAGTACACCGGTACACTGTAAGTACACCGGTACACTGTAAGTACACCGGTACACTGTAAGTACACCGGTACACTGTAAGTACACCGGTACACTGTAAGTACACCGGTACACTGTAAGTACACCGGTACACTGTAAGTACACCGGTACACTGTAAGTACACCGGTACACTGTAAGTACACCGGTACACTGTAAGTACACCGGTACACTGTAAGTACACCGGTACACTGTAAGTATACCGGTACACTGTAAGTACACCGGTACACTGTAAGTACACCGGTACACTGTAAGTACACCGGTACACTGTAAGTACACCGGTACACTGTAAGTATACCTGTACACTGTAAGTACACCGGTACACTGTAAGTATACCTGTACACTGTAAGTACACCGGTACACTGTAAGTATACCGGTACACTGTAAGTACACCGGTACACTGTAAGTACACCGGTACACTGTAAGTACACCGGTACACTGTAAGTACATCGGTACACTGTAAGTACACCGGTACACTGTAAGTACACTGGTACACTGTAAGTATACCGGTACACTGTAAGTACACCGGTACACTGTAAGTACACCGGTACACTGTAAGTACACCGGTACACTGTAAGTACACCGGTACACTGTAAGTATACCGGTACACTGTAAGTACACCGGTACACTGTAAGTACACCGGTACACTGTAAGAAGAGTGGACATATGTTTAACTCTCTGAATACCTTAACTGTTATATAATATCCCCTCGAGCAAAATTAATTCTACAACATAATTGGTCCTATTCTAATCAGTTAAAAACTTCGCGACAGAACTTTACCTTTAAGTTACAAGGATTGCCGGATTGGTCACAATGTAACGAATCTAAGATCCGTCAGTAATACAAACTCTCCGTAAGTAATATAAACTCTCCGTCAGTAATATAAACTCTCCGTCAGTAATATTAACTCTCCGTCAGTAATATAAACTCTCCGGGCGTCAGTAATATTAACTCTCCGTAAGTAATATAAACTCTCCTTAAGTAATATAAACTCTCCTTAAGTAATATAAACTTTCCGTCAGTAATATAAACTCTCCGTAAGTAATATTAACTCTCCGTAAGTAATATAAACTCTCCGTAAGTAATATAAACTCTCCGTCAGTAATATAAACTCTCCGTAAGTAATATAAACTCTCCGTCAGTAATATTAACTCTCCGTAAGTAATATAAACTCTCTGTAAGTAATATAAACTCTCCGTAAGTAATATAAACTCTCCGTAAGTAATATAAACTCTCCGTAAGTAATATAAAGTCTCCGTCAGTAATATAAACTCTCCGTCAGTAATATTAACTCTCCGTCAGAAGTATTAACTCTCCGTAAGTAACATTAACTCTCCGTAAGTAATATTAACTCTCCGTAAGTAATATAAACTCTCCGTAAGTAATGTAAACTAAACTCTCCGTAAGTAATATAAACTCTCCGTCAGTAATATTAACTCTCCGTCAGTAATATTAACTCTCCGTCAGAAGTATTAACTCTCCGTCAGTAATATTAACTCTCCGTAAGTAATATTAACTCTCCGTAAGTAATATAAACTCCCCGTCAGTAATATAAAGTCTCCGTCAGTAATATTAACTCTCCGTCAGAAGTATTAACTCTCCGTAAGTAATATAAACTCCCCGTCAGTAATATAAACTCTCCGTCAGTAATATAAACTCTCCGGGCGTCAGTAATATAAACTCTCCGTCAGTAATATAAAGTCTCCGTCAGTAATATTAACTCTCCGTCAGAAGTATTAACTCTCCGTAAGTAATATTAACTCTCCGTAAGTAATATTAACTCTCCGTAAGTAATATAAACTCTCCGTAAGTAATGTAAACTAAACTCTCCGTCAGTAATATTAACTCTCCGTAAGTAAAATTAACTCTCCGTAAGTAATATTAACTCTCCGTAAGTAATATAAACTCCCCGTCAGTAATATAAACTCTCCGTCAGTAATATAAAGTCTCCGTCAGTAATATTAACTCTCCGTCAGTAATATAAAGTCTCCGTCAGTAATATTAACTCTCCGTCAGTAATATAAACTCTCCGGGCGTCAGTAATATAAACTCTCCGTCAGTAATATAAACTCTCCGTCAGTAATATAAAGTCTCCGTCAGTAATATTAACTCTCCGTCAGAAGTATTAACTCTCCGTAAGTAATATTAACTCTCCGTAAGTAATATAAACTCTCCGTAAGTAATGTAAACTAAACTCTCCGTCAGTAATATAAACTCTCCGTAAGTAAAATAAACTCTCCGTCAGTAATATAAACTCTCCGTCAGTAATATAAAGTCTCCGTCAGTAATATTAACTCTCCGTCAGTAATATGAAGTCTCCGTCAGTAATATTAACTCTCCGTCAGTAATATAAACTCTCCGGGCGTCAGTAATATAAACTCTCCGTCAGTAATATAAACTCTCCGTCAGTAATATAAAGTCTCCGTCAATAATATTAACTCTCCGTCAGAAGTATTAACTCTCCGTAAGTAATATTAACTCTCCGTAAGTAATATAAACTCTCCGTAAGTAATATAAACTCTCCGTCAGTAATATAAACTCTCCGTAAGTAATATAAAGTCTCCGTCAGTAATATTAACTCTCCGTCAGTAATATAAACTCTCCGGGCGTCAGTAATATAAACTCTCCGTCAGTAATATAAACTCTCCGTCAGTAATATAAAGTCTCCGTCAGTAATATTAACTCTCCGTCAGAAGTATTAACTCTCCGTAAGTAATATTAACTCTCCGTAAGTAATATAAACTCTCCGTAAGTAATATAAACTCTCCGTCAGTAATATAAACTCTCCGTAAGTAATATAAACTCTCCGTCAGTAATATTAACTCTCCGTAAGTAATATAAACTCTCCGTCAGTAATATAAACTCTCCGTCAGTAATATAAACTCTCCGTCAGTAATATAAACTCTCCGTCAGTAATATAAACTCTCCGTCAGTAATATTAACTCTCCGTCAGTAATATAAACTCTCCGTCAGTAATATAAAGTCTCCGTCAGTAATATTAACTCTCCGTCAGAAGTATTAACTCTCCGTAAGTAATATTAACTCTCCGTAAGTAATATAAACTCTCCGTAAGTAATGTAAACTAAACTCTCCGTCAGTAATATAAACTCTCCGTCAGTAATATAAACTCTCCGTAAGTAATATAAACTCTCCGTCAGTAATATTAACTCTCCGTAAGTAATATAAACTCTCCGTCAGTAATATAAACTCTCCGTCAGTAATATAAAGTCTCCGTCAGTAATATTAACTCTCCGTCAGAAGTATTAACTCTCCGTAAGTAATATTAACTCTCCGTAAGTAATATAAACTCTCCGTAAGTAATATAAACTCTTCGTCAGTAATATAAACTCTCCGTAAGTAATATAAACTCTCCGTCAGTAATATTAACTCTCCGTAAGTAATATAAACTCTCCGTAAGTAATTTAAACTCTCCGTCAGTAATATAAACTCTCCGTCAGTAATATAAACTCTCCGTCAGTAATATTAACTCTCCGTAAGTAATATAAACTCTCCGTAAGTAATATAAACTCTCCGTCAGTAATATAAACTCTCTGTCAGTAATATAAACTCTCCGTCAGTAATATTAACTCTCCGTAAGTAATATTAACTCTCCGTCAGTAATATAAACTCTCCGTCAGTAATATAAAGTCTCCGTCAGTAATATAAACTCTCCGTAAGTAATATAAACTCTCCGTAAGTAATGTAAACTAAACTCTCCGTCAGTAATATAAACTCTCCGTCAGTAATATTAACTCTCCGTAAGTAATATAAACTCTCCGTAAGTAATATAAACTCTCCGTCAGTAATATTAACTATAATCCGTTAGAAGCTGTATGAGGTTGTGGTAATACTACTACTACTACTACTACTAAATTGAGGTATTATTGAGTCATTAAAGTGGCCGGTTTGATTTTCCGTCTCATTCGAAATGGACTATTATTCAGCTATCATATATAATATAATAATAATTAGCTGTATGTTTCTAAATATTACTGCTACACTGTTACAATGCTACAATGCTACACTGTTACAATGCTACACTGTTACAATGCTACACTGTTACAATGCTACACTG